AAACAGAACTATAAAATATCCATCAATACGGTGCATACACAGGTTGCAACTAATGATTCTTTTCCTAATTGATTAATCTGCCAGGTATATTCTCGATTATGCACTTAATCACTCGGCCTATTAATTGTCCGTAAAAAAAGCCCACTAGATGTTATTAAACTGCTTTTGTCTAATCATCAGTCCAAACCCCAAATAGATTCAGTTTATTATGGTGTGAAACAGAGAAAGGTAGCAAATCATCACATTTAAGAAGCTGGAGCCAAAGGAAAGTTTTGTTATTTTTTTCTTTAGAAATTACTCTAACTGATAAATCAAAATAGTTGCAGATTGGTTTTCTGTATATTGCCTCATCAGAACATGATCCAACAACGAGGGGGCTCACCATCACATTAACAATATATGCAATAAATGAACAAACATCACCACACATGAATAACCCGGTGTACTAGAATCAATAAGTGCAAATTAAAGGCAAGTTTCTTAACAAATCCTCTTATCTTATGCATTCAAAACTAGTTGTTGATACCAGACCCCATCACATCAGTGAAATATGACAGGCAATGGGAGTGATTTTTTTGAGTTCAGGTCCATTTTTAGAGGTGGGAAAGAGCTGTGTTGTTGAGTGGATCTGGTTTCAACAAACATCCATGAACTATTAATAAATCATGGCTGCTCTACGCAGTGCGATGCTGTTGGCGTCACACCATGTTTGTGTGTCTGGGTGCTCGTGTGCGTACATGCGTAAATCTTACTATGAGCCATAACCTTATATTTAAACAAGGCCTCTAAACTTTTTCACACTTGAAAAAACTTTGTCTATCTCTTGTGTTTTGCAGCCACAAAAACCACCTCCAGTACTTCTTGTGCTCCTGTTGTTGCTTCCCTGTCATATAAGGAAAGCTTCCAAAAACACCCTTAATTAGCATGAAACCTTGACTAAAAATGGAAACCCAAGCCTGTGAAATTGTAGACCCAACCCTAATTAATCATTCTGCTGTTTTCTAACATTTTAACAACACTAACCAAAACTAAACACGGTGCATCAAAACCACTTAAACCTCACCATTCCTCAATTTGCAGTGGAGCCTCTGGGGTATTACTCAAGAGGTTGCGGTTTGAGATTTTAACAAAAACCAACTCCTAGAAGGAAGAACACATTGCAGTCATGCAGAGACACACCTACGGGGGGGGAGAGACAAGAATAAGATATGGGCTGAAAGAAGACAAGCGGCAGAAGGGGAAAGATTTAAACAGAGAGGAAAGAGACGTTAAAGAGAGAAGGTGGAGGTTGTAGAAGTGGTGATTTGTGACCAACAGGAAACAGGCAAAGGACTCATTTTCCCCGGGCTCTGAGAGACCATAACAGGCCGAGGCGCTGTGTGTTTCCTCTTGATAACGCTTAGCACGATCATATATACTCACATTGACTCACATTGCACTAGAATCCGACTAATGAGGCTTTTTGGGGGCCACAACTGGTAATTTTTTGGGCAAAGCTGCAACTGTTTCTTCCATTATCTTTTTAAGTTTGACTAAAGTTTGACTATTGTCCTACCAAACATGGTGAAGAATTACAAGTGTTTAGTGTCTCCCCTGATAATTGTACTCTTGGCAAAGTGGAAAAGCCTTACAAGTGTCTCATTCTCAGTTATATTCAGCACGTGTAAACACACAGACGTGCACTGGAAATGGAAGAGATGGTGAGAAAAGGAGGGTTAAAAACTTAGAAAGTTCTCTAAAGACGTAAGAGAGATAGAGAATGTGTTTGTATGATGTGTTCTCCTTTTTGTCTTCTTGCTTTCTTTGCTCCATGCTTCTGGATTTACAGCCCCGGTTTTGAATTCAGTTATAGTGATGAGGATCAAAAACAGCTAGAAAGTTAGAGATAAAAGACTAAAATGTCCTTGTTCAGTCCGAATCCCATAGGGGTACAGACAATAGCGTCATCACACCCCCCCTCTGCCAAACACTCGCCTTTTTATCAGCTTACACACGGGATAAATCTTGCCGATTAGTGGACACGTTTGACACATGATAAATGCAGTTTTGAGTGTTTTTTTTTTTTTTTTTTGCGAGGGTGTTTGGGGGTATTCCTCCATTTGTTGCAGATAACAAAAATAAGTCTTCCAGGGGAATTTTTTGTGAAAAATGTATCACACGTAAACGTAGTCTGAAAGAGCTGCTGTTCAGACTGCAAATTTCTGCACTCAGCCCGGAGGATGATGTGCTAAAACCTTGACGCCGAGAGATTGAGAGCCGCGTATTAGCTTTGAAGTTAATTTGACAAGTGCACGTATGCCTCAACTATAAGCAGTATCACCTGTGAAGAAAATATCTGCTCTAATGTGCTGTCGCCTCGGAGGCAGGGTGTGTGTGTGTGTGTGTGTGTGTGTGTGTGTGTGTGTGTGTGTGTGTGTGTGTGTGTGTGTGTGTGTGTGTGTGTGTGTGTGTGTGTGTGTGTGTGTGTGTGTTAAAGGGAGTGGACTTTGCTGGTGTGTGTGTGTGTGAGGGTTGAAACATCATTACCTAGGGATCTGAGTACACGGCCAGACATCATTAGGCTTTAAGGCGAGAAAGTCTCCACGGCACCAGTTTTGCAGTCTGCCTGACCCAGCAGACACGACAGGCAGGCATGCCGTTTAAGATCATTTATTTGGGTTTGCATGTATGCCTGCTTGTGTGTGTGTGTGTTTACGTGCATGTTATTTATTTATTTTGGCTGGTAATATGCCTGAGCCTTCATTATAGCGGGAGCCATAACTTTGATAAATCACTTGGGCTCGGGGCCCTCACTGCTTTCACAGTATTAGAAAACTAATTGAAATTCTCTTCCGCCCCCTCCTCTCTCTCTCTCTCTCTCTCTCTCTGTTATTCACCCTTTCCCTCGTTCTCTCCTCCCATCTTTGTTGCTAGGGCCAAACAGTACCGTGTTTTGTTTTGGTTTTTTTTCACTAAAAAGCCAAAAGGGGGGAAATGTCATCACTGATTTAATAGGCGTAGTCTTACTCAAACACACACACAGACACACACACTTGCACACAAACACACACTGCACTCAGGGGAGTGTTAGGAATCCTGATAATGTCATCATAGGAATCTCCATAATGTACCCCGGTCTCCTGCAGGCTCCAGTTTGACTGTGCCTCTCTTCTCCTCTGCTTTTGATTAGATCAGGGATGAGATTTTAGGTTTAGGTTGATGGGATTTAGAGTTTCGATACTTTGTTTCTATGGCCCGTGATCCCCCTACTGTCCCCGGATTGAGGGTCTGTTTGGTTTGTTGCCTGGGGTCTCCCAGCTGCCACTGGATTTAGGGTTTAGTCGTTTTATTGTGCATGATCCCCCTGCTGCTACTAGATTCGTTTCATTTGCAGGGGATCTCTCCGTGCTGCAGCTGAATTCAGGGTGTGGTTGTTGTGTGTTGCGCTGGATCTCCCAGATGAAATTTGTTTTTGGGGTTGATTTTTGTTTTTATTGTCCAGGATCTCCTTTGCCGCCGCTGGATTTAGAGTTCGGTTGTTTTATTGTGCACCACATCTCAGCTGTTGCTAGATTTAGGGTTTAGTTGTTTTGTTGCCCACGATCTCCCTGCTGCCCACTGGATTTCGGGGGGGTTTTAGCCACTTCTTTTTCATATCCAGACACTGCTACTGTTTGTGTGACACTTGGGGCTTTGTGTCCACCCGGCAAACCCCCTCCGCCCTTCACCGGGTGAGCTTTGTAGTGTGAAGCCAAAGATTTAGCGATGGAAGCAGAGAGTCTGTGTGTATATGTGAGGCAGCTTGTGTGGACCGGGGTGATTTTTTTTTTTTTTTTCGTGGAGTCCTGTCAGCACACAAAATTCTCTCTGCAAACATTCCTCTGACGTGATGCAAGCCCAGGAGAGGAGGGCAGCGTGTGTGCCTGTGCGTATTTTCGACCGGCGGCGTGTGTCTGTTGCCCAGACAAATCCATACCATTGCTTCCAGACACACTGCAGGCACATAGCCACACATAAACACACACACACACACACACACACACACACACACACACACACACACACACACACACACACACGTTGCATGTGTGTGCAGCTAATGAGGATGTGTTGATTGATTAGACTGCAGTAATTAGCTGGAGTGTGAATGCCTGGAAAGGTCTCCGCTCTGGTGGGAGTGTCCCCTCTGGAGAGACATTGAACTGTGCTATGCACCATTACGTTACGCACCACAAAAACGGTCCCATCCATATCTCAGATGCGGGGTGAGTCATCTCTCGGAGGCAGACTTTGGTGCGAGTGCGAGGCGAGAGGAAGGATGTTTGCTGTGTGTTTGTGTGTGTGTGTGTGTGTGTGTGTGTCAGAGTCTGAGACATAAGGATGTTTACAGGGTGGAAGTGTAATGCAGAGTGAGATGTGCTTGTGCCAGCAGTTTCTTTTCCTGCACAGTGTGGCCTGAACACTGACCTGATCCTCAGCCTGACAAATCAACTCTCTCCCTCACCTCCTCCTCCCGCTCATTTGTAGTTTGACTTCCTGTCTGCTGCACAGATTTCTTTTGTGCGTCGCAGGGCCGCCTCTAGTAAATGCAAATAATATGGTATTAAGTATGACAACCTCCGTCTGTAGCTTCCCTCCTACTGAGTTTTGTGGATGGAGAAGTGCTGCAGTAAAGCGTTGTACACAGTGCCACCACATGGGCAACTGGGCAATTACACATGATGCAGTTTTGAGAGAATGTTCATCACACTTTTTGCTTGTAACTTCTCGTCCGTGCTGTTTCACTTCTGCTTCTCCTTTCCAAATATAAACTAAATGTACAACGGATGTTAAGATATGTTTCACACGCTTTCTTTTACTGGTTGTATGTTTTTTACTTTTTAATTGATTAATCAAGCCCATATCAAGAGTAATTTATTAATGTAAATCTCTCTTTTTCTCAATTTCCTCTTCTTTCTTACCTCTTATTTCCCTCCTCTACTTCTTTCTTCTGCCCCTTTCCCTCCTTTTACCCCCAATAGGAAATTCTACTACATCACTCTGCTGAGGGACCCAGTGTCTCGATACCTCAGCGAGTGGCGGCATGTGCAGCGGGGAGCCACGTGGAAAACCTCCCTGCACATGTGCGATGGACGAACTCCGACGCCCGAGGAGCTGCCCTCCTGCTACGAGGGCTCTGACTGGTCGGGATGCACCCTGCAGCAGTTCATGGACTGCCCCTACAACCTGGCCAACAACAGACAGGTACGGAGAGAAAAAAAGCTCTAATGTAACCACACCAGTAGCTATGATACAGATCAATAAAAACTGCACAGTGTGAGCTTTGTGAGATGGGATAGGGTTGTCACGTTGACCGGTTACATTCCTCTGAACAGAAACAAGTGCAGTCGTTTAAAAGTCAGAGAGCGAAGGTGTCCACAAATTCTCTGCCATTCAGCTTTGGTTTTGGGCTGTTTTACTGCAAACACTCAAAAGAGCTGATTTCAGTCTTTATTCCGCCATTTATCACCGTTACCTAGCTAACCTGCATCTCTGCACCTGACCAGACTTCTCTCCTGTCGACATTGTCCGCTGGTATCATAAATCCAAGCCCACTGGAAGATACAGAGCAGGGCATACATCTCTGCAGGAAAAAATAGATAAAATTGTTTGGTAGATTTTCACACGAGAAATAAACAAGTGATCAATACTGATTTTTTTTTTTTTTAAATAGAATGGGAAAGCCAAACACTCAAAACAAAATCAAATATTGAATTCTTAACAAAAACAGTTTTTTTTATTTGATTATTTTTACATTCACTGCAATTCAAAAACATATGAACACATATGAGCGCTTACACACACACACACACACACACACACACACACACACACACACACACACACACACACACACACACACACACACAGATTTACAGTCAGGGGTTTGCCTGCTGGCCATAAACACCTCAAATTCACACCTTCTTTTCTCATGCTATCTCAGTCTCCCACCTAAACGTGTTGGCCAGCTTATCGCATCTGAGCCTGAGGCTGTTATTACTCAGGGTCCAATAACTTATGAATGTGACACACACACACACACACACACACACACACACACACACACACACACACACACACACACACACACACACACACACACACACACACACACACACACACACACACACACTCTTGAGGCATCCTGGTGGACCGGCAGACTGAGGTGCACACGGTGTACTCTTGTGAATCCAAATCAGTATGCAGTCCCTGTTCCTGTACTGTAGCACAACAGCTCCCGAGTGCACTCAATGATGAAGTGATCTCATTTTGGAACAAATCCACCAGAATCGAAACTACTTTAGTTTATTAAGTAAAATGCCCGATCGAGGAAGTTGAGAGGATTTTTACATAAGATTTTTATATTTATAACTTAGTTAGATGTAGAGCTGCAACGATTAGTCAATTAATAAATTATTCCAGAGACTGAAAATTAATCTGCAGCTACTATATTTTAAAAATTAGTTCATTATTTCAGTCCTCTTTAAAGCAGAATTGCCTGAACCCTTTCCTTTCATCTTCTCAAATTTGACTTTTTTTTTCTGATGTTCTTTGTCATTCATGAGAGTGGATTGAATATCTGACTGTTCTGAACTGTTAGTCGGACAAAACAAGCAAACTGAAGACAACGTTTCTTCTGAGAAATTGGGAATTTGAATCTTTTTAACATTTCATAGACTAAACGATTTATCAAGAAAAAGAATCTGCAGATGAATAGATAATGGGGAAAAAAGCATTGGTTTCAGCCGAAGGAAGATGATTCATCAGTTATCCAGTCATCAATTTTTTAATCAATAAATTCTTTCAGCTTTATTCAGCATCAACACCACAAAGATAAATGTTCTTACAAATATTAGACATTATTCACAAGTGAAAACTTCTTATTGCCTTCCTTCTCTTCCAGAAAAGATAAAAACTCACCTGATTGATTTTCCCTTTGAGGTCAGGATTTAGCCCTCTGCTCTAGGTTTAAAGTCCTTAATTTAAAGGTGCATTCTTTAACATTGTCGTTCACACAAATGTCATCTGATTTCTATAACCTCCTCCACTTCCTGTCGCTCTGTCTGTAGGTTCGCATGTTGGCAGACCTGAGCCTCGTCGGCTGCTACAACATGTCCACGGTTCCGGAGAAGAAGAGGGCCCAGCTTCTCCTGGAGTCGGCCAAGAAGAACCTACGAGACATGGCCTTCTTCGGTCTGACGGAGTACCAGAGGAAAACCCAGTTCCTGTTTGAACGAACCTTCAGGTTGCGCTTCATCAGGCCGTTCATGCAGTACAACAGCACCCGCGCTGCAGGGGTGGACTTGGACAACGCTACGGTTAGTGCAGCTGCTCCGTCATCTTTTGTAGAGTTAGTTCTAGTTTCTCTCAGGTCATGAGAGAAAGTCAGTGGGAGAAAGTAACTAAGTACATTTACTCAAATATGGTACTTCTGTACAATTCTGAGGTACTCTACTTTCTATTTAATGCTACTTTATGCTTCTACACTACATTTCAGAGGGAGATATTGCAGTTTAATTTGACAAGCATAGTTACTGTACATAATAATATATATATATATATATAGTTTTTAAAACTAGTTCCACTTTGAGCAGCTACAACTGTAAAATGCTACATCCGTTTTAACAATCTAATAATGTCATGAAAATGTATCAGTCACAGGGGGCAGCTTTCTGCAGAACAAGTACTTTTATTTTGATACTTTAAGTACATTTAGCTGATAATACTGCCTGCTTTAGTTTTACATAAGTAGGCTTTTGAATGAAGGATTTGGTTTTTACATCGCGGTATTGGTGCTTTTGCTTCAGTAAAAGTCCCAAGTACCTCTTTCACCACTGGAAAAGTGCACTTACAGTAATACTTAATGTAAATAATGCAGTCTATTGTATAATCCAAGTATGTATGTGTTTTTCTTTCAAAGTGGTATTTTCTCAACAGTGGCCGTAACAATGGTTTTGTTTTTTGACTGATACCTCTCTTAGAAAATAAACATGGCATCTGTAGCACATTCATTTACATACAGGAAATTAAACCAATATTTTAAAAAAGAAGAAAAATAAGTAGAAAATGAGAAAAAAGAGGGAAACAGAGAGTAAACACAGTGGTCTTATATTACTGTGAAATGAGTTGGGATGACTGTCACTGTTTAAAAAAAAAAAAACAGCAGCTTCAAACATGTTCTTCACACTTTGATTGATCCAGTGTGGGAGTTCTTAAGCTCAATTTCCCCAGCAAAAAATATCCTCCAGTACACAGCAGACTACTGATTTATACATCAAAACCAGTTGGGAGGATATAAAATAACATATGCCCTGCTGACAGCGGCTGCGGAAAGGTGGACTAATGGTTATTATCACAAAAAAGAGAAAATGTCACATGGTGAGGCAGGCAGATGAGGCTGTGTGTGGCATTTTGAGTACAATACATTTTTAAAATTAACTTTTGAACTAAATACTTCTAAAGACTCTGTGTGAAATTGTGACATTATTCAGTTATTTATAAAAAGTCAGCAGGTTGTGAGGAGAACGTTTATTTTACACTCTCCTGCAAAGCTGCTGAAATCACACTTGTACCTCGTGGCTTAGAGATCCCAGTGAGTCATTTTTGATTGAAACTGTTTTCTAAATTATATGACAACTGTTCTCTGGTACATTACGTTTCTGTGTTGACGACTTAAGCTCAGTCTTCCTGGCTTTGTGCCGGTGTCCCCCCGTGCTGCCGATCAAACATCTCTAATTTTCAACACTGATGCAGCGCGTCGCTTCCCTCTCTTGTCGCACATGTTGCCCACAAATGAAATCCAGCACTCCATCACAGATTTCAAAGGGATTCTCTTAATTAAACACATTTCCCCCTCCGTGTTGAATTCACACACACACACACACACACCAGATGATGCGCGCCAATACAGCCAGCTGCACCGCACAACCAAACATCAAACACATTTCTGTTATCTTGCTCCACATATTGCCAACACACATTTTTCTCTGTTCCCTCTCCATGTAGGACTCCTTTAAAGCTTTTGTACAAATGTCATGTAATAGGCGTTTCCACCACGGGAGCTTTCCCAGGGGACCAATAACCTTTTGAGGAATTCAAGATCTTTACCTGCATTTTGACAAAAGGAAGCAGGAACTAAATTTAGTTCCTGTATATTAGCTTCAGGAGTCAATACGTCACTATTGGGGTGGTGGTACTCCAGCACTCCAGTATTTGTTGCAAAAGTTCAGACAATCACATGTAAGCACGCAAACCTGATTGATTTTGTTTTGTCATGTGAACCAAATATAAAATAGTTGCTGCTATGATAACTTTCCAGAGATGTGTCAGCCTTTAAACTCATGAATATGTTACTCAAACTGAACCTCTTGGATCAAATGTATTCTTTATTATTTATTTATTTATTACTGTGTCACTAGTACCTGAAGCAACAAGTCCCTACCAAGCCCCTGGTGTTGTTTTGACACAATGCTGTTTATAGTCTAACCGCCCAGTAATGGTTCAGAAAATACTGGGGCTCAGTTTACAGTGACCTCAAAATCCCTCCTGAGAATCAGGATAAAAGTTAACATAGACCTGTTACAAATTAAGCCATTCATAACAGACACATCGTCACTGCTACAAAGCTGCATTCCCCCTGTGAAGTTTTGAACATCTTGTTTTTTTGTGCAGAGATCATGTGCTCTTTTGCAAGGTCAGTGAAGACATTTTAGAAGGTTGATGAAATACTTTTACTCCCGGACCTAAAAGTAGGACCGAATATGTGTCACCCTGAGAATGTTGGGCCAGGATAGAGAAGTTTTTTACTCTGAGACGATTGATAAATATGAGCCCAGATTGTCTACTTTGGAGAGTTTTCAGTCTCCTTCTCTACCTCCACATGTGTCATTTTCATTCATTTCATCCACTTAAGAATTATGCCACAATTAATACAAAGAATAGTCTTCAACTCTTCTTCTGTGTCCTTCTCTGCCTCTGAACTAACTTCAACAACGTTCATCTGCTCCTTCCCCTGTTAGGTCCAGCGTATAGAGGAGCTGAACGAGCTGGACATGGAGCTTTACGACTACGCCAGGGACCTGTTCCAGCAGCGCTACCAGTACACCAGGCAGCAGGAGAGGCGGCAGCAGCGCATCAAGAACCACATGCAGCAGAGCCACCAGGGCCTGGGCCTGGGCGTCAACCTGTGGCCCTCCCACAGCCGGCAGAGCTCGGTGTCGACACTGGAGGACGGGGAAGGGGAGCGGGAAGAGCGGGAGGAGGGCGAGGAGGGAGGCAGAACGGAGGAGGCGGGCAGCAGGCTCCCCACTGAGGACTACATGAACCAGATTATCAACCGCTGGTAGCAGCAGAATGAGAACAAACACACAGACATGCATATGTAATGTGAAAAACACACACATATACACACATACAAACACATACACAGAGAGTGGCGCCTGCATCAAAGACCCAAATGACTGACAAACAGACTTTAACCAGAGAGTTGGGCTGCAGGAATGAGAGTCCAAGTGGTTGCTATGGAGACCTGGGCTTGGTCGATTGCATCAGCTCATGTTATTGAGGTTTGCCCAGTTGTTATTAGCACCCGCTTGCCCTTTCCCCCCTCTGAGTTTCTCTGTCTCTCCTATCATCATTACTGACTGAGCGGAGGAGAGATATTTTTAAGAGTTGCTGACAACCCAGTATCTCATCCATCTCTCCCGCCTCCCCTCCTCCTCCTCCTCCTCCTCCTCCTCCTACTCCTATATCCCTTTCGTTCTCTGTGGCCTAATATGGAGCATGAGAAAATAAAATTAAGTCTGTGAATTCCCACTAATCTTTGCTAAAAAGGACCAGTCTACTTCCTGGATGTTCTACTTTCAAAGGAACTGGGAAAGCAATGAAAGTATGCTAATGGCTGAACTGGACAAAGAAAAGGGTGGGAGTACATGAGAGACTAAACCTGAAAGAAAGAAAGAAAGAAAGAAAGAAGCAAAGAGAAGTTGGACTGAGTTGTGTGATAAAGCTTTCTGCTTAAAAAAAAAATCAGCCATTTCAACCCATGAACACGCTTTTGTCATGAAATAGTGACAGTCTCATTCTCATTTTAGGATGATTTTGTTTGTATTTACCTTTTGTGTTTTATGCTTTTTTTAAAGCAAAATTGTAATAACACTGAGACCAATATTGCTGCCTAAAGAAAAGTGATTCCTTTATTTCTTTATTTTTATTGGTTTTATAAGTCAAAGCTAATGGATCAGATTGACGTACAATGGACCATAGCCATTACTGAAGCCTTGCATCTTGTAGGGGAGGGAGAGAAAGTGACCTGTTTCTCTGTTAAAGGTTCCCAAAGCTCCTGTCGCTTAACAAGTTCATTATTTCTCCTTTTCTCTCCATTTTTTTAATAATTTTTTTCTGGTGTCTCAGTCCTGCAGAGAATAACAGCCAATTACAGCGCCGAATCTCACATAGGTGCGAAGAAATCAAAGGCTTGGAGAGGAGTGAGTCCTACTGCAGGTTGTTGCCAGGAACCGTGCTGTGTAAGCGGCAAGCGCTTTGGAAGCCTTAACTCAGACAAATGCTCGAGATGGGAGTTGTGGAACTACTGGTCACCATGGCAATGTGAGCCCTTAATGTAGTGGGTGGCATTTACAGTTTCGTTGGGGTTTTTTTTTTCCGGTGGTTCTGCGTTGTTAAAAAAAAAAAAAAACGACGGTCTCAAACAAGCCTCCTTCCCAACCTGCTGAAAGGGCACACGCAGCACTGGTGACCTGTAGTTCGTTAATGTGACTGGTTTTTAACTTGGTTTTACCCTGAAGAACGCACAGGGCGAGGTAGCAGTGCCTCTATGTACTGGGATCATAGTCAACATAATTATTGCCAGATCTTATGTCTGCATTATACTACAGTAATTTCTCTGACTACTCGTGTGTCTGCGTGGATGAGTGTTTCTTGTGTGTGTAAATAGTGTATGTACAGTATGCCTTTGATTGGCATATGTGTATGCCTTTGTAAATAGTGTGCCTGACTGAGAGAGGATGCCTGATGAGTTTTGTGAATGACTGGTTCCATGACCAATTTTCTTGCCATTTTTGGTGGTGGAGGGTGGGGCAACAAAGTCCCTCCAACAGCATGTCACAGCAGTGTGACTGTCGCAGTGATGCAAGCCAATAATACTCCTCTCTGCCCTTTCCTTTACCATTCCCCCCCCCCCGTTCTTGTCTGCTCCCCCATGACGTGGTTACATGAGGACTGTATCACTATAATTATGTAAAATCCTAATTTATATATTTTTTTTAAATCTGCCTTGTGACACGTCTTTACTCTTGATAGTGAAAAGCTACAAGTAGGGTTGGGTTACGATAACTGGCTCCACCAATCGCAACGAATTCTGTGACCTAATCAGGAGTTTTGACAGAATGGTGAGAATTTGGTGTGACGATCCAGATTCGTTAAGCTCTATTGTTAATGAAAATCTCCTATTGAACGTTTTATCTGTACTCCTTTTTTATCAGCTAGACCAATGATAGAAAAGGCGATAGACCCATTTATGACCTCCACACACTTTATGTTTTATTCTGTGATTCGGTCACATAGTGTTCCCTACGCAAACCTTAGGAAGTTTTTTTTTACTTGTTATCCAGCGGCGGTCATATCTTCAAAGGGAATGTTTGTGACCCTACAGGTGTCAGCTGTCTGGATGGAAAGATAAAATGTTCGCCCACGGCAAATTTAACATTAAAATCTAATATTTCCATAGATGATGTGTGATGGCTACTGGCATTACGTGAGCAGCTGACTTGGCGTACATTCCAGCATAAAGGAAGTCTGTGGAAATATCTGATTTAAACGCTGGTTTCGCTCCAGGTAAACATTTTATTAGTCCAGAAAATAACTTTGGAGACCTGCTACTGGATAACGTTATGACATTTCCATTAATGTTAATGTAGGGAACAATATGTGAGGAATCATTATATTAGTTGTATCTAATTAATATTAATTCTATAATGGTTAAAATAAAAACTTTGACGGTGTCTGGACTCGGCCCAAAGATGGGTTGTTAGGGAGAGGAAATGAGTGTACTGTGTGGTTTTGTAGTTCAACAAAACCAACAGAGCGGTTACTCTTCTCAAGGGTCGGCAACCTTTTTGAAATTAACTGCCATTTTAAAATTTTCATGTTAATCAGTGTGCCATTTCAGTAAGATTAACATAATTACGACATCAATATTTAAGTCTTTAACAAATCTTCCATCCATATAGGCAACGTGCATAGCAACGTTTTTTAAATGTCTCCAATAATTAGGAAATATAATATACATTAGAGCTCTATAGAAAAAGGCTGCCATCCTTTATGAAAATATCCTGTTTCAGTGCGCCAGAGGGTCATATGTTCATCTCTTTTTCAGGTTGCAAACATTAAAAACTGATTCTGCCACTTCAGCTAACAAAAAGGCGATTAAGATCTTTGACTTTTAGTTAATTATAACTCCAAACCTGAGGAGGTTCGATAAGGGATTTAATTAGAATTAAACACTGGATTAATATGTTATGAAGCCCAACTCTATCTACATGCAGCGAATCTGAGCAATAAGTGGGGAAACCAGTGGAGAAGAGAATGTAAAAGTGGAAATGGAAAAAGACGTGTCACAGCACGATTTAATCAAACTGAATGTAGTCCAAGTTTAGTGTCATCCAGGGAGCAATGGGAGGATGTGAGCATGCTTCCTTTGTATTATTAAGATAAATAATATGTTACATCCTGTTAACAATAGAGTTGTTTTAAAGTCAGAAGGAAGGGGAAACCAACCATTTAGCTGCCCACTACCCTCCTTGTTAAATCTCAACTAATCACCCTGGATCCTCCCGTGTCTCTCCTCCTCCTTTTGATCAGCTCCTTTTTAAATCAGGGATGATTCATGAAGGGAAGGAGAGAAGAACAAGGGGGGGGATGATAAAAGGTATTGGGATACATCCAGAGTCAATATGCTGCTTTTTGTGTAGCCTTCAAAGTAACGCAAATGGATATGGGAAGAGAGATCTCCCCTTTTTTGTGTGTGTTTCGTATTAACTTCCCCTTCATTGTACTCTTGAAACTAGAGAATTGAAAACACTGCAGCTCCAGGCATTTTGCCCACAACCTCTTTTTCAAAGTCAGACTCGCTCTTACGTTGGACCGTGTTTTGGGCTCCAAACCAATATCTGGCTCTGCATTAGTGGTTAAAAACCGTATACAAAGACGCATCCTCTACCTTGAGAGGCGTTTTATTTTCAGCTCTCAAGTTTCAAGTGACCACTGGACTTAAAGAGGTCCTCAATAATACCCATTACTTTAAGATTGTGTGAAAGAAAAAGTCAAACCTTTCACTGAAATGATTCCAGGAATTGATGCTGTAAAGCTATACTCAAATATTATGTCTCATCACTATGTATATCTGATGTCTTAACAGCTTTTCCTTTGTGACAATGAAGCAACCCAGGTGTCGCTAACATCATCCTGGTTTTTTTGGTTATGTTTTTTTTTTTTTTTTTAAAAAGATGTGTTAAAAAGAGTGATAGAGACTTTTTTGTTTTTTTGGATCAGTGTGCAGTCTGTCTCTGGCTCCTTCTGTATGCATCATTCTGGGTTTGTTTCTTATGATTGCAAAAATGAATCATCAAGCCACCAATTAAAATATTTCATTTTTACAGACCTGACTGTGTCGTGGTTGTCACTGCGTATCATTTCTGATGTTTCCCGCTCTGTCACTCTATCATCAAGCACACAGGCATGAAAAATATCTCCCCTGGACTTTTTTTTTAAGATGGTTACTCCATCCAAGGTACTGCAGCCACATATTCATCTGAGAAACACTCAGTTTTCTCACTTCCATCCACCGGCCAATCTATAACTAGAGGACATTTCTACCACTCGCCTACACTAACCACAGGACCGTGACCCCATAAAGCCCCCCCCATGACAGCCTCAGTCCTGTCAACAGTGATCTACAGCCTAATTCAATCTGCAGACACTCAGGGCCTAACACACGTACATGCACACAAATACACTTCCCCCTCTGCTGTGGCAGGTAGGCGTTTGGCGAGCAAAGTACGGAGACAGCGGGTCCGGTATAAATATCATTCCCTGTCCTTGGCTGAGGGAGCAGAGCCGAGGCTTTTGCCCTGTCTCATCAACAGTCTGGGGAGCTTCAACTTTGACCCCTCGAGGCAGGGCAGAAAAATAATTTGCCTGGACAGCGACAGGCAGAGGCAATTGGCTGGAGGGAGATCAGAGCGGGCAGACAGCACCAACGAGAACAAGAGTGTAAGGGATGAGGAATCAGAGAGAGTCTTTATGTAAGACAGGAGGGAAGAGAGGATGTTTTTGTGCCTGACATATGAACAGAGAAAGAGAGGGAAATGAGGGGGAGCAGGAGAGAAAGGGAAGGCTGTGCAGTCTCTCTGGCAGCTGGTACACGGTGCATTGGACTGAACGCAGTCTTTAATCCTTCCCATAGCTCTGGGTCGCTGTCATTTCAAGTGCAGCTGGACTAAACAAACAATAATGGCTCAGCTACTGCAGAGGGCTGGACAGCTTTTGTTTGGTTGAACATGTGCATGTGAGTGTTTGAGAGAAAGAGCTCACTCGCTCCTGCAGTGGGAATCCGGCTCTGAGTGATTGTATGGGCTCTGGCTGCAGTCCATCATTAGGAGGTCAGGCTGGCTGCAGCTCCTCGTTGTCGGTCCCATGCTTCTTTCATGCAAACAAAGAAGCTCTGGCATTATTATTGCTTATTTTCAGTGTGGAATTCTGCAGATAAGTTCACATTGAGTGCCTCCGTTACATGTATCAGAGCCAGGCTATTGTAGTGCTGGAGGATTGCCCCGTTGGCGCCAGCACCGGTCACTATGGAGTTTGGTCTTCTGTCTCTGGTTGACTCATTTCCAGCAGCTGCACGGCTCAGACCTTTATCATCAAATATACAATGTGGATAAATCTCTATACACAAACAATTTTCAGTTTCAATACCCTGTTTTGTCAAAAAAGTAAATGCGCAGGCCAATGAGAGAGTGTAATCTAGTGTGGGAGTGCACATTTTTTCCTAAAGCAAAAACATAAATATGATTCAATCGGACATCTGGGCCCGTTATCTGACCTTCCGCTCCGGGTTTGGATAATCTCCCAGGTCAACAGCAAATCACCTCTCATATTATTAAAGGACTGAACAGAAGAATCCAACCTCCCAGGCAGCAGTCGGCTCTGGAGCTCTTACAGACTGACACCAGTGGGAGTCCAATCTGAGGAATCCCACAATCCCATTACGGTTTAAACTGTGTGTTTATTATGTTTGTGTGTGTGCGTGCATGGAGCTCATAAAGAGCTGATCCGTTGCAAACTTATTAACCTCTACATAAAAGTCATAAATGTTGATGTTGGAGAAATGGAGCAGGATACAAACCCTGGGTCAGGGCCAAACATGAAATATAAGGTAGTAATAGCGGGGCAATATATTCCCTTTATACACATAAAGTGACACATGCACACGAGAGTATAAAAATGGAAATCCCGAGTGTTACTCTGCACAAAAAAAAATGACTGATCCTAATTAAAAAGTTTTTCTTTTGCTGAATAAATGTGTTTATTTGTGTGTTTAATGGTTTATAAATATGAAGGTAACCGGACCTGCCCTGTTTTCTATCTGTATTTAAGATTAGAACCCAGACCAGCCCCAGTGTTTGGTGGCTGTAATGTGGTAAATTAGCTTCATGTAGGAGACCCTGGCTGACCCCCATTATACAGTCAGGGACACATTTAATTAGCAGCAACTCACGTGAAACGACAAAATGTATTAATATTAATGGAGGTTTAATTGAGGTCGTTTTGGTCCCCCGTTGAGGCTTTCAACCTCTAAAATGGCTGACGTGTGATAGTGTGAGGAGAGGGAGCCCACAGCCCGGGTTCGCCATTTCGTATGTGACCCCGGAGAAGATGACAACCATCTCCCATAATTCATCTGAAGATGTCACCTTCTTGACAGATGAACAGGCCCTGTGGGCAGCGTGTGTGAGTGTGTGTGAGGTTAAGTTTAGCTATACATGTGGGGACTGTCTAGAAAGGACATTTTGGCCTGTCCACATAGGGATACAGCTGATTTTTGTGTTACATTGCGTGTCTATATAATGTGTGTGTGTGTGTGTGTTCGTGCATCTACACATGCGAGGTGTTATGTGCGTGCGTTTCAAAGTGAAGGTCAAATCCAGCAGGATAATTAATGTCGCTGCTTTTTATATAATGTTAAATCAAACCCTGGAACTGCTCCCTCTGGAGGATCAGCTGTCCAATTTAATTTAGGCTGCAGAGCGAGTAAATGAAAAAGCAAAGACCCATGTCTCAACACCCTGGGACAGTGTCTCTGTGCCTTTCATCTTCTTTTTTTTTTTATCAAGACCACACAACAGGTGGACAGGGGAGCCTGGCACCTTTTACCAAACCGCCCCAAAGGGACGGTCCATCCAAACGATACAGCCCACATCACACAAACTCAAAGTAAAGGTTTACAAAACGGTCCCCAGGAATCCCAGGTGCCTTTTTCAAAATGAGAGCGATTTCCATTTCTCTACTTTTTCATTACCACATAATAAATACTGTTAACCAAAGGGACAGCTTTGGCTTATTCTAAATACAGGATTTATTTCCCATGGCTATCACACCATGCATACAGCAAACCTCATTTCCATGAACTGTTTTTCAAATTAATCTGTACATAGCACAGCTATATACAGATACCCACCATCTCGCCCTCTCTTTAAAAGGCAAATCCCCCTAAAATTATATTCATATAATTATATCTATAATGTTATACAGCTCAGCTTTAACGTGAGAGTGTTTATGATTCCTATTGTATTGGTTGTGTTTAATAATTAAGTACAAAAAATGTAATGTATTTATATTTGTATGTGTTATATATTCATACCTGCATAGAAACACACACCTACCTACACAGATACAAGCATATAAATGTATTTATACATATACATGCCTGCATACACAAACTATTCTTCCTTCTATATGAAATTATAACATAATATATACGTTTTTAACAAATATCTTGTTGTTGTGTCAATATCATAGGCAGGAATTTAGTAATCCTGTAATCCTGCACCACAGACAAACATTTTATGTTTCACAGCTGTAAGCGCTCCTTCCACAGAAACTTGTTTGGATGTAATAACTCACACAAATTTCCGGGAACCCATGGAGCCTGCCACTAATGAAGTGTCAATAACGCCATAAAATTGACACCTGCTCTGATTTGTAGCTGGAGACAGTTGTGCATGTTAGTAAATATTGGTTTTACTGTCCAAAATCACTGGGACAGCACAATGTGTATTATGTTTAATGTTAAAGGGGGGGTTCATTCAACTGATACAGATAACCACTGACCACTGGAAACCTTTTATATTACATGTATAACTATCCAGTAATGAGCTCTGGTTTTAACACTTGTTAGTGGCATGAATAATGGCCTCTCCAGCCACTCACATTCATATTTTTAAAAGCAGTAAAGCTCTCACTTTTGAGCAGAACTGTAGTCTTATGATTTGCATTTTGTTTAACCACTTTTAAAAATAAATATAATTTATTGTCATTTTAAGATCAGTAAATTACAAGCCAACATTTTGGCAGCAAACTTGCTCCTTTTCTCCAAAAGCTCGGTGCTAACATCATTATTGTCCTAAAAAAAAAATAATAATAATACTAATAAAAGCGATTTTTTTTTAATCGAGTAAAATAAATTATTATGTTTAATTATGTTTTTGTTTTTTTGTTTGAGAGGCAGGGGTTAAGGGAGTTAATTACCAGATTAGGATTAGGTGCAGTTTCCCCACACTTCAGTTTTTAATTATCTCCCAGTGAAATTGGCTATTTCATGTTCACCTCACGTTTGTTCAGTGTTGTGAAATAGTTCCATCCTCGGACGATCTCAGTAATTTTGAACAGGCAGAAATTGTGGTTGCCTTATCCGCCTGACAGGACCCTCCCACTCCCAGCGGAACATGAATGCAGGAAGCTACAGAGCCGGCTTCGGTGAGACTATATCATTCATTTTTTATGTAATGAAGCCATAAACGACTCTATCCGAGCCTGGTTATTGTTGCTTTTAAGAGGCTGCGACAATACCTAACTGTGAGTGAACCGAAACAATAAAAATCGGGGTTGTTTTTTTCCTTTTGGTGTTACGAAGAGTTAAGCTAGCTCCTGCGTCTTTTTTTTTTTTTTTTTTTTTTATTAAATTTGTAGCTCACTGAGAGTTCACCAACTCTTCGCGGCCTCTGGATCTCACTGTGGCGGACACTTAAGACCAAAACATGTTAATAATGTTCTTGCAGTTAGCCAGCTTGCTGCCTGTATGAACATTATCGTAGCCCTTACCTTACGGCTCTCGGGGATTGTCATTGAAAACAGTCCGGATGTCAAACTGTGCGCTCATTGGACGGACGAGCCACGCTGAACTCTCCTATTGGACGGAGATCACGGAGCTTTGTTTGTTTACGAGCTGGAAACCGGTGCAAAAGCGCCTAAAATATTAGTGTTTTGTTTTTAGGATACACTAGGAAACCATCAGTAAGATTATGTCGTGATTTAAGGCCCCCTTCCTCTTCATTATCCCCCCTTTTTTATATCTTGTTTGGCTCCATGGCTGGATTAATCTGTAAGGCCTTTTTGTGTATGCACCCTGTCTCCTTCAAGGTTTAATTAAGTGCAATGTACACAGTAGACTATAGAGAGTAGAGATTATATAATAGGGTCTTCCTTCTGGGTTTTGGATTGCTGAACCAGTAAAACTTCATTTAGGAATGTGGACACTGTCAGCAACACAAAACTAAAACTTACCTGAAATGGAGGGTCTGGAAAGCTTGATTCAGACACAGTGCTTTCACAATAATGTCTTTATTCGCTGGTATTTTACTCTGGAGGTGTACATTTCCTCACATATTTGCAGTTCAGAAACTAAATGACACAGGTTAACCTTTCATGGTGCCTCGGTGCAGTTGCTGACTTTACCCAGCTGGTGGTTCAGACTTGTCTAGATCAAGCTGAGATGAATTGTACTTTGTACCTTGCATCATAAAGCCTGTCAGAAGCGTGTCACCTGATCACCTGTGATGCTTACTGATGGGCTTCGAAACCATGTTCAAGTTGTTTGGCAGAGTCAAAGTGATAGTATCATAGTGTGTTTGGTAATATTGTTGAAATCAGTATCACAATGTTAATAAGAATATTATTAAATATCAACAAATATGTATCACAATATGGCAACGGTATGTAAATGTTGATATTAAATAATCCTACGGATATTTGAAGCAGTGAAATGTCCAAAATCCAAACAAAGTCTTCAGTTATTAATTTTGTAAATTTTTAATTACAATTTGCCTGAAATTGTTCATTTGGATAACGTGAATTTGTAGAATGATAACATGATATGATTGTGTTCAAAGCTGTTAAATAATATCCAATTATTGCTCAGCCCGGGGATTCACACTCCTCAAAGTTGAATAGTTGATCTCTGAAGGTGAAATTAGAATTCACATAGCAGTAAGTGTCACTGTGTCACTTTCACTTTGTGGACCGATTGACTGGACTCCTGTGTTTCCTCACTGCTTCTTCAGGTGCAGTCACACCTGTATTTTAGATTTTAAATCTGATTGGGAAAGATGAAAGATGTAAACATGCCGGAGTTAGCAAGGATGCTAATTTATCTCTGTAGTTCCTAAGATGCTTTTTGGTGCCACACACAGTATAAACATAGCTGAGCTCCCAACTATCTCCTCTCTTGATCTGATTATCCAGTCATTGTACGAGTCTTCAACTCTTTTTCCACCACTTCCCACCTAATGTCTCCCTCCACTCCTCTCTCAGGTGTAGACTTGAGGATGTGGCTTCTGTGGATCCTGCTGCTGTCGCTGCTCTCTTCAGTGTCTGCGGGTGCAGACTCCAAGGCTGTCACCACCACTCTCACAACCAAATGGGCAGATACTCCTCTGCTGCTGGAGGCCAGGTACGACATTGCACTGCTCAACAGTAGCAGCCATTTGGCTGCATTACCTCTGACATTAAATTTCGGAAGCAGATAATAGATAAATCAATGTCCTGAGGACTTGTAGGGTCATTACTGAGACTGTCCTCTAAGTGAGTTTAAACTTCTGTCTCACTGATGTGTCCTTGAGCTCGATGCTGAATACTTAAAGGCTTCAGATGCTGCACTATGTGCTGTAGCTGACCCTGAGCTCTGACTCTGGCAAGCAAAATAAAAACCTTTATCAAGAAAGTAATTATTAGTCTAAATGTATCTTTTTACAGTATGCACAAAATGTGTCATATATATATATATATACGGTACAGGCACAGCTTATGAAACTGCCTTCATCCTTCATCCATCTTCATCCTCTTCTTCCTCAGTGAGTTTCTGGCCGAGGAGAGCCAGGAGAAGTTCTGGGACTTTGTGGAGGCCAATGAGAACATAGAAGGAGAGCATGATGGTAATGTAAAGCTGCTTCAGCCCCCCCAGGCCTGCTTACACTTTCTCTGTGTGTCACAGTCTCTGTGCTGCTAGCAGCTGAATTTATGATGTGTATGCAAGCATCTTGGCAGCAATTGCAGTGTCAGTGTTTTGGCCAAACACTTATGCAAGCAATAATGTGATAGAACAGAGCTGCAAACTGTATTTTTCTCTGTTCATTTGTGTCTCTGCCTGAGTTAAAACAGTCCAACCATAACTTTCTGCAACAGAGTTAAAGAAAAGCTGAAAACACGTCAAAGAACACAATTTGTGCTTATTGTCCTCATGCAGACACAGATCAAGCCTACTATGACCTGATTGTGAAGAGAGCCAGTGCCTTGCTCAGCTCCGTCCAGGTGAACATGCTGAAGTTCGCCCTCTCCCTGAGAGCCTACTCTTCAACAGTACACTCCTTCCAACAGGTACCAGGAGGGTGATTAAATATTTGTACATGCATATGAGGAGTGTCATATTCCTTTGAATGTGTGTGAGATATCCTGCTTCTCTTTTTTTTAGATAGCGTCCAATGAGCCTCCTCCCACTGGCTGCTCAGCATTTTTCAGCGTCCATGGAGAAAAGACGTGTGATGCGGACGGTTTGGCAGCACTGCTGAAAACAGCACCTGAGAGGTAACTAAAGACGCGTACAATTCACACATGAGGGTGATTGATCTTATAAGTGACTTCACTGTCTCTCTTTCAGGCCGAAGCCATACCTTTTCAAAGGTGACCACAAATACTCAGGATCCAATCCAGATGCTCCTGTTGTCATTCTGTATGCCGAGTTTGGGAAACCAGATTTCCAGAGGCTTCACCAAGTCATAACATCTAAAGTCCATGAAGGCCTGGTGACTTATGTGCTCCGCCATTACCTGGCTGTAGGTGTTTCTCACACACAACATTAACTAAGGCCCCATTTACACCTGATATTAACATCTATCTGAATTGTGGGTGTTTGTAATTACACCTTTAATAAGCATTCTCGTTATCTTGATGATGGACGGGGAATGGCGGAATTGTGAATACCGTAGACATGTTCCCGGTCAAGGGAAGCATTGCCACAAACAGACGTCATTCATTTCTAAATCAGTGGTTCCCAACCTTTTTGGTGTCAAGGACCCTCACATTGATACACATCAGACTATGGACCTGTATTTGATAGGATGTGGTCTGAGGGATTTAGTTATTCCATAAGTCTATACTGCAGATTGGTAGATTAACAGGGAAAAGTCTGAAACCTATGAACAGAATAGTCATTCCTATACATTCTCTCATTAGGCTAATTAGTCAATGAAATAATAGTCAAATTTAAATATTTTTGGGGTCCTTAAGGGGATTCGAGGGGGTCCCTTGCTGAGTCGATTTATTTCTTGAGAATGTGGTCACGCTGTACGGACTGTATTTTCACCAGATTGCGATCCCATTGCAATGTGAGCAATGTGGTCTGGCTGGTCCAGTTTATGTTTCATGTATTTGTTACATTACTTAGAAACTCAGAAGAACTAGAAAGTAAGTTTCTAAGTGACTTTGAGCTGTTTTTAAGTGCTGTCCTTGTGAAGTTCTTTAAGGGTAAGTCAGGGAAAGTGAATGGATGCTCTCCTCTCCTTCCACAACTGCTCTCATGGTGTGTTGTAGTACTGCACAGCCCTAACAAGTGAATATACTGTTCATATCTGTATCAACATGACGCAGGATTCAAAAGCACTTGTGTTTTCAGTTATTCTTATCTTAAAAAACTGTAGTTTAATTGTGCTCCTCATTTTCACCTGGGATTAAAAGTGCTTCTTCAATTCATCGTGTCAAGTTGAGATTTTGCTTGCTTCTTCCCTCACATGAAAATACAGCTGGTACACTTTTTTTCACTGTAATTATGCTAAATTATTCTCACCATCTGTCGGTTAGGCACGAGGTCCTGGGCACCAGAGAGGTTGTAACACTTAACGCTTTTCCTTTTTACTTCAAAAGCTTTCGGGCCAATCAGGGCACAGTTAGTGCCTTCAGCACTTAGCAAGCAACAGCTGGTTGTCTGTACTTGAAAGCTGTCAAAGCAGTCAGAAAGTACATATGCGAAATAAAATGCAAGTGAGGTTCATTTTTGACAACAGAGATGAAGAAGAATACAAAGAAGTTATTGGAGCCTTTAAAACAGAAGCCACTTGGGCAAACCCTGTTTTTTCTGCGTACTTAGTTGTATATATGTTGGAAGCATTGTTGGAGTTAGACAGCTTGTTTGTTGTCAAGGAATCTGACATCTCTTTTACAATGCTTCCTTCTTTCCCTTCAGAGACCAAGTGGAAAGAAAGTCTATCTGTCTGGGTATGGTGTGGAGCTGGCCATCAAAAGTCAGGAGTACAAGGCGAAGGACGACACACAAGTGCAAGGTGCACACACACACACACACACACACAAGAACACACACTATCGATACTCACGCACATGCCCACAATGGTTTAATCCCAGAGTCCTGATGTGAATAACGAGTTAATTAATTGTGGTTTCAGGGGCGGAGGTGAATGCTACAGTGATCGGAGAGAATGATCCAGTGGACGAGGTCCAGGGATTCCTTTTTGGCAAACTGAAGTGAGTGACTTTGTGTCAGCCCATGATAAAAGTTCAAGGCTCGGACTGGCTCCAGGAACTGCACCACAGCCGAGCCTTTTTCTTTCCCTCCACAGTTTCTTTCCTCAAAGCATTGATCATAACCCTTTAACTCGGACAAACTAACCCGAAAATAAACAACTCCGACAACTCATTATAGCAGGCGCTTACTCTCTTTCTCCGTCTGTTTGTCGTTCTCTCACCAGGACCCTCTACCCCGAGCTGAAAGAACAGTTAAAGGAGTTGAGGAAACATTTAGTAGAAAGCACCAATGAAATGGCACCTCTGAAAGTCTGGCAAATGCAAGGTGGGTCTCTTCTCCAAATCATATTCTTCCACTTCCTACATCACTGAATATGTAGATACAAACGGTCTGTGTAAGAAATATGTGTTTATGCCTATTGGTATTACATCAATTATAAATTATAAACTATATAATTATTGTACTTAATAGTCTGTTGAGTGACAGACTAATGAAAATATACGTGAGGCCTTCTGAGCATGAACCAAACACTTCCTCAGCTTACTGTTAACACCTGCAGGCATTTTTCCTGTCACTTAAATTGTGGGGGAATCGATTTTATGATCCTGTAAATACACCCTCAGGACTGAGATCTGTGTCCATTAGTTTCATAGCTACAGTTGACAAAAGATAATTATCTAATGGCAGAAGTCCCAGATCTTCATCCCCATAAAAGTTTAATCAATTGTTTCCTGACCCAAAAAGGTCCATCTGTCCTCTCATAGAAATCTGGCGGAACGTTTTTTTTACAAATTCTTCTTGCATAAACTCTCTAAACCTCACTCATAATAAGAAGTTTGTTTAAACCCACAGAACTTCATTGTAAAAACAGCTCCACCTTAACAAGCTACAATAATAAAAGTGGTGCATCAGTGCATCGGTATTAATAATCCAATAATATAATAGTTTTTCAGCAACATTTTAAGGACATTTTGCTGATTATAATTCTGTATTATTATGAGTAAGATTTCACTTGTAATGGAATATTTTTTTTCTCCGGGTGCTCTGATTTCCCCCAACATCAAAACATGTATATTAGTCCTGTAGTGTGTCTCTGTACGGTTCACACTACGGAACTTTTCAGTAAACGAGAGTCTTGAAGTTGTTGTGGTTTTCACACTACAAGATCTTTCACAACCAGTCTCACTGTGACCCTTTGCTGTGTGTAATCCCCTCTCTTCCCCTCCCCTTTCCTGTCTATCTTCAGCTGTCACTATCGATTACAATACAAATTCTCACTAAAATAAGTACTGTTTGGTGGAGCAGATACACGCCGAATTGTTTAATTCTCCAGTCAGTGCCCTTGGCCAAGGTACTGGCTCAGATCTGGAGTTGATACCCAGGCGCTGTACAGTGGCTTCCCACTCCTCTTTGTAATTAGGATGGGTTAAATGCAGAGGACAAATAAATGTCACTATACGTTGTACTGTGTATGACTGTACATGTTACAAAATTCTGTTGTATTCTTAAAATAATGCACAAGACACTGAATATTAAAACTGTATAAGTCATTAACTGAGCGGGATTTAAAGACATACATTTAGCCAATTTAAATGTATGAATGAGACTTCACTGTCTGTGTTTAGCTTTGATTTTCCTTTGTGTGAAAATGGTATTAAAACATTTTCTAGTAATCATTCTCTGATGCACGGAGAGTATTGAAAGGTAACTAATTCCAGCGAGAGAATTTGCATCCCTGTTGTAGATGAGCTGTAGATGAGCTGTCGATGCCATTGTTTCATTACTTTGATTTACTTTACTTGCATAGATTGTAAATAAATAAACAAAATAAGTATTGGCCTCTGTTGCTTTAACAGTGAGATCATTCCATCGGTGAATCAAACTCACAGCGGCAAATTTATTTGTCATGTTCTGTAATCAATGGCCACGGTCGATCAGTATCCCCTTGATACATTTGAGCCATAATATGGTGAAGCTATGAGAGCATTGTCTGCTGCAACATAAAAGCATTATTGATTTAGGGTTACATCATCTGTTGGATTACGCATTTGGACACTTTCACAGACGTAATGTGTTGTGCTTTTGAATGATGTCCTCTTTTAAGTCGATCTGCCTCAAACATTTCTTTCTCATTTTGTTTTTGGTTTATATGTGTTTGTTGTTGGGTTTTTGTGTGTGCATACATTAAGGGTCTTCTTCTGTCATTAGGTGTGGTCTGGATGAAAGCATGAGGCTGCTTTGATTGTGATGTATAAAGCGCGCGAGGGGATGAGAGAGTCGGTTGAGCTCGACTGTCAGAATGTCATGTGGGCGTCTGTCTTTATCTTCTGCCCCGCTGGGGCTCATTAGCACAGCCTGTTTACAAAGAGAAGGAGACCTCCAGGGGCTAATAATCACACAGGCTACAACACCATTACAGAGATGCTCACTGCACTGAAGCAATCCTCACTACACTCATCCTCTACTCGCAAGCAAAAGCTCTGCATGCAGTATATTCTAACAAATGTCTTCATGTATACACGTCTGTTTATTCTTGCTTAATCCTGCCTTAAATCCTTTGGATGCTTTGAGGTAGTTTTAATTAATGCCTCAGATGTGAAGACAAGCATGTTAACATGGAATTAAATTGGTAATTAATAAATTAATTCGCTTAACTGATTGCTAGCAACATGGCTCCAGGTATGGCAGCCAGTGGGTCTGTACAATCCACCACTTTGGTCCAGAATTAAGATTCCTCAACGACAATCAAGTTTTGTACAGACATTAATAGTGCCCAGAGAATGTACTTTAATATCTAAAGCCAGCATTTGAGCTGGTTGACATTTGTGATTTGAGTTATATGTCTCAAACATCTTATTGGATAGATTGCTGTGACATTTTTAGGAATGTAAAGATAGTTAAATCGCGATTCAAATGTATGAAGATTGATTGATGGATGTCCTATTTCACTCGCGTCAGTAGTGGTATCAAGGCTCAAAGACATCAGTTTCAGTTTTACAAAGAAAATGAATTATGAATTGTTTTGCACAGTTCATAAAACTGAGAAAATGTATTTTAGTTATTTTAGTCTGAGAAATACAGGACTCTTCTTCAGTCATAATTTGTCTTTTAATCTGAGAAAAATCATGTCGTGAACCCAGTATCGTGAATTGTATTGAATCGAAAGTTGAGCGTATCGTGACAACCCTAGAAATTTGGCTCAGAGATTCTCCTTCCTCAGTTGTACTTTGTGCTCAGTGCTAAGTAGCGTGCTCCACTTGCTCAACTTAGCCCAGTTGAGGGCCTCTTCATCATTAATCAAGTGTGTCCCAGTGAGCCTTGAAAAACCTCAACAAGTTTGAGGTCTTAACAGGCACTCGGGGGGGCTGCGGTCAGTACGCACTTGAGTACTCGTGAAAGCTGATGAAAAGAATTGAAATGGACCCAACAGTACACCTGCTTAGTGTTATCATGTTAGCATTGTCATTATGTTAGCATGCTGATGTTTACCCCACACATACAGCCTCACAGAGCTGCTTGACTTTCTAGACTTTGTTTTCTTAAACAAATGATGGTAAGTTAAATATAGTAATCATTTCAGCTGTTCAAAAACCTCTTGTTGTTTTTTTTTTTTTCAACTTTCTGCTGCAGAAACTTGAGCCTTCAAGCGTTCCCTCTTCATGAGTTTATTCACAAAGAGTACAGATACTTTTATTTTGTTGAAACTTTGTGTTTCTCTGTCTGTGTACCCTCTTGTGAGTTTCCTCATCTCCTCTCTGCTTTTGTCCAATCATCTCTTTTCCCTCTTCCCTTTTTTTACCCTCCTTTCCTGCCTACCCATCCACCCACCTTTTTCTTTTATAGATCTGAGTTTCCAGACAGCAGCTCGCATTCTTGCTGCTCCCGCTGTTGATGCCCTCAATGTCATGAAAGACCTCAGTCAGAACTTCCCCACCAAAGCCAGGTAAAGAATAAAAACACAATAACTGTGGCTACAGTAAGAAGTTTTGGTTTACACAGAGAACGACAAGTCAAGCAGTTTTACAATTCAAGCCTGCCCTTTTCCTCTCACAGGTCCATCACTAAAACAGTGGTCAACTCTGAGATCCGCAAGGAGATTGGCGAGAACCAAAAGGTACGTGTTTGTTCGTCTATTCATCTTTCAAGTTTGGTATCTATCAATCTTTAGCTCTCCTATTATTTTTAATGAACGAACAATAAAAAAACCCAACAGATTGTCATTATTGGATGAGCCTGGATTTATTCCATATTTTTTCTTATTGCCAGTAAATCCCATGAAAATATAAAAACTCACAATTTTATTGGTCTGTTGTCTGTCTCTCTGTACTTTCCTACTCTGTCTGTGGCTCTCAGCCCAAGCCCATCCTTTCCTACTGAAGACTTAAATCTGCACTGATGGTTCACAAATATATTGTTTAGTTTTATAATAAGTACTTTCCTAAAACGGCTTCATTGCTAAAACAAGAATAAATAGTGCATTTGTTGGGGGCTATTTTCAGCTGTGGATTTACACATTTGGTGTTCTAGTAGTGAGTATTTACAGCAGAAGGACTGTGTGTTTGAGATGGACTCAAAATGAACTAAACTCTGCGTGTTCATGGTAATGAAGGAACATTTTATCCGCTGCACCAGTGTGGCTCATTAATGTGTTTTTAACAGTGGAGCTCTATGATACAGAGGATTAAGATACATCAGGCTTTGGCTACACAGATAATACTTGTTGTTCAGATCAATAAATTGGCAGTTTTTGCCTTTTTCATGGAATTTGTTGATAATTACACAAAGTATTGTCAGTCTTATCACCTACAGCCTAATCACTTGTGGTTGTTGGTATATGCAGAAAGATGTACATTTGACACTTATTTTTGCTTTATTCATCTTTAATAGATTATTGTCGTATATCTTTTTCTTTATTGTTCCTATTTAGAATTGAATTTCCCGGGAGGTTTAGTGTTCAGATTTGCAAATGTAGTAGTGTTTTTTATTATATATTAAAATATTTTGAGGAATTCTTTACTTTTTTATTAGATTGTGGAGGGATGACTAGAAATAAAATTTTCTTTTGCCAACTTTCTGTAAATTTGGGTAAAACCTGCTAAAACCTGCCTACTGACTTGACATCCTCTTTCATTCCCCCGTCTTGTCTTAGTGCAGCATGCTGGTACTTTCTCTTCCTGCTGACTGCGTTGTCCAGTGGTCAGGGATAATATAGGTTTAGCTGTTTACCAATCTAATCCAATAAAGGAGAGAAATAAAGAAAAGCATTATTGCACACAACCACAACCCCTCAGCCTCTTAGCGGCCTTTTGGGAAATATCTCAGAATGAGAGCTGCCCTTCCTGCTTTTGTTTTGCTCCTCTTACCTTTTATTATGTGATAAATTGTTAACAACATCAGACTTGAAAAGCATTCAGTTTCTGACAATGTGTTTGGCTTTGCTCTGCTAATGGAATAGGTAATCATCCCTTTTTCTTGTCAAATACATTTTCATTCCTCTGCCCTCCCTCTCGCCTCCTCACCCCCCCTTCCTCAAGCTGTGCTCACATTATCTTGGTGTGCAGACAGGAGTTTGGGTGGGTGGTGGGGTTGAGCAGCAAACGTCCTAATTACTGAATCGGTGATTCATTCGGCAGGCGCACTGAGTCCTGCAGCGAGAAATGATTATTGATTGAAGTAGTTTGGACACATGCACTTGCACGTAGACTCTCTCTCTGTCTCTTTCTCTTTCTCACTCACACACACACTGTTTAAGTGGGATGAACAATATTTGTGTTAATCATGTCTTGTTGTAATTGCAGTGTCTGGAGTATGATTAATCTGACGTCTTTGTCTTTCTGTAATGAGATTTGACTGCGCCAGAACGACTTTGAGCTTTCCTTTTTTGCCTGTGCAGATACACAAACACTCACACGGCTTCTCACAGCGGTGCACACACCCTTTCTGTAATAATTAGATTTGTTTAGTGTGGGGTTTGATTGCTCTAAACAGACTGATTTTAAACAGAGCTGTCAGTGCTTGTTTGGAGCTGACGACGTGCCTTGTTACGGCTTTGTGTCGACTGTTGCCTCTAGTTTTACAATATAATTGACTACGCAATGGCTGGCTTTGACGTTACATGCTACACAGCGTGGCGACGGGCTCAGCTGGAGTTGAATGGGGAGTTTTAGGTGTTTGATGTGGACAGGATGTTTATTCATGTTGACGTTTCTCTTCTTCGTAGTTCTTCAAAGGAACTCTGGGCCTGCAGCCGGGAGATTCAGCCCTGTTCATCAACGGGCTGCATATAGATCTGGACACACAAGACATCTTCAGGTACACACATCATCGTTGCATATTAATATACGGTATATTATCATTCGGGTAATCTCTCTTGTGTTTTATTTCCAACTTATACTCACTTGCATTTCATCAAACTTTTGCAGCTTGTGGAATTAAACATCAAACTATTTTTTAAGGTGATGTCGTAAAATGAGGTACAATGATGAAGCAGCAAGTTCTGACATCTGAGGGGGCGTAACTGTTGAATATTTGCCATTTTTGGTTGATTATATGACTGAAATGTTGGGCTACAACAAATATTTGTTTTTCTTTATCAAACTTCCTTGTTCTGTTTAACCAACAATTTAGAACCTGAAAATATTAATTTACCTGTCATATATGCAAAACAGCAAATCTTTATAGTAATAATTTTATGCCTCTGTGCTGACAATAGCCGTGGACGCAGCTGTCTGTGCGTTTGTCCGTCCGTCCCATTGTTGTGAACGTAACTTCTCAGGAATGTTTCAAGGGGTATGAGTATTGTTAAATAATAATAATAATAATAATAATAATATGCTGTATATATTTTTTGAACATTGAATCGCTACTTGTATCGGATGATACGCAGAGTTTGGAGTATCAGTATTGGAACATCTCTAGTTGTAGATGTTTATTTAAATGGTATTTTAATGAGATAATGAGCCCTAGGTATACGTGTACGTCTCTCATAATCAGATGTTAGCGGTTATGTTGCTACTTGCTTATATTATATAAACAAAAATTCACACGTGTCCTTCTGTTCCTTGTTCCCTGCAGTGTGTTTGAGGTGCTGCGCAGTGAGGCGAGGGTGATGGAGGGTCTGCGCTCCCTGCACATCGAGACGCCCTACATCCATGACATCCTGAAGCTCAACGTCCAGCCCTCCGACTCCGACTACGCTGTTGACATCCGCAACCCTGCCATCAGCGTAAGAAATCACCCTTAATTAAACACTGATGCTTGTCACTTCTTGTTCCAACATGTCCCGGAAAACCTGGAGGTGCTGGAATTCAGTAATCCAACATTTTAGTGATGAAAATGTAACAATTGCTCAAAGTGTCCTTTTCTAATAGGTTGTTCTTGGAAAGATTTTTATTTATTTATTATTATAAAATCAGGGTGATACGTGAAACAAATTTGGAGGCACTTATTTACTTAATGTTTGCAACAGCTAGCAGCTTAAATGACAGCAAAAATATTAGCATCAAAATATACAGTCATAAGTATAAAAGTTGTGTTATTTCTAAAAATCAAATTTATTTCCTGATTCTATTTATAAAATGTAAATACTCTGATAGCCTCAAAATTGTGCTGAAGTTAAGTTCTGCACTTGAATAAATAATGATAATAATCTATAATTTATAGAGCACTTTCAAAACCCACATTGCAAAGTGCTTCACAAAAAATAAAATTAAACACAAAACTCATAAAATCATCAAGTTTTGTACTTTGTTACTTTTTCAACTTTGAGTAATCGGTTAATTGTTGGCAAAAGTACCAGTTTGTGTCTGATTTCAGTCTGTAATTAGAAGGCCGTTGGGTTTTAGGCTATTCTTTGTAGAAAACAAGTATTTTGAAACTTTGAAATTTTAACTATTTCTGACATTACAATTAACTGAAAAAGATTGAAGAGAAATGAAAGCAACAACTGATTCTGTTGATTCTGGCGGCCCCTGTGGACAAAAGCAGTAGTGTTTCCACCACCTCATTTTGTTTGTTTTATCGCTTTTGGATTTGTTTCTTTAGGGAAGTCATATAGAGGCATCAGTATTAAATTGAGACTCTTTCATAACCAGTTAAAAACTCTGTGTAGGTTTATTAGACAATTAAAATAACTGTTGGAACATTTTACAGCAGGTAGTTTTCAGCTACCTGCTATAAAATGCAATTTTCTTACTGGCACTGATCTGCTGTTGGCTGCTCCTCTCAAACCTTTCCTCTGCAATTCCCTTTTCATTTTTAGTGGATTAACAACTTGGAGACGGACCACAGGTACAGCTCGTGGCCTTACAACGTGCAGGAGCTGCTCAGGCCGACCTTCCCTGGAGTCATCAGGCAGATCCGCAAGAACTTCCACAATCTGGTTCGTCTGTACCTGATTAATCAACCCTGTGTGAATCCAAATGGATCTGAATCCTCATTTAAAATACTAACGTGTGTGTGTGTGTGTGTGTGTGTGTGTGTGTGTGTGTGTGTGTGTGTGTGTGTGTGTGTGTGTGTGTGTGTGTGTGTGTGTGTGTGTGTGTGTGTGTGTGTGTTTTGCAGGTGATTATTCTGGACCCAACTCAGGAGAACGCTGCTGAGCTGCTGAGCGTTGCAGAGATGTTTTATGCTAACAACATCCCACTGAGGTTGGTGTTTGTGTCAGCAGGGACAAAAACTCGCCAGAACTCATTAGGAGACTTGACAAGGATATTTTAATTAGTTTGAAAAGACATTCTTTACATATCGGACATTAAATGTGTTTTCTGATGAATGTGAGTTACATAAAAAAAAGGATATTTCAAGAAACAAAAACTGTTTTTTTATAGCTTCAGAAAAAATGTAAATAGACGCTGCAGGGCAGTTGCAGTCATTAGGGGCATGCAGTTAAAATCCATTTTAATTTAGGAATTTTGTCAGGCAGGTTTGGGAGACCTTTGATACCTCCCTGTATGTGGCATCTTGGGATGGTCAGTTTGTTTGAATACTGATGAAGCACACAGCACACACTCTGCATTTTAACTGTTATTTGGTGTGTGTGTGTGTGTGTGTGTGTGTGTGTGTGTGTGTGTGTGTGTGTGTGTGTGTGTGTGTGTGTGTGTGTGTTTTAGAATAGGACTGGTGTTTGTGGTGTCAGATGAAGATGACATAGACGGCATGCAGGATGCAGGTGTGGCTCTGGTCCGGGCCTACAACTACATCAGCGACGAGGTGGACAGCCAGAGCGCATTTGAAGCCGTCATCTCGGTGAGTAGACAAATTCCTTAAAACACCTTTTGTCCTACTGAGAACATTAAGTTTGACACCAGTAACTAAAAACAAACTTGAGCAGAGAATGTTAAAGTTGAGTTACTTTTGTATAACTGTTCTCCTTAAATTCTCTGTACCTTCATCTTTTCCTTCCTTATTTCCCTCTAGATTTTCAACAGGGTCCCTATTGGTGGACAGTTGAGCGTTGGGGATGTGGTGAAAGTGCTGGAGAAGAAGTTCCCCTACGTGGAGGTCAGCAGCGTCCTGGGAGCCGACTCCAGCTATGACAGCAACAGGAAGGTGAGAGGGGCTGAATGCGATGTCACTGTGCTGGACGCCATCATTTTGTGGATATTATCAGTCAATGGGGAAATACAATTATTTGCTCCCTCGCATGAGAAGATTGACACCACTTTCATGTCTTTATGCTGAAGCTGTAGCTGAAGCCAGTAGGTGACTAGCTTAGCTTAGCATAAAGACAACAGTACAAGGGGTAAAGTGTAAATCTCAAAATTACATTTTTGTTAATGACAGGAGTTATAATATGTTAATTAATGAGCTTTAGAGGTTTCAACATTCAGATTTCAATCTGCTCACCTAATTCTACAAAGATCATCTGCAAGCTTATTCCATGTATGTGTACTGTAGTAAAAGGCAGCTTCCCTGTGTTTTGAACTGGCCCAATGAACTGCAGACATTATTCTTATTAAGAGCGCTTGAATGTTCATGTGGTGAAAACATATCAGAGATTTTATTTGGTTCTAGCACAGTAAGTGATTTGTATTCTGAAACCAGTATTTCTGTGAGTCTGTTTGAACTCTGTGCATTAATAACAAATCAGATTTTTTTGGGGGGTAGACCTGGTTACAATAGTCAAACCTGCTGAAGATAAAAGCACGGATAGGATTCTGCTTGGACCTCCTACTCTACTTTAGCTATGTTTTTGAGATGGTAAAAGCCTGATGCAAGTTAAAGTAACATCTCTTCATCTCTCCTCTTTCAGGATGGGCGGGCGTACTATGAGCAGACGGGGGTGGGCCCGCTGCCTGTGGTCATGTACAACGGCATACCTTACCAACGTGAGCAGCTGGATCCGGATGAACTAGAGACGGTCACCATGCAAAAGATTCTGGAGACCACCACCTTCTACCAGAGAGCCGTCTACCTGGTCAGTTAGACCATACACACACACACACACACACACACACACACACACACACACTGTGATATACAGTCACAGTGAGCTTAAGTGGGGGTTTATTATCACATTTTGAATCACTGTTTTGTGTTTAATTTCCTACGTACAGTACAAACTAAAGAAATTTACTGATTGTTCATATTTTTAAACAAATAAGGTTAATCTTATCAAATAAGACTTAATGGAAAAAGTTACATATTCACTAATAATAAGCTGACACAGTAACATACCAGTGGGTGTATTTATTTATGCTGTGTGTGTGTGTGTGTGTGTGTGTGTGTGTGTGTGTGTGTGTGTGTGTGTGTGTGTGTGTGTGTGTGTGTGTGTGTGTGTGTGTGTGTGTGTGTGTGTGTGTGTGTGTGTGTGTGTGTGTGTGTTTTTTACATTTTCTGGAGCTGCTACTAGGAGTTTTAATTAAAAGAAAAATGAGTAGAAGAGCTCAACATGATTTATTTTTATTTTTTTTAAAGAGAGTTGTTCATTTTAACAAGTACACTGTCTGGGATTGTAGTGAGTAATACATTTTCTTTTAAGCTAGATCTTTGTGAGCATGCCATCTGCTGTGCTTTCCTGTTTTAATGTCATTCCAGCACTCCGAGATGCCAAATGTTTGAATTGGTTCTTTCAAAGGCTTCTGTTTTGTAAGGTCTTAAAGCACAGTTAGCAGTGTTTAATTTAGTTGCTGTACCAGTCGGAGTGGTGAACATGTTCTTAGTCATTACTCTTGTTTTCTCCTTTTTAATGTCTAATCCGAACTTGTTGGAGGAAAACTTTTCAGTCGATACGCGAGAATCAGTAACTGCAGTGGAAAAGCTATTAAATCTTGTGGTGTCTGTCTTAGCTGTGACTATACGGATGAAAAGCGTGCAGACAAGTACCTCCTGCATCACGTTCTGCAGTAAGAGTGAAGAATGCCCTCTCTGAATTATTCCTTTAACATCCTCAAACTGTGCTCATGTGGCTCGCAGGGTGAGCTCGCTACAGATCACGACGTTGTGGATTTCATCATGAATCAGCCCAATGTCGTTCCTCGCATCAACCCCAGAGTGCTGTCCACCAGCAGAACATACCTGGATCTGTCTGACACCAGTGAGTACACATTAGGGGTGTAAACAAATATGAATATATTATCCGGATATGACATTAAAGCAGAGTTCATCCTAAATAACTTCTCATATTTATTTTACTTGATTAGTTGTGTAGTGGAGGATAAAGCTCGTCTAATGTTGTGCAGCTGTTATTTTTACCTAATGATCCGATACTGAAGCCTGGTCACCTTGAAAACTTGACAGTAGAACAGAAACCTGCCAAGCTGAAGTTCATCTCAACATCTTTATCTTCAGCAAAATGGCAGGACAGCTTTTCAGATTGTTGTCAGTAGTGTTGCTATTTTTTATTCATGGCACATTTTAGACCAACTTTACATTCATCTGGTCCGCCTCTCATTATAAATGCAACCTCATTGCAAATCTGACTCATATTATTCCACTTTTGAAACAACCTGTTCTATTTCCATTTTCTAATTACCAATCAGACCATTATCTGTTATCCTGCTTTTATTTTGACTTTTCTCTTATTTTGAAGGTGTAAACCATGTATTATTTGTTTTTTATATATATTTTGCTTGCAGCTAAACTTCTGCATATATGTATGAGAAGTATAAACAGCAGTAGGAAAAATAAATGTAACACATAAAATGAAAACATTTGAACGATTTCTACCAAATCCCGCTGTAGGCTCTGCCAGTCGGTGTTCAAATAACACTGTGGCGTTCAGGGAGCTGTATTTGTGGAGGGTAGGAGGGTACTGTACACATGCATGTCACTACATGAAGGCACCCACCAAAAATATACAATCAGTACAGAGAATATTTAGCCTGGGACAACAAAGAAACTGAGTATTCACCATCGCAATGGTTTCTTTAATCGCAGTTCACCTAGAAACAATTAGAAAGACGACATAAGGAGCGAAACATACGTTGAGTGCGCCCCTAAGTATGGATGGCCACAGGAGGAACAGATAGCATTGTGTTTATTAGGCGCAAATGATCTGAAATGCTTTACTATGAGCCTATTATTTATTTCAGGAACCTAAATATCTAGCTATATATAAATGTATCCAGAAAAACAAAACAGTGGAATCAAAAAGTATGGTATATTTCTCAAATGAGGCTTTCTGGGGATATTTTGAATCCTGTATACAGTATAAATCTGAATATAGATATTTTTATGACATAAACAAATAAATAGAAGCTTTGTGTTACTCCCCTAGTACACTTTCACACATATGCATCTTGGCAGTCTTCGAAATATCATCTTTGGAATTTGTTACGTGATCCGCAGTTCACTGCTTTTGTTGTTTTTTTTCCACAGACAACCACTTTGTAGATGATTATGCTCGCTTCTCGGCTCTAGACACCAAAGAGAAGAGCACCGCTGTGGCCAACAGCATGAACTACATGACTAAGAAAGGTCAGACAGTCGCATATTATAGCAGGCTATTTAAAAAAAAAACACTGAATGGAAGTGTGGAGTGTTTTTTTCTTGAGAAGATAATGTGGTCACTTTCAAGCCTAAACTCTCTCTTCATGTATTCTCCTTCTGTCCTCTCCTCCTCCTCCTCCTACTCCTCTTCCTCGAATGTATGTTTTTAAATATTTCCCTGCATCAGGGATGACCACCACCAACAGGCATGGTAATCACCCTTTTCCTCCACATTATTCCCTCTCCTCCTCATTTGCTCTTTTTTCAGTTTTTTCTGTGAACTACATTGTTGGCAGCGTTTAGATGTGTTTGTGAATCCACCACCACTCTTCCATCTGTGTTACATTTCTCAGAGGACACAAATGACTAATTACGCATGTGATGATTGTCTAATAGGGTCTGATATATAAGTACTAAAAAAAATGTGTTTACATAACTGCTCATAATTTCTAACATTGTTTCTTCCATCTTTAGGACAGCATGTTGATTTTGTGTTATTTGTTGTAGCTGCATGGAGAATGTTAAAAGTTTGATTTCATGTTTGAAAATGACAAAAGTTTATAGGTTTTTGGATAAAATAACCAAGAATATTGTTACTTTTCCATGGTATTTTTGTTTTACAGCCCACTGTGCCACCCACATAGATTTTTTGCACAATTTACCCAACTTTATCTTCACCCAAAACAGCATTGCTCGCCTCTTTAGCCTCATGAGTTCGCCTGCATAGCATCAACTCAGTAACTAGTTCTGACAGCTTGGTTCTTTCTTTGTGGTTGTCAGATGACGGCTACATCCGTCCTGTGACCTTCTGGGTGGTCGGAGACTTTGACAAGCCCTCCGGACGTCAGCTTCTTTATGACGCCATCAGACACATGGTACAAAATCTTTTAATACCGTCTCTTTGTGCTGAACCGTGCTATCGTTTAAAGGAATAGTTCAACATTTTGGAGATACTCATATTTTTGCATTCTTGAGAATAAGAATTTTTAGAAAAGATTTGATACCACTTTCATGTTTGTAAATATGAAAGCCTGGAGATAGTTAGCGGGGAAACAGCTAGCATGGGTCCTGTACATTGTGTTGTTCAGACTCTTCTGATTTTCTAAGGATTAAACAAATAAAATATAATGTAAGTAGTGAGCTTTAGAGGTGTTGGTGTGTAGTTGATTGATGATTAAAAAAGGAACACTTTGAGCAGAATATCTCAAACTAGGATCTAGAGTTCATTTCACTAGTAGACTTTGGTAAGACCAGCTGTTTTGTTATTCTGCTCTCGAAGCATTATCCTGCACTAACACTCACTCGCTCCACGACAGAAAACCAGCAACAATGTCCGACTGGGGATGATCAACAACCCATCAGCCGATCCGTCCACTGAGACGAGCCACGTGGCCAGAGCAATCTGGGCCGCCATGCAGACGCAATCTGCCAACAACGCCAAGAACTTTATCACCAAGATGGCTAAAGAAGAGACCGCCACAGCACTGGAGAAGGGAGTCGACATCGGGGAATTCGCTGTTGGGGTGAGGGGGGGACGGACGGCTTCACTTTTCTGTGCAGAACTGTGATTGAAAATGATCACATTTCCTTCTGTGGTTGAAACATCGTGTCCTCCTCAGGTCTTGTGACTTAATTAACAACATTTCCCCCCTCATCAACTGCCTACAAGTTATCTATTTTTCTTTCAGGGTATGGATGTGTCATTGTTCAAGGAAGCGTACGAGGGTCCCAAATTTGACTTCCTGCTCTCCCACACTGCCTACTGCCGAGACGTGCTCAAACTGAAGAAAGGACAAAAAGCTGTTATCAGCAACGGAAGAGTGAGTCACGGTCTTGTTTCTTATTGTTTAAATAACAACATGAACAGATGTAGTCTGTATCTACCATTTTACCGTAGCATTTAAATCAATACTTTTGTCTCTTCCTTTACAGATCATAGGTCCACTCGAGGAGGAGGAGGTGTTTAACCAGGATGACTTCCTGCTTTTGGAGAGCATTATCCTGAAAACGTCTGGAGAGCGAATCAAAAGCAAAGTCCAACAGTTCGGAACTGAGGAGGACAGGTATTTTATTCCCCATCATTGCATCCGTAGATTCTCCCAAGCTTAAATTTAGTGTAACGTTTTTAAATTGTGTTGAGCTTTTTAAGAAATGTTAACGCAGGATTTCTCTCAGGGCCAGCGACCTTGTGATGAAGGTGGACGCTCTGCTCTCCTCTCAACCCAAAGGAGAGGCCCGGGTAGAATATGACTTTGCGGATGACCGCTACAGGTAAATTGTGATTCATGTGCATAATTTAAAAAAAACTTTTATTCCCTGGGGAGGGGAGACCGTGTGTAGATTACCTCCAGGATTACATATTGTTTTTATTATTTTTGGCAAATGCTGTATGGAAAGTTTTTGAATTCTACCATTTGTGCCTTCACATTTACTTTAAAATATTGTATAATGGTTGAATTTGGTGTTTTCTCTTCGGCCGGCAACAGCCTTGAAAAGTTTGTACTTTCTTCGCCTGACTATTGATTTTGTTGATTTTTTTGGCAGTGCTGTGAAGATCCGCCCCAAGGAGGGAGACGTGTACTTTGATGTTGTTGCCGTGGTGGATCCTGTAACCAGGGATGCACAGAAACTAGCTCCTCTCCTATTGGTAGGTTGAATGTGATCCCTCGTCTGACTGGGTGATCCTCCGTTTTCTGTCCTTCTCACTGATCCGTCCAGTATTTTTATTTGACATCACTTTGACCCTGTCCACAACTGATTTTCTAACCTGTCTTTCTCCTCTCTCCCCCCGGTTCGCCACCTGCAGGTTCTGAAGCAGCTGGTAAATGTGAACTTACGGGTCTTCATGAACTGCCAGTCCAAACTGTCAGAAATGCCTCTCAAGAGGTGAGAACAGAGTGTTCACTCAGTACAGAAACAAACCTTACATCCTTGTTATCAGTATGTGTTTGTGCTTCCTCTGGCCTGAAGTTCACCATTCCCCCTTCCAGTGTTCTTATTCAATGTTTTGAATGAGACACTGAAGCAGTCAGAGGGCTTTGATCTTTGCCAGACGTCAACCATACTACATATCTTTAAGTGTCACTGTCCAGGTAAAATTTAGTGCACACACTCTAGTTTACACATGTTTCTTTTTACTTGTGGATGGATCTATAAACATGTGAACTCAGTAGCTGTTAAAGGTCCAGTATTTAACATTTAAGAGGATTTACTGGCACAAATGAAATATAATATACATAACTATGTTTTCATTATTGTATAATCACCTAAATATAGGAATCGTGTTTTTGTTACCTTAGAATGAGACGTTTTTATGTGGCCCAGCTTTCTGACAGTGCGTAGACCTTGAGTTTGGGATTGTTTTGTCTTAACTGTTATTTCAAAGGTCAAATACTACAGGTTCCCTGTGGAGTTTTATCCTTCTAGTAGTGCTACGGAGCAGTTTTTCTATGAGTGGGTTCCTATTTTGTTTGTCTCGTGCTCTCCTGCCAACGGATTCACACTGTTTCACTAATCTAAAAGGTTGTGGTAAGATGCCAAGACATGCTGCAGTGCGCCAGCAAAGCCAAGGAAGAAGACTACAAGCCAGTAAACTTGGATGTAAACAATGCTGAATATAAAATACTTATAAAATATTGGCTCTGTAAATGTTTTATGGGTAAGGAAATGGATTCGGCACATTTGTTAGACTTTGATGTGTTTTGTGATTCAGCACTGAATGTAAACATAACTTTTGTTTCCAAGAAAACTCCACAGGGCACCTTTTAACTTTGATGCTTCACATTTTAAACAACTCTGTTCCTTTTTACAGAATCTGATATTATTTTAGTAAATCAATAAAAACTAGCAATGGTGATCTTTTGTGTTTGCTGCTTTTGCTAAAGGCATCCAGACTGCTCCGCCTGTAATAAAATTCAAACTGGATTCTGCCCATGCAACTAATAATAGTAATAATGATAATAATAATAATAATTGTGATTCCCACTGTGTTTTCTTTCAGTTTTTACCGCCATGTGTTGGAGCCAGAGGTGGTGTTTCAGGCGGACGGTAGTTTCTCTCCGGGCCCCATGGCCAAGTTCCTCGACATGCCTCAGTCTCCCCTCTTCACCCTGAACCTGAACACTCCCGAGAGCTGGATGGTTGAGTCTGTGCACACCCGGTACGACCTGGACAACATCTACCTTGAGGAGGTACAGCAGTCTGTCTGTCTGGGTCTCATCAGAATCTGTAGTCATGAAATATTTAAAAGTATTTGGGGTTTTCTTTACAAATTTCCAGCAGTAAAGTCTCTGAAGTCTGAAGTTATCAACCCACTCTGTCCTGCTCTCTCAATGAATGTTTTACTACTGGTTCAGTGGTTTGTGTTTTAAAGTGCGCCATCAGTCAGTGTTTAAACACTGCTTCTACTTACCTTGTTCTCCTTAGACTCAAATTGATAGTGTACGAGTTAGATTTCATCCTCATTTCAGTTTTTCAAGGGTCTGTATGAAGAAAAATTAAGAGGGCGGGAGGGTATTTAAATTGTCCTTTTGGCTGAAGGTAGGGTAGTCTGAGTCTTTCATGTGCCTCTTGTCATAAATGTATATTTTATTTCTGCTTTCCTTTGTAATATAGTAAATAATTGTATCAAAAGACGACTTTCACTTGCATTGTTCATAAAGCTACAGTTTGCCATATGAAGAGGGCAGCGTGTTTTAAGGTTTAAATTGGGTCCACATGATTAAGTTAAGATTAAGTTGTACCAATTTAAAACTGTTATTATTATTATTGCTGTTATCACTATTTTGACATGTGGGGGAGAGGGTGTTGCAGTTTTATTCTAAATCAAGAAGAGGCTCTAAAGAAAAAATTAATAACCCTGGGGAGGCCTTTTTATAAGGCGAAACATAAGGTTAAGAACTGCAATATTTTTCATATCGTCTTTAATTATAAACCCTGTTGTTAGACTATTATTTGTTAAACTTTCTTTTTTCTAATTGCCTATTTTATATCTCAGGCTTCTGTAACACCCCCACTTGTCCAGGGAGGGATGATCTCTCTTTTAATTCTCTCTCATGAGATTTCTTCCGTTTTTGCTTTCATTTTTGGAGAGTTTTTCTCCTTCCTCTTGAAGATCTTGGGTTCGTTTGGAAACCATCACCGATGTGTCTCTGTGAAGCCTCTATACGTTGATATTGGGCCGTACAGAACAAACTTAACTTGTCCGGACTCCTGTGTTTGCAGGTGGAGAATATTGTAGCAGCAGAGTACGAGTTGGAGCACCTTTTGTTGGAAGGACATTGTTTTGACGTCAGTTCAGGCCAGCCGCCACGTGGCCTCCAGTTCACCCTGGGAACCGCCTCTGAGCCAGTAATTATGGATACGATCGTCATGGCAAACCTGGTGAGTTACCGCCTTGAATTATGAGCCTCTCATCCTGTTGTGCAACTCTAGAGGAAAAAGTTGCACCTTTGCCGACTGGTTTTAGTTTGTTAATGCTTTTTAAGGCTTTCCTGGATGGTATTGTTAAGTATTTGTTTCTTTAGTTTCTCCTTTATTATTATTATAGTCACACACACACTGTAAATAACTTGTCTCTGTCTGCAGGGTTACTTTCAGCTGAAGGCAAACCCAGGCGCCTGGATACTGAAGATGAGGAAAGGACGCTCTGATGAAATCTATAAGATTTACAGGTGAGAAAAGGAGAATTTGCTGTAATGTGTCAGAGTTGAAATGTCTAATTAGTTTTTAGATTCAGCTTCTTCTCTCAGTTTTGGGTTCGCAAACTACAAAGCTGTCGTCCTTTCTTTCTTTTGTTGCAGCCATGAGGGCACAGACTCTCCAGCAGACTCTGATGACATTGTAGTCGTGCTGAACAACTTCAAGAGCAGGATTATTAAAGTCAAGGTCAGAATACACACGCACAATACCACACTTTCACACATTCAGCGGATCTGATTTTTGTCCCCAAATAAATGAAAACAAATCCTGAATGGTTAGTGGCAACTTTTCCAGTTTTCTCAGTCTGACTGCATTCTCATAAATTTTAATGAGAAGAAGAAACTGCAGTTGGTGCTGAGTCATGCAAAACATATACAGTATGTACATAAATTACATGGGTAAAATTATACATTTGATTGGTGCATTTATTTATATCATGGATGTGGCCGCATACAGACACATTTAAAACTATAAACAAACTACATTCCCAAGACGGCTATAGAATTGTGAAGGGCTAAATCAGAAGTATTGAAAATAAATACAATAAATCTACAAAAAAATAAATTTCGCAATACTTAAATAAATAGATTACGGCACAAAGAAATGCACAATAAATATATAAATGTGAAACTTAAATCCATATACTTTATCCTCAGCCTCACCTCAGCATTAAAGGTGCGGGGTTTTTCTTGTAAGCAAAGTTTCTGTTTACATTCAGTGTTGCCCACCAAAACACATTGTGTGTGTGTCCTTGAGGTCTAAAAAAACATAGTGAATGCATTTCCTTCCTCATAAAACATTTGCAAAGTTGACTTTTCCTTAGAGTTTGAAGCCTGCATTGTTTACATCCACGTTAACTAGCTTCTTTCCTGATTTTGTTGGCACATTAGTGACACATTACAGCCAACTGTAGATCAGTGAAACCTTTGGCTGGGATGTGTATCGAGGCATGTGTGTACTCAAACAACAAAACAGAGGCCCACACATAAGAAATACTGCTCTACAGCACTAAAGGTGGTCCAAAAACTACAAAAACAGCCACAGTGACCTTTTAAATTGATTGTTAAAGGACTTCATGTTCTCTGTGTGCAGTGTAATAACAATTAGGACCACCCATATGAATACTTTAATTTAAAAAGTAGTAATTTATAAAATGGTTGCCTAGCATTTTAGCAACATGTTACTATTTCAGGATGGTCGTGGACAACCAAGAAGGTCTTTATTGATTTCTAGATACTTTTGTGTATTTTTTAGTTGTCCTTCATGTGTCAGATGCATGAATAGTATTTTAGATAATAGACATGGGTTGTTCAACTAACCGGGTTGAAACTGCATATCTATCAGGTCCAGAAGAAACCAGACAAGTTCAACGAGGAGCTGCTGAGCGACGTGACCGAAGAAAATGACGCTGGCTTCTGGAAATCTCTGACCAGGTACAGCTCTGATTCAAAATTACAAAGTCACTGCTTTTATAACGACTGGAGCCACAAATTTAGTAATTATTTAAGTTGTTTATGAAGCAGAAACATTCTCTCGTTCTAGCTTCTCGAATGTGAAGGTTAGTTAATAATTTGTAATGTAATGTATCTTTGGGTTTTTAACGGTTGGTCGGACAGTATGAGTATTCACCAGTTAATCGTAAAAGTAATTGTTATGTAGAGCCATAATAATAGCTCTGAGTCATATGTACATACCGGTATGTAAAAAGATTCACATTATTACTAACCAACTAACCGTATCCCTGCAAACACCTGGATGAATGAATCATTTATGCTGACTCTCTCTTCTTTTGATGTAAAAATGTGTCAGTTTTGTGTGTATTTTTCATTTTCAACTGTTATTCTTTCGTCTTTCAGAGGGTTCACAGGTGGAGGAAAGGCAGAGGAGCTAAAGCAGGAGAAGGACGACGTGATCAACATCTTCTCTGTGGCTTCGGGGCATCTGTATGAAAGGTTCCTCAGGTGAGTGTCAGAGATGTGACCAGGAAAAGAAAAGAGGATTACCATATCAACTGAAATCCTTGAAAACTAACATCCCATCCTCTTATGTGCAGAAAGTCTTTATTGATTTTAGTGCATTTGTTCTCTCAGCTCTGTTGCCACCAGTCTTTTTATTCTCTTTCCCCTCACAGGATTATGATGCTGTCAGTTCTGAAGAACACCAAAACTCCCGTCAAGTTCTGGTTCCTCAAGAACTACCTCTCCCCGACTTTCAAGGTAGGATTTTTTTTTTCCCTTTTTAAAAAATCAGCTGGGTTCTCATCATTGATGTGGAGATTTTCTCTGACGGCTGCAGTTTTCTCTCTGTCTGCCAGCGATGTGGGCTTCAAATGGGAGTTCTAAAAATCAAGGTATAACATGCAGCAGGGATGAGATTTTTGTTTTCGCCGTGGAAGAAAATCTTCAAATGAATGAGAAAACTTCAGTGCTTTTAATGGTTCATAGCTCCATATCATTATTGTTCCCTGTTGTCTCACTATTCTTACTCTGGTTTTAGTTGTCAAGCCTCATTATCCTGCAGATGACATTGTGTTTTCCGACTTTATTTCTTTTGTAAAAGTCACAAATAAGAAATGAATGAGTAATTTTGATTTGGTAACCCAGGTTTCCACTCAGCCTATTCCATAGTTAACTCCATAGTAGCTCCAGTCTTGCTCTTAATCTCAATATTTACAGTATATCAGGATACAGCCTATATAGAGTTTCTGTTTCTGTCCAGAAAATACTATCCCAGCTTGAACTCACCCAGGCAGATGCAAATCAATGCAGTAAAACACTGGAGACAGACTTTAAGTACGTCTGCATGCACATTAGTGTGCACATTCTGATCCTAATCTTCGTTTTGATCTGATATTCGGGGTAAGGCGTTTACATGGAACAAGAGTAACTGGATATTACATACAGTCATAACAGTATCCGCCAATCTGAACGTCTGCTCAGGTTTATTTTTCTCAGCCTTTCAGTTCAGTACCTCAGCAGTTGAGGATGAACACAGTTTAGTTTCTTGCTGTCTGAACTCTCCTGAATTTACCACGCAAGACAAACGAGCAGGGATACCATTTGTGCTCTTTCCCCAGAGTCTAACTTTCCCTCTATTTCTGCCTTTTGATCATCACGACATCCTTTGCCACTATTTTTTTTAAAGTTTTACTGGCAAACTACTTTGTAACTTGGGTTGGCAACGCACGTGGCAGAGAATGATCAGGAAGCTGGATAAGGTGTTTGCGTGCAACAGTATCCCTCACATTATCCCTCTTTTCTATTACTCAGTTAGGATGTCTCAAAACCAGGATAAAGGCTTATCCAGGTCTTCTGAAACCAGTATATAAAGTTTACATGCACAGGATACTAGTGTGGTGTGAACACACTAATTAGTATTACTATGGGACAGTATTTGTTGGTAAATATCAGATTTAGGTATTGTGGAATTTTTTGTTTCAAGGTGGCTTTAGCTCAGTGTTGGCCATGAATTACAAAGTTGCCGGTTTGGTTGCTTGTTTCTGTCCTCCTGTCCATGTATCAAACTGTCCTAAAGCAGGACATTAAACTCCATATTGTGAAAAGGTGTTTATGTTTTGCCCTCTACTGGACTCAAAGGAGAGTACAACTGGATTTTATCTGTCCAAAAAAACAAAACCTCAGGCGAATATTCTGAGAACAGAAAAGATGTTTTTCAGGCACCGACCAGGTATTGTCAGATTGGCATTTTAAACTAAAATGGCAGACTAAATTAAGGCTTTTAACAGGACTTTTGTCCTTGCTCTGAAGCCTGAGGACTGCTTTTTATTTTTTCTGTGATCAGTCTGTTTAACTTCACAAGCACCTTAAGGTTGGATTTAATCCTCAAACCTTTCAGGGGTTTCATCAGAATTCATAAAACCACTTCGATGCATCCCCTCAGCACACACTGACAGACTTGTTTTGTGCATCACCATCTTGCAGGAGTTCATCCCCCACATGGCGAAGCAATATGGTTTCCAGTATGAGCTGGTCCAGTATAAGTGGCCTCGCTGGTTACACCAACAGACCGAGAAGCAGAGGATCATCTGGGGCTATAAGATCCTGTTCCTAGACGTGCTGTTTCCTCTCGCTGTCGACAAGATCCTGTTTGTGGACGCTGATCAGGTTAGCTCACACTTATTCATCCTGCTGCTGTCCAAATATTGAATATATTGTTCATAACATAAAGATGATGATATAAAATGAACTAGATGAAAAAACTGATAGCTGACTCGGGTAGCTTAAAGGAAAAATGTGAAAAATACAGCACAGGTTGTAATTTCTGGAGTTTTTTTTCTGTTGGATGGACAAAAGATGCAAAAATGTGATGATTGTCTGCGCTCTCATGGACAAAAGATCAATATAAACACCATTCTAAAGTGCTGCTCACTCTCCATCCTCCCGTCTTTCAGATTGTCCGGACAGACCTGAAGGAGCTGCGTGACTTCGACCTGGAGGGCGCTCCGTACGGTTACACTCCATTCTGCGAGAGCCGGAGGGAGATGGATGGCTACCGCTTCTGGAAATCCGGCTACTGGGCGAGCCACCTCGCCGGGCGCAAATACCACATCAGGTACACACACACACACACTCTGATCCCTCCGAACTGTAGCAGTTGAGTTGGTCTCATGTCAACAGCTCTTTAAAAAGTCTATTCCCCCTCAAACACTCACAGAACGCAGCCACGCTCTTACTCTCCTTTTTTAATACATTCTTCATACTTTAATGCATATTTCATGTTACCGTCATTTATCTCCTGCAGCGCCCTGTACGTGGTCGACCTGAAGAAGTTTAGGAAAATAGCTGCAGGAGATCGACTGCGAGGACAGTACCAGGGGCTCAGCCAAGACCCCAACAGCCTTTCAAACCTCGACCAGGTCTGTTTCTCCATTGGCTGTCTGCATTTGTCATTTTAATGTGCATTTGGGGTCTGATTCTAAAGAGCTTTTGCATTGTGTGCTTCATTATTTATGTCTTTTTAGTAGCAGTTTAGTAGTCTCCATTCATTTTAGTGCTTTGTTAAAATTTAAAACTATCCTAGTGAACATTTTGTCGTCTTTAAAATGTTTTGTGTGGTTGAGAAAAGAAGCTGTGGTGAAAACTTTTCCTGTTGTGTTCAAGGAAGCTCTGTAATCTGAGGTTTGAGAGTTGGTTGTTGAACAGCAGCCTCTGTTCCTTTTTAATGTGAGAAACACATTTTTGTGTTTGCTTATTGTTTTCTAGTCTGCTTATGATTTCATGAGCACATATTGTGAATTCTGTTTAGCAGCCAACTTTTTCATCTCAGACTCTCTGAGGTCCTCGACTGCAGCAACAAACAGAGCTTTTCAGTTGCATATTGTAACTGCATTACCACACAGCCCTGAAAAAACAACATAAAGGCAGCAGATTGTGATGCTGCAGAGTGAGGTTTGTCAGATGCCTGCCTGCACATTATTGACAACCTTTTATATTAAATTATATAATAAAATATAGAACATTTAAGCTAAATCTGACTTCACTGAATCCAAAGTTTTGATGTGTGTTCGATTTAAACCAAGGGTAACCGTAACAGCTGTTTCCATTCATTTCTTTTTGTCATATCTCCTGTAAGAGTCTCAAAGTCTCCATCATTCGTCTCATTGTCCGTCGTTGTTTTCCAGGATCTGCCCAACAACATGATCCACCAGGTGCCCATAAAGTCGCTGCCTCAGGAGTGGCTGTGGTGTGAGACCTGGTGTGACGACAGCACCAAGAAGAGCGCTAAGACGATAGACCTGGTAACTGAAGTTTATCTGTGTGCAGACGGCCGGGATAAGGATCAGGACAAAGCGCTCAATAAAATAACAGAATGCTCGTAGATGGTTTGGTAGGCTTGTAGCACCCTGTGCAGTTCAGCAGGGTTACAGAGAGGAGGGATGGGGTTTTCTAAAGACTGCCATATCTTCTAACAGCCACTAGAGGGCAGAGAGACTGACTGTGAGGACATAATTAACTAGAGAGCACATGAGTGAGATTTACATCTAAAAACAACAGACCATAACATTAAGTATTCCATAAGCTTGTTAAAGGGTTGAGATTTGAATAAAATATGTCTGATGCTAAAAAGTTTTACATTGTTGGTCAAAAATCTCATAATTGGAAGAGTGGAGTAGAGTTATTTAAGACAATCTTAAAAAAGAAAAACAGTGTGACTGTAACAGAGGAAGTTTATTTACACTCCCTTAACTGAAACCCTTTAAATCTGCCACGTTGACACATTGAAGACTTGTTTCTCCACACAGGAAGTAACAAATCAACATTTCACAATGAATTAAAAGCAACAAATTAGCTCTCTGTCCAGAGAAAGCTGCTGTTTTTGTTTTTTTTTGTTTATCACAGAATTTGGGAGTTAAACATTTCAAAACCACTGTCACAGTTACAAAACCTCAACTTTAACTTAATTATTTAAAAAAATATATAAAAACAAACTTCCACCATCACTGAACCTTTAAGCAGTTAAGGAAACTCAAAAATGACTCGAACCTTTGAAATGTGAGACAGATAAAACACATTTTTTAACAAGATGCAGCCCGTTCTTTGTCCCTGTTGAGAAATGACCAAATCAAGTAATAAAATGGCTTCGAGTGTAGCTGCTTGTAAACATCACAGCTGATCATTTTGTCCTCATGATTTTTTCCCCCCTGATCTCAGTGTAACAACCCCATGACCAAGGAGCCCAAGCTGCAGGCTGCAGTGCGGATCGTGGCCGAGTGGACCGATTATGACCAAGAGATTAAACGTCTGCAGACCAGAGTCCAGGAGAAAGCAAACCACACAGCGAAGCAGCAAGGCACAGGTACCGGACACTCGTAACAGAACGACACTTAGCAAGCAAAGTAGAAAATAGAAACAACCTGAACTCACGTCTCAACTTCTTCTTTGTCTCTGTGTCAGATGTTCACACAGAGTTGTGAGGATCCTGCAGTGGGCCGTGATGATGAGTGGCGTTGGACTAGACTCTGTTTAAAGAGTCTGCTTCACGAAGAGGCTCCTCTCCTGCCCTGGGGGTGGGGGGGGGAGGGACTGCTGAGAGACTGACCACAAAAACCAGTGCTAAATGGTTGAAACTGTTTTGTCTTTGTTCTTTTTATAACGTGTGAAGGGGGAGTTAAAGTGGTCAGGTTTAAGAGGTTTTACTGTACACGTGTGTGCAAGTGGTGAGAATGTATTTTGTGAAACGAATCATAAATATAAATTCTATTTTTTTTTTTTTTGGTATACTTTTCTTTCCCCCCTGTATTAGATGTCGGTCTGTAACTTTGCACTGATTGGGATTCTGGTTCGGGCTGTGGTTGAAGCACAAAGGGAGGAAGACCCTAGAAATCCTCACTGCCTGGTTTTGATCTTTAACAAACCAAACATTTAGTGTGGATTTCTTCTCACACACTGGAATAAAAAAGTGATAGAATGATTATGATTTTAAGGCTTTCAGGCCTTTCTCTGAATTGGTACAGTATTTAATATGAAGGTCCCGAATATCATGGATAATTTTAACATTTTCAGACTGTAAGATACGGGCTGGGAAATATGTTTGAAGTCAATATCAGGAAATTTTTTTTAATTGATACAGTGAATTAATGCAAAATCATAATAATCTGACATAAAGTGCAGTTATTCATTAGATTTCATTCAAAACGCTTTAAAATAACTCCTGATAAATTATGAGTTTGGCAGCAATATTTAGTAAAACATCTGGTTCTTGCTCAGCCCTACTTGAGATATTCAGAAAATGCCAAATAAATCTGGTAAATTAATGTCACATTTACAGTCTACATTATTTTGTACGGTGGTGGATTCACTTGGTCAAGAATGAGATATAGCCATAGGGGATGTTTAGTGCCCAACCTTAAGATCTCTTTAAGAGGAATGTACACTGTTAATGATGTTTACACTCATCTGGCACTCGACATGAAAATTAAGAACAAAGTCAGCAGGCTTTAGTGAATCCCCAGTTTCTTGTGGAATATTAATGTCACTGTGACTCTCAGGGAAAGATGCCTGAGGCGTGTGTTGGTTGCAGCATAAAATACGTATCAGAAGAGAGGGGAGGGTTTGTGGTACTGTAAGGGAAGAGCAGCCAAGTTGAGCTGAAAAATATTTCTGTTTCTCGGTTACATCCATAGATTTGTCATTATCGTCCTGTTTTGGCTGTCAGATATTTTTGTTAAATAAAAATCCCCAATAAAGAAGTGGTCCCAGTGTATTGTCACTGTTCCATCTATGTTTCCAGGTATTAGCTTAGCTTAATGTGTGCATGTGCTCTGCTGCTTACAAACCACGCTGAAGTACTTCTGATAGCTCACCTGGTAGAGCTGGTGCCCCATGTACCATGCCTCGCTGTGTGTTATCCCCTCTACAACCGCCCTCTACTGTCTACTGCAGCTGTCCTATCTAATAACACGTTACTGTTGAAAATGTGCAAAAACTAGTTAGAAAGCATGCAAATAAGTTGAAACAGCTTAAAGGAATGAATAAACGGTTGCTCAAAGTAATTAAAAACATGGAAATAATTAGCTAACAGAACTGGATAATAAGTTGAAATAGAAAAAAGTAATGTATAACTGGTTGAAATAGTTAGTGAAGAGTTATGGGTGACAGGAAATAGCTAAAAGTAAAGGTTAATTAATTAAAAATGTATTAAAGTATACTGTATACATAAAGTAAATGGACACACGGTTTAAATAAACAGCTTAAAGTAAAGGTTTAATGGCTCTAACTTTACCAAACTGACCTCGACATTGACAGTTTGTCATAAAATCAATTCAAATTAACACATTTATTGGGTTAGTGGTAAAGTACCAGCGCAGTTCGATTCCAGCTGGGGATGTTGCGTGTCAGTTGCCTCTTCGCTCTCCCTGCTTCCTGTCATCTCACAACCCCCCAACTACTATAATTATTTATTATTAGAGAAAAATACTTCTCGATGCTGCCCTCAACACACAAAACCTGTTACTGGAAGGTTTCAGACTTTTATTGTGATCCATTTGAAAAAAGGTTTTACAAAAGGTAACATTCAATTTTTACACCAATTCTTTAAAAAAATCACTTAAAATAAGGTTTTGATACAACAAATTTAGTTAACTAAGTAATGGCTTCTATAAACAATGTGAAAATAAGATAATATACATGTAAATGAATGCTACAAACAAGGACAAACTGAGGAAAGGGATTACATTAATTAAAATAATAAAAAAAAAAAACAACAAAACAATGGCATGATTGTTTTCCTTTTTAACTTGAATGACATCTGGCCAGAATTACCAACGGAGCAGTTATTGCGAAACTAATCCCTCGTCATCTGGTGTCCAACTGGAATGTTCGATGACAAGGCTGCCTCGAGGGCTTACTGATTTGTTGCATACGGTTTTGTTTTTTTCTTCACATGGCGAAAATGGTGCGTGTTCTCCTCCTGTAGCCATGTGCAAAAGTGACCATGACGACAAAGAGCCCTGCAGGAATTCAGAGGTAACCACTCTACACTTTAAAAAAAAAAAAATCTACGCTCACCATCATGTGGCTTCGATTTAGTTGACAGATCGGCGAAGAGACAGGAAACTGAAATACAATGTGAATTTACAACAAAAAAAACAAAAATATGCAGGAAGAAAAATAAAAAGACGTTTTTTTGATGTGGGAAAGCACAGCGGACGGTGTGCTCGCGAGGACAGATGAGACATTCTGTTCAGACTGACCAGATGCTGGAAGAAGTTGCTCTTTTTTTTTTTTCAGAGCGGCTTGCATCTGTCCCCCCCCCACCCCCCTTAGCCTCGGGGCAGAAAACACCAACTTCAGATCAGTTAACAGTGGCACTGTCGTCCTACTCTGACCACCAGCTGAACCTCCCGCGCAGCTCGAATCGGCACAGCACGACACCAGCGTAACCGTCCTGTTGGCTGTCAGTGATTGGGGCGACAGTTACTGCGGGTTTATTAAAGGAAGAGTTACATATTCGGGCAAAACGCTCATTTTCTTTCTTAACGAGAGTTAGAGGAGACTGATACTACTCACATGTGGAAATGGTATCAATCTCATCCAAGTTTCCCTGAGAGAGCGAATGAGCATTACGTCCCAAATTGTTGAACTATTCCTTTAAAAAACAAAAGCATTTGTTTCATGGTGGCAGCAACAGTTCAGTGTGGATGCAGTGCTTCTTCCAAAAAAAGAACCAGACCGCTCGGTTTTGTCGGGACTCTCCGGAGACAAAAATTCAAAATCATCCCAGAGAGGTTCACAACTTTCCTTTCCTCTCTTTCAGAAACTCCCACCTCATCTCCGTTTCACAAACACATTTATCTCCATTACAGTTACATCATCTGCGAAGCTTAAAAAACACATGCACCTCCAGCATTTTATACAAGAGTATGATACAAAATAAGGCATTTCATTGTGTTGAGTGTTAATACATGTTTTCTTGTGTGTGTGTGTGTGTGTGTGTGTGTGTGTGCTGCAAGTGTGTTTATGCGTGTACATAGTGACCACATTTTAATGTTATTTTTTTGCCCGCCTATAAAAAGACTGCAAAAAACAAACATAAAGTCATGATAACTCTTACTTAAAATATATATATTTGTCATATATATTTACGTATATATTCATATGTAAAAAACAAACAAAAAAAAAGGTAAGAGGGAAAGAGAAAAGCCCAAGAGGTCCCTGTGATAGGTCAGTTCTCAAAAAAACCACCTCACCCCCCCTCATTCCATGACCTCACCGGGCGCCACCGTGACCAGCTGTAAAGGGATCTCCTGATTGCCTACGAGGTCGTGGGTGGTGGCGGTCTGCAGGATGAGCGTGGTTCCGTCGGCGGTGATGACCGTGTCGGTGGTGGGCGGAGACGTGGAGGGAACGCCTTTTTTATTCTGGTGAGTCTTTATGTGCTTGGCCAGGTGGTCGCTCCGCATAAACCTCTTGGAGCACTCTGTGCACACAAACTTCTTCTCTCCTGTGAGACACACACACAGAGACATCAGACAGCGCGCCGGAGCAGAGAAACCCCTTTATACATCGTACGTTCATCTACCAATATGCAACAATAAACTGCGGTACAGAAAATGGATGTGGCTTTTTTGATTGTATAACTAACACATTGAAGGGACCCTTATGAAACATAAAAATAATATGTTATCCCCAGTTGTGTAGTGCAGTATCTGCTGGTATACACACTTACTTTTCACTCAGCATTGGTTATACACCTTCTAAATCCACCCTGATGCACGTAATTATTTTGTTAGGATGGCAAAGGCATAACATAGTTGTCCAATTTGTGGAGAGTGAGGAATACTTCACTCAAAATGCATAACTGTGTAGACGTCTCACTCGTTTTTGAGCCAGTATTAATTACAAATTCTGCACTTCTTCTGTGGCGAACGTCAGATTTATAATGATCCTTACTCATTGAAGTCAAGCAGCAGCGGTTAAGTGACAATATGCAAATTCTACTAAGCTTAATGTGCAAGAGTAGTCCTGCATGTCAGTGTTTCTAACACAGGGCGTTTGTTCTTTGCTGGAAGAAAATAAAAAAAAGGGGGACATAAATTAAGAGTATACCCACTTATCCAGGCACCACTTCACTGCTGGTTGTCCCAAATCACAAAAAACATTCTCTCTCTTACATCTAACAACGCAGATAGTTTCGGTTTAATTTGCCTGAGTCTCAAGACGAGTGACATTTTTGTATCCGCCCCAGTACTGCGGAGGTGGGTGGAATTTCAGTTGTGTGGCTCAAACTATTCAAAAATATACATTTAAACGAATGAGCAGTGTTACACTGGATAATCCAGACAAGCCACAGAACACGCCGTGAGCTGTTCTCACTGAAACTGCTTTACCAAAGAAAGAGTCGGCGTCGACAACAGTGAGGAAGTACTATGACTAAGTGAGAGAATATTTACAGAAAATGATGAAAGACTCAGCAATAACACCATTAGCACTTTAACCCACTTCTTATTTTCTAGACTGCACTCTACCGTGGCAACACAACAGCAGCGCAGTTTGGGGACACTGATCGATGTGGCCCCGTTAATCATTCACACAACGATTCACGTTTTCACGCGTCACGTCGCTCCTTTCTACAGTGATCCAGAAGCAAACACTACGTCCATTTCTGAGGAAACTTGACCTACAAAACATTTTAGTCAGGACTGTTTGTTAGTGATTCTTCATATGGGCCTTTAATTAAAAAGATTACAGTAGAAAATAAAGCTTGATTGAGAAATGATTTAGTTTAAGAATAATAATCCCCATCAGAGATGAGCTGAGCCAAAAACAATGTCTCAGAATTACTCATGAAATCTGAAATCTGAACCCAAAAGTTGGAAATTATTAAATTAAGTATTAAATAATTCCTCTGTTTGCTTAATTATCCCTGAAGGGACATTTGTCTTGCAGCCAGATGAAAAAACAACATTTCTAAAAAGACTTTTTGGACACACAACAGATACATAAAAATATAAAAAAATACACAAAACACATGGTATTAAATTTGAAAATGACCAATATAATTCTGGTAACTTTCTGCTAATTGACCAGTAATTTAATCAATCCCAAACTCCAAATCAAGTGGCCGTTTTTCCACTGCATTGTATGGCTCGACTCATCTCACTCTTCCTCCCCCCCCCCAATTGCGTACAGTGCCTGCTGCTAGTTTTTGGTAATAACATGGTCGAGGTTCGAAGCTGAATGAGCCGAGGTGATGCTTAAAGGTGACGTGAAAACACAGCAGACCACTGACTGGTCACACGATACCGAACATCCTTCACAAACCCCGCGTTTTAAATAGTCACGCTACTGTCAACAGCAATCACAACTTTCTTGCTAATCTTGCGCCATGGTTACCTGATAAAATGCTGACATATCAAGAACACCATCCCTTCATATCCTTTGTGTGTATGTAGTTGGTGTGTAAATGAGCAAAAGAGAGCGATACGGAGGTGAATGTGAGCGATGCAGAGAAAAAAAAAGGGCGAGCAGTGACGTAAATGTACTGCTGGAGTAGCATCGCTGTGACGCTCAGCTCCGCCTACGTTCAGGAGGTACTATCAAAAACACAATTTACAGTGGAAAACAAAGTAGAGGCACCAAAAGTGAGTAGAGAAGAGTCACGTGCAGGTAGTTTCAGTTTGAGTAACTGCTACAGGCTTGTAACCGTGTATAAATCTCCTGTTTAGTGAGTGTTAGCTGTACACAGTCACGCATCAGCCAACACTGCCTTCATAAAGCAACCAGACTGTACAACATTCAAAATGTCTCAGCATTTGGAGCTGCTGTAAGTTTTAATTTTCTGTCTGTCTCCTTTACTGTTGAATTGATGCTTAAACCCTTCTTATCACTGAACACTGTAATCAAAAAGAACAGCGTGGACAGCTATAACATTCACACAAACATCTACTAAGGATGTGAAAATAGTCTGGTATCGGCTATGTTTTAGTCTAACAACAGGAACATCCCCTAAGACCTGTCTGAACCTTGGAGACAGAAAGTGGCGATACAATCTGTACAAACGTTAAACCTCATAACAGACGTAAAAACTGTTTGTGAACATGATTTTTTATATTTTAAATCAGTTTATAAAACAATCGGGAATAAAAGTCTCACCTGTGTGTGTCCTCCTGTGTCTTTGCAGCTCGTCGCTCCTGGTGAACCTCTTCCCACAGAACATCCAGTTGCAGACGAAGGGCCTCTCGCCGCTGTGCCAGCGCAGGTGAGCTCGGAGATGAGACGTCTTCCCATAAACCTTACCGCAACCGACGATGTGGCAGATGTGCTGCTTCTTCTTCCCCATGCCTGAACCTCTGTGAAATAGCGGGGAAATGCAAAATGAATACAAGACACAAATATTGTAAATGTTTTTTGTTTTTTTTTAAATAAAAGAATCAAGTTACATGAATGCAAATGCTTAAAAAAAAACCACACACAGCATTGTGCTAAACATAAAATGCTAAATAACAATAATAATCCAAACATCAATGTGCAGATAAAGGATTATACAAAACATTTGCATTTTGTATTTGCATGAATGTTCTTGCATGCAAATATATATTTGCTTAGACATGATGTGAACCGGATTTAAAACCAGTTTAACAACAAATCTTTTCCAGTTAAACGCAAGTTCTAAAACTACGACAGAGGCGTAGATAGAAGCAAATTTGAGGCTGTTTAGTACAACCGATGAAACATCTGGGTGTTGTAGTCGTATCCCTGAAAGGTGTCACTAACAAGGATTTTATGGTCGTATTAAAACTGGCTGCAGCTTCAAAAACCTGTAATATAATTTCTTATTACTGTAATTATGATGTCTAATAAAGTTTTAGGACATCATTTAGTTTTTTCTGATTTATTTCCGTTCTGATTAACAAATGTAATCTGTGTATCTGTAATGTGTGTGTTTCGACAGTAGCCCACCTTCCCCCAGACTCTTTGCAGTTAGGGCAGGTGCAGGCCACTCTGCGGAGCCTCTTGCCCTCCCCGCTCGGCGTCTCCATGTCCTCATCTCCCATCTGAACACGAAGGTTGTTTAGGTCGCTGGGGTTCAGCGTGGAATCTCCGCTCAGCTGCCACTCCTCAGAGTCTGGCTCTTCTTTTATCTGGATACCTAAACCCGGGAGGGAGAATATGATTTAGGATCTCCTGATGTGATTTGACTTGAGAAATGTAAGATTTGCTTATAAAAATGAAGAACCGTTTGTGTGCAGCAGGTGTCCCATACCAGCTGGGCTGTTCGCATCGTCCCCTTGTGTGTAATGAATCCCAGATTGTGTTACAGAGTTCACAGTGACTGTCTGGAGGTTGGGCAGGCTGACCTGGCCTGTCTGGCCCAGAGGGAGGGTCTGGACCGGGGCTAAGGTCAGCTGCTGGGCCTGCCCCTGCCCCTGGGGCAGCTGGAGCCCCTGCAGTGACTGGACTCCCTGAACCTAGAGAGACAGATGGGATACATGTTAGTATTCAGACATCTTTTCACAGCACAAAAACACAGCATGCTACTTAAATAATGCTCATATGAAACTCCTGAGGAAATGTCCTTCTAGGTTACCTGGAAGGTCTGCCACTGGATCTGTCCCGTAGCGGTGACAGTTTGGGCCTGGATGAGGAAGGTCCCCGGGTTGACCAACTGCACACTCTGTAGAGTTTGACCTCCTGCATTCATGTCTTGACCCTGAGCCACCTGGGCTACCTGGGCCTGACTGTCCCCAGACAGCTGCAGGATAGGCTGCGAGATAGTGGTGGCATTAGCGGATGAGACCTGCAGAGTAAGGAAAACAGCTAAATGAATTGCAGCATGAGAAAGCAGCATTCACATCATGTTCCGATGAAGGAGGTCCTGGTTTAACAGTACAGTGAATAGTAGCCTTAATCGTGTTAATAAAATCAAGCTAGAACATTTCCCACAGGCTAAGAATTGAGTTGTGGTTGTTGACCATCAGGGTGGGGAACTCCGAACACTTGCTGACATCTGACTCTAAATTCTTTCAATTGTAGTTACACTGTATATGTGCAAGTAAAAAACTCCTTTGTAGGAAGCAGACCTAGGTGGGTTGGCAAAATAAATTCTGGGAAATTTGGGATACATACATTTACACATTGAAAGCTTAAAACAAGCATAAAGTGTAATTCCAATGTGTTAAATACACAGTAATAACACATAGCATGAAACCTGGGCTCTGTTGTGGCCATACAGCAGCAGTGCCCTTTAACTAAATAAGCCAAAGTTCTTATATGTTACAAAGTTGTACAAGAACAAAACCCATCGAATCAAAGACTACAAATCTGAGCAGACTTTTGATCAGGGCTACATAATAAATCGAAATCGCAATATGACCCAGTGCAGTATGCAAATCGCAAGAGCTGTAATGTTTTGATAAAAATACAATGTGTGACAAAACAGCATTATAATGAAGTACTGTAGAGCTGCAGAAGAGCTCTGGTCTACAAATCTTGTTCTCCAATTTCACATCATCATGATGTTAATTGTTTGATAATTGTTTTGTTTTTGTGTCGAAATAATCTCAATGTGATGTTTTTACCATATTGTGCGTCCCTACTTTTGATGCCAGCTGACAGTTTCTAATTCACACATTGTTGCCAGTAACAGGAAAGTATCGTGGTCCAATACCCATCATACTCATCACCAGTTAAAACCCTTACGTGTACACCAAATGTTTCCTTCTCATAGTGTTTAATTTGAAGGATTTTTAGAGGCCTGAATTTGTGACGCGTCTCATTTCTCTCACGAGACATTTTGTGTCACAGAAACATTTATTTTTCTTCTTATAAGTCAAATTCTTGTAAGTCATCAGATTTATCATGGGACCGTCCAGACCCCCGGAGGCTGGGAACCACAGCCTTAAAGCATACATGCTTGACACACATGCACACAACACAGACACGCTCTCTGACCTGGATTTGCTGCAGGTGGTTGTGGGAGTTGTAGTTCGCCGAAGAGGAGGGGTCGGACACGCCTGCAGACACGGCGGTCGCTTGGGTCAGGACCCCGGTGCCGTCGATGGTCTCCGGAAGATGGGAGGAGTTTGAGGAGGAAGTGGTGGTGGTTGGCACGTAGAGTTCTTGGTTGCCGCTGGCGTCGCTCACCGTCACCAGCGAATGTTTGGCGCCAGCGTCCTGACCCTGACTCTCCAGTGTCTGACCACTCATGATCAGCTGACCTTCGGCCGTTACCCCTGTTGCAATGGGGAGCGTCTGTGCTCCGGTCAGCCCTAGAGACTCCAGATCCAAACTGTTTATAGGGACGAACGTTATGTTGCCGGGCAGCCCTACGGGTACCGTGCTCGTGTATGCCGACCCCCCAGTCAGCGAGACGCCTTGGATCGACTGTACATGCCCCGCCTGCGTCAGGAGGTCTGTGGCCGTTGTCGTGGCACAGCTGATTCCGATGCTGCCCTGGCTGCCATCTTGGAGGAGCTGGATCTGCCCCGTGCCGTCATCCAATCCCTGTGTGGAGAACCCTGCAAGTGTCCCATCTGCGTTCTGGATTTGGGGGATGACCTGGAAGAAGGAGCAAATGTGTTTGAGCGAGATCGCCACCTAAACAGAACACCTATTTGTATCTTAAACATGTGTCCGTCTCTTTACCTGATACTGGATGCCTGACACTCCGTTGGCTGAGGCCTCATTCCCAGTTGCTGTAACATAAATGGGCTGACTGGGAAGACTCCCGATAGGAAGCACGTACTGCCCGTTGGACGTTACAATCCCCGAGTTTGGAATGTGAACAACTCCTTGGTCTTCCTTCCCGGTCGAAACTGGAGTTAACACCTCCCACCGGTCTGAACCCGTCAGCTGAATGGCTGACATATCTGTCGTCTGGGAGTAAAATCAACAGTCAGATTAAGGAGGACAGATCACACTTCAACAACAAGATTCATCTCTTTAGATCAGACCCCAGGAAAAAAAAAAGGGAATCTAGCCTGGCTATTGTCTGGAAATCAGTTCTGGATTCAGAGACTGTGCTGCTGATACACTGAAGAGAGAGTAAATCATACACACTGGAAGATCATGTAGGATTTGTGCTGATACAAAGGGGTGGACGACGAGCCAGCCAGGAGCTACAAGCAACCATCAACACACAGAGTGAAGATAACAGGCTCAGAACCGGCCGAGAGCAGGGTGTGGGGGATGGGTGGCTATTACAACACAATTGAACGCTACTGTTTGGTTATGGACGCTATCCCTACAATATTATCACACCCCGACATCCTCCCAACCCAAGGTACACCGGCTATCTTCGAGCGAGCCGACCCAAGTGACTGACTTCAGTGTCCTACCCACTATGGGCGGGTTTTACAGGGGTAAAGTGGGTGGCCGTTATTGAGGGGAACACAGGAAGTGTACGGCTTTCACCCCATGCCATCAAAATTTTAAAACGTGTGAACTTCATGCTCTCAAAAACACAACCAGCAATCGAAAGCGAGCGAGAAAGACGAGCTAGAAAATGTCGGATACCTGTGTTTCCGCTGCGCCGCCGGGTTGCAGAAACTCGCTTTGACTGCTGTCCACGTCCGCGGACGCCATTTCTCCTTGTTTCAGAGGCTGCTCTGGCGCTAGCAGGGAGAGAGGGGGAAACTCAGCAAAACTCTGTAATCTTCAACTCCTGCCTGCCAGAAAAGCCCGCAAAGCATCCCCACTCTCCAGTCCAAAAGGAGCTGACTGCGAAATTCAACTTTGCAGCGGAGATTCTGAGGCGATTTCGGCCCAGATTGACTGTTTACTTTGTCAACTCCGCGGCTAGCCTGCTAGCTCAGTCAGCTAACCATATCTAGCTAGTTAGCAAGCGGAGCAAAAGATAAAAAAAAAAGACGCAGCTTGCTTCGCTGTAGGTTGCACAAACTCACCGATTAGTTGCACGCTTCGATGCGATAAATGTTTACGTACCAGTCATAGCGTGAGTGGTAGTAACCGGGAGGATTATCTGATCAACTAAACTCCAAACATGATTATTTTATCAAAGGCGGGCTAGTGTTGATCGGTGAATTCGGGTCGATTTTTTTCTATTTTGATTGACGGTGCGGGAAACACAAAAAGGTGGGACTAACAGGCTTGACCGTCGAATTTGCATCACATTACAGGACGTCCCGCCCTTCTTCTCTAACGCGATTGGCTGAGCGCGGGGCTCGGCTCACGTCATTGGCCAACGCGGACGTCAATCATTTTTTTTAACAGTACGTGTGTTTCCTGTTTGTTGTTGAGAGAGAGGCCAGAGACGGAATGCAGTTGTTGAGTGTTTGCAGCTCAGTTTAGTCGGGAAAAAAAGCTTTATCTTACACTTTTAATGTCAAATGAGGTTGTATGTTATAAATCTTGGCTTTTTTTTTTTATCTAAAGCTTTTTTTTCCGCCATATTTGCTGCAATAATCGTGCAACGAGTTTTTTTTTAAGTTTTGGTTGCCATTACAAAAAAAAATAAAAAATACTACACTAACTTGTAACTGTGTGTTTCCTGTTCCCAATTATCCCAAAATTTCCCCCAAAAAACTCTTTGTAAGTTCCCAAACGCATAATTTTACTTTACCAGCACATAGAGCAGTACTGTGTCACTGGTAAAATGGCCTTACAGTGTTTAATTCTAGTCAATTATTCACTGGATCCATTTAAAAACTTCTATAAAATGAGTTAAATGTGTTAGATATTGTAATATAATTATTATTTGTATTCTTTAATATTGTGTGAGCAACTGTAACAAACACATTTCCCCCCAGGGGATCAATAAAAGTATTTCTGATTCTGAAATAATGAATTCAAGTGTTTGCTATGTACCTGCACTAACTAACTGTGAATGTTATGGCAGGAAACAAATATTAAGGTTGAAGAATCAGTTAACAAAAACAATTTTAAGCTGTTCTGGAGCTTTTGATCACGTCACAAAACCGTCTTCAGCAGATGGAGTTGCTTTGTTGTCACGGAAAATGTAGATGTTACATTTTTTTTTTTTTGTGAGCGCTTCAAGGATTTTGCATCAAAAGTCACCTTGGATGAAAAACGTTCAGGAAAAACACCCTTACCTGTGCTAAAATCACTGTAAACAGCCTCTTGGGGCAGGCTTTAGGTTATTTCAGTCCCAGTTCATGTACCTGCACATTACCTCATTCCTTTATTTTGTGACTTCAGCCTAACACGAGGAAAAAGCAGAAATACACAAAGCACCGACGGGTTTATCTCCTTTTATTGACACATGCATATTGATGAGGATGACATTTATTACATCCTGGCTCCCTTAGGTTCACAGGACTTATGTCTTAGTCCACAATTTGGCAAGATGTTTAGTGAGAGGATTTGTTATGTACTCTTGAAAAATAAAGACATTCACACCAAGGAGGGGAGTGAGGAAAAGGTGAAACAAGCGGTACAGTCCAGATGATCCACGGACCATTGTCTTGTTATGCAGGGTGGAGTTCTTAATGTGAAGATTCATGTTTTTTTTTGTGTGGTTTTATTTGTTTACCAGCCCAAACTAAGTCAATAAAAGCAGCGTGTATAACAACATTCTCAATTCAGGTGTCTGATCAGGCACTATCAGGGGCGCCTGCTTTGCTCTGTCTAAAATAATATCATCCCCCTCAGAATACAGTGTGGTACTGGCCTGAAGTGTAACACTGAGTGATGGCTTTCATTTTCTCTCACTAGTGAACACAGTCAAAAGTTTATAGACACCTAGCATTATTGGAAAGTCTCAGGTATTAGGACTTTATTGTGAAAAGCACAAAAATCGGAAAGTTAAATTAGAGAAAAGTCATAAAGGAACTGAGAACTAATTGAAGATGGCCTCTTGCTTAATTAATGCTGATTAGCCACCCAGCAGATAACACATGCTGTATATTACGCCCACTCCTGCTAGCACTGTTTACAAGTGTTTTATTATATAGGGGCTGCTTCACAGATGGAGCACACCTGCCTGTAATGAAGCACCAATTAATAAGAGTGTCATTAAGATGCAAGAGCTTGCCAATTAATCAGCAGTAATGATAATGGTAATTGTCAACTAATGACAGAAAGGCAAGCGTATTTACTCAGAGTAATCAAAGACTTTCTTATAGACAAAGTGCATCAAATGAACAAAGTGTCTTTGAACACTGTGGCTTAAATGATCAAAAAGCATCTAGAAAAGAGGACACTGATCAAAAAAACTGCCTGATGCATGTTTAACAGTGTCAGCATCAAATAGAAAACAATATGCAATTTGTGATATGATGCGTTTCTTGTTAGGTTATTTCCAGTAGAGTCAGAAATTATACATTTCTCAGTTCAATTATACCCATTCTTACTTGAGACCTTGAAAGCTAGAATACATTGTTTTCAAAAAACGTTTGACTGGTACAGTAGTGCAAATAAAAATTTGCTCAAAGTATTTCAGGTAGGAATGTAAGCTATTCTTATATAGAATCATTTAAATAGACTCTGGTCCAGACCTGGGAGGCTGGTTGAGTAAATGTCTCTAGCCAACCAGGTCAACGAGTTGATCCTCTGAATTCAGGAGAGAAGTATGAAAACCAGCAGGCAGTGTAGGTCTTTGGAGCCCAACTAAACTGTATTCTGAGTTCTTCATCGAGTGATTGTGGGGTACTCATGGTTTCTTTTTAGGTGCATTGGGTGTGTTGAATTTGAAAAAGATAATGTCCCCGTCCTCCACGACGTAGTTCCTGCCCTGTTGCCTGTATTTCCCAGCAGCCTGTGAATGAAATCGAACAGGACAGATTTAAATTGTGTTCAAAGACATTTCACAAGGTGTCATTGTAGCTATTGGCAGAAATTCAAGAGTGCGGCAATTCAAGCTTATAATCAGGCTCTCTAAAACACGCACCTTGGCTGCACTTTCACTGCCCTCCTCTTTGAAGTCGACGTACTTCATCACCTCAGCCATGATAAAACCTTTCTCAAAGTCAGTGTGGATCTTTCCTGCAGCTTGAGGAGCCTTGGTAGCTTTCTGTTGGGGCAAAACAGGACAGAACATTTCAACTTAACTATGAAAATAAAGTAAGACACTTCCACCTTGAATGATTTCATTACAGATAAGGATAAGCATTATAGTGTAACTCCCCATACTAACACAATATGAAAGCCCGAGAACATGATCGAAAAGAGAAAAACTTGTTTAATACATGCTCTTCATCTCAGTTTCACTGAATCTGGAAGCAACAATGAAGAATGGAGCCCTGTCTGTTCAGGCGATACGATACGTATCACAATACAAGAGTTATGATTCAGTATATTGCGATACTGTAAGCAAGGCAATATGTTAAATAGGCAATATTTTAAATATCATTTTAGGAAAATTGTTATAGTACAATAAGACCATCATATGCATAAAATCCAAGCAAAAATTGTTTAATTTTTTATGCAGCCAGAAAAGTAGGACCTGTAACATTCGTTCCTGTAACATCCAACATCATAGCTCTCCATCTACATCACTGCTATGTAGCAGATGGGGGTTTAAATCCCAAAACAAAATATGGTGACATGATATTATTCCATACTTTCTCACTCCGCTAGAAAAATGCACAAACAATGTAGTTCCAATAGAAAAATAAAAATTCGGAACACATTTCTCAGGTTTTACTCTGTGATCAACTTCAGGCCATTTATGTTTATTAATGTACAAATCATTGCAATTTAAGAATATTATTACAGAAGCTGCAAGAAAGAGAGAAAACTTATTCCAATTTGACAACGTCTATTTGCTATTTAAGATAAGTATTGATATTTAACAAAAATTGTAACAATTTAACTTTGTTTGTACTAAATTAACATTTTGAGGAATGTTTCTTCTCCCTTTAAACAACAGCACAGAGGGTTTTTAAATAAACTCTTTAGGATCCATCAAGATTTAATTATCGAGGACATGGGGTAAAAATGAACTTTAAAGAAAAGTTATTAATATCACAGCACTTACCCTGATGGTCCACGCTCGCACCTCATCTGGTCCCGCTGTGAAGAAGTATTCCAGCTGTAGTGCTGCATAGCCAGTCTTTATTATTTTGGTCAGAACACTAGAAACACACAGAGAAGCCATGATGAAGGAGTTCCAGCAAAATGCTTCTTAAATTTGCATTCAGTGATTAAAGCCAAACAAAGCAGTATCCAATTCTCTGTTTTTTTTTTAAACAGAACAATGGTGCAAGACTTATTTCATTATTCACCATCAGTTGACTCAAAGGCCTTTTGCATTGCAGACATCTGTCCTAGCAGGAAAAACACAGGACTAATTAATAACATGTATGTCATTTTGGTGTAGCAGGGCCCTGGTACTGGCACACTGGGACACTGGCACGGCTTACTGGAACAAAGCCATCCTAAATGTTATTTAGATACCGCTGTGCATTTCCAGTTATGATAGGCCAAATATCTGCTGTAAAAAAGGCTCATTGACACATATATTGATGTTTACCTGTAAACATACTAAAAGCATTCCCATTAGACACTGAGGTACTGCCATTAAAGAAGATGTTGCACTTTGACAAAGAGAATGTTATCCACATTTATTGTACTTAGTACCAAGGTATTGAACACTGGTTCTCAAACTGTTGTGCATGTACCACCTCTTGTACGTGAGCTCCCTCTAGCGGTACGCGGAAGAATCTCCGAAAACATTTGAAATAAGTTAGCCTAATTAAAAAACATAAAAATTAAAATACTTAAACTATGACATTGCTAAAATTTAAGTTAAAACAAGTTTTGCCTTTCCTGTAATATGTTTGTTTTAATATCAGCCTGCCATGTAGTCACGTTCATGAAGCGTACGCATACATCGATGATTAGTTACACCTTGCGATATATGAGAGTTGTGTGTACTGACAGGTCTTGGTGCCACCCCTTTGTACTGTGTGGCAGTAAGTCAACAGTAAGTAATATCTTTTATTAGGAATAAACCTGCCTCCTGTGTGAACTGTTCATAGGTGAACAGGTTCTGCTTACCCTACCGTATTTTAACATCAACCATGTGGCACCTGGGGTAAAAAGTTTGAGAAACACTGGTGTAAAGGATATTTTTAATAATTAATCAATAAATATACCGTAATAATCGTTAGTTGCAGCCCTACATGGGAAGCAAACCATTTCTCTACCGGATTTCCTATTTTCCTACCAAACTGTGTGTTTATGTCTCACCTCTGTGTCTTGTGTTCCTCGCAGTACTTATTCCTCTCCTCCTCCTCCATGTCCTGCAGTTTGGACTCGATAGCTCCACTCACAGGAATCACCATAGCACCAGGGTCATGAGCATCTACCCACTCCTTGATTTTGGCCAACCTGACAAAAACAGGCAGGAGGGTGAGTTAATCCGAATGTTCAACTGTAGCTACATACTTAAAACAAAAATATAAAAAGGGACAGGCATATGGACTGAATGCAAACCTACCACTTGTTCTTTTTTCTGATGTAATCCTTCTCTGAGAGGTTAACCAGATAGATCATGGGCTTGGACGTGAGAAACAGGTATTTGTTCAGCACATCGATCTGTGGAGATAATTCAAAACTCATGAAGAAAAGAACTGTGTAGTTCTCAGTTCAGTGAAATTCTCAGGTGACACCACTGACAGTATATATGTACGGGTGATGTTGCAATGACCAGACGACTGTGTCCATCAGGAAAACAAATCACAACCACAGTGGAAGCTAAATTACATCAGTCACTGGGGTTTTATTATTATTGGAAAAAAATTAGAGAAAATGGCAAAAATTTGTAAATAGACAAACAACAAAAACAAGTGAGGATGCAATAAAGGCTGATAGAAACTAATAACCCACTCCACTGAGAATATAGAGGACTTATTGCACCACCACCTATAGACACACTAATCTATCGGGCACATACACACATCGTTACCTCTTTGTCGTTCCAGTCAGGGTAAAATCTGACGTGTTTCTTTTCATCCACTATCCAGTTCTTAATCTTCAACATGATGTCCTGAAGCAAAAAGCAGCAGGTTATATATCATCTATACATACTGATAACAGATTATGATCCCCTTTACCTCCCCCAATAGTGACGCATAGTAAACTGCATAGCACAAACACAAACACACTTTACTTACGTATTCAGGTTTGAGTTTTTTGTCACTTCCTCTGACAGCAGTTTTCTCCAGCTTGTCAAGGATTGGAGCGATCATTTCCTCGTCCTTTAGTCTCAGCTCCTCGTGGATGATCTCAATGTCCCTCACTGGGTCAACGTTACCCTCCACGTGGATAATATCCTCATCATCAAAAGCACCTAAAACGACATGGCATTGTCAGCCTGTTACAAATATTTACACATTTTGAAATCTGAGGGCCTTTCATTAATATTACAGGTGAATTAAACCTGCTTATATTTTTAGTTGTAGGTGTTTATTTAAAATATTTATACTGGTTCAGAGTGCCAAAAGTACAGAGTACAGAAGCCAAAGTGATTATTATTATTTTATACCATACTTTGAGAAATGTTAAGATGATTTTCTACCAAAACGTTTTCCATTAAAGTCCTCAAAATGTTATATTAATGCAGCCATTTTGCTTAAATAAAATAATCTACATTAGGCAAAACTGTGTTTCAATCAGATCTGAAATAAGTAAGTTCTTGGTCCCCTTTAAGAAGTGTAGTAAAAACTCTTGACTCGCCCTCCTAGCACCTGTCCACTCTACTCAGTTGTTACTACGAGGCAGCTGCATGCAGTAGAAACGACAACTCACGTGTCATGTGGAAGATCCCATCACAGGCACTAATGTGGGAGAGAAAGGCATTTCCAAGTCCCTGTCCTGCGTGAGCTCCCTTCACCAGACCAGCGATGTCCACAACGTTTAGAAAAGCTGGAACCTTACTAAAGAGACCAAACAGCCAGTCAAGGAGTCAGTGAGACAGAAATCCATTGGATGTTGGATAAATTACAACACACACACACACACACACACACTGTCAAAACACACACCTGGCTGGTTTGTGGTATTGGCAGAGGAAATCAAAGCGCTCATCAGGGACAGGTACCCTGCTCTCATTTGGGTCAATTGTGCAGAATGGGAAGTTCTCTGCAGCAGCTTGGCTTTTGGTCAGCACATTGAAAAAGGTGGATTTCCTGCAGTGGACAGAGTCAGCTGAGTGTCAACAGGATGAATCCAACATTTGTTTATTTATTCACAAAACAAAACATGTACACACCCGACATTAGGTAATCCCACAATTCCAATTTTCAGAGAGGTTCCAAATCGTCCGATCAATGGAGGCTGTTTCGGGGCTTCTCCCTTTTTGGGGGGCATCTGCGAGAGTCACGAGAAAGCTGGTTACACCATGACCCCATGTCAAAGCACTTCATCAAAGCCAGGCTTTTTTTTTTTTTGTTTGTTTTGTTGTTCTTTTTCTGTACCAGCACCCCAGTCAAGCTAAAAGTCAGGTGCAGGATCTAAATAGCTCCATCCTATTGAGCTAGCTCCACTGGAAACGTGTCCGGGCAGATAACGTTACAGTCATATGCTCATTCAAACACAGAATGCTAACGTTAGCTGGTGGCTATCTGAAACCACTCCTAGCTACCTGTTAGCCACACTAGCTCACTGAACGGATGCTACTGACTGGATTTTCTAGTCATAACAAATAGCCCGAACGCCGTTTAGCTGATAAACCTCGTTATTGAGTACCTTTTTATGTCCTGTTTGAGCCTAAAGCCGACGTGGTGTTCACCCTGATGTCTGCTCCGGTAGAAAGACAAGTTGGAGAGCAAACCGGAAGTGTTCTGACGAGGGAGGGCTGTGATTGGTCGGAGAGAGACCAATCACAGCCTGTATCAAATTGTGTTTATGTTATCAATTTTATTTTTCGTTGTAATACATTTATTTGTAGTCTTCTTAGGTTGTAAAATGTATGAATAAATTGCTTTATTGTTTTACAGTTCGCTTAACTTCCTGTCTTTCCGTAGTGAATCCTCACTAGAGGTCGCCATTGTAAAGGGTGCGTTCAGGAACATGCATACAACCATTAAATAAATCTATTTACTGTGTGGCAAAATAGTGTTCAACAAAATGTATTATTTATTATTAAAGTTTACTCCTGACCTTGGAAACAGCAGGCAACCAAACAATGTCACAATAAGCTCAAAGTAGCTGTTCTGGAGCTTTTCATCGTGTCACGTTCTTCCTCAGAGAACAAACGTGTTGAAATGTAATTTTTCGAAGCACTTCAAGGACTTCTTGGCTATGTTTAAGAGTATTTTGACAAAATGATCTCACCACAGTCCTTTAATATTGTTGTATGTTAATTTTTTATTGATATGTGAACTATCTTTCACTTGATTTCTTCATTACATTACTATACTTTTATATATACTTCATACTATATACATTCAACAGCACAGTATTTAACTGTCTGGTTATTAGCTACCAAAAACAAAACTTTAATCTCAGCATTAGGCTCTGCTACACTAAATCTAAAAGGCACCTTAATTAGTATAATCGGTAATACCAGTTTACCATTTTTTCATGTCAAATGGCTGCTGTGGAAAAACTTGTATTTTTCAAATGAGAGTGCATTCGTAGAGTAAAAGCAGTAATGTTTTTATTTGTCAAGAAAAAACAAAAATTCCAAAACATTTGATGGGACTTCGTGGTACAATACCTGCAGCATTCCTGCCTCTAAAACCATGGAACAATGTGACCATTACAGTATACTACACATTGTTACTGAACAACAGAGCAAAATGACCCAAGTAATTTTTTATTGCTTATTTACAACCAAGAGTATTTATCCATCAGAAAAGGAAAAAAAAAAAAAAGACAGAAATGAAAAAGAAACATTTAAAACATTTCAAAAGAGTAAACTAGGATCTGGACAGTTTAGGAAACTAACTACATAAGAACAGCAAAACAAGAAGTTGTAATATAACTGGCACAAAGAATCCTGCTCATATAAAAACAAGTCTGTCGAGCCAAGCCAGTCCCCAACAGGTTTGTTAGCTGTCACGAGGATACCCAAAAATTACTTCACAGATTTTAATTAAAAAAAAAAAATAGGGCAGAAATAAGTCAATGAACAAGTGATAGGTTTTTGGTGCAGACCCCGAGAATAGCCCCCTTCCATTTGAACAACTTTTCTGCCATTTAAAACTTTTGGCAGAACATCCACACGATTCTTCCTAGACATTCAATAATGACTGATCTTCTACTAAAACTGTGGTTCTCCGACAAACTGTATGTTATGACCATTTTTTTCAATTCTTTAATACATAAACAAGTCCAGAACTCCAATTACATACATAATATCCAAAGAAAAGCATCCAAGCAATAACACTGAATTTGTCATGTTTCTTCTCTGACTGCTCAGTAGTGACCTGTGAAAGAAGTTACAGGGTAAGAGATTTTAGTGACAAAGTATGTGTGAAGGTTATATAATATGTTTAGTTCATATAAAGTTTCAAAAAGCCAATAATCTAATGTCTATCTTATGATAGAAACATGGTGTAAACATACGTGGTGAGTAGGACCGTGATCGGGATCGTGAGCGGTACCCTCTGCTATAATAAGGAGACGGAGATCTGCGTCTGTAGGGGAGGAGAACAAAACCACAACACTTTAGCATGTTACACGTAAGTTAAGATCACTCAATTAACGAGATTCATTTGAGTCCTAAAGTCTGGACAGTTATCAGTAGACTACTCCATTCTGAAATTAATCAATAGTCTCTCACTACCAGTAGTCTTGGGAGAAAGAAACAGACAAAAGAACTCACCTGTATGATCTGTATTCTCTGTCGTCATAGCGATCATAGTCACGTTCATACCCTCTGTCATAGCCCCTGTCGTAGCCCCTGTCGTAGTCCCTTGAGGTGCGCCGCGATGAACCACCGCTACTGCTACCACCACCGCCACCACCGCCGCCGCCGCCGCCACCACCACCTCCACTTCCACTACCACTACCACCGCCGCCGCCACTGTAAAAACACACAGAATAGAAACGTTTAGACACCATCGGGAGACACCACAAACAGTAGCTTAGGGAAAATATCGCTGTTGTTAAAACAAACACAGCCTGGTTAAAGAAACACTCACTATGTGGGACGTCCCATGTAGATTCCAGGAGTGGGAGTGTGGGCTCGTTTTGTAATGGAGAAATCTACTCGGATCCTACGCCCATCGAGCTCCATTCCGTTAGCACGCTCCTTAGCCTAAATCCCACAACAACACAAAAGGTTTATGTTTTCAATTCATTACAGACACTTTAAACAAATACCCCTTTTATACAGAGATGTGTAACATTCACACGGCTTACCAAATGCATATTCACAAACTGAACCCATTTATATGATGGCTGTCACTGTAGCTGAGTTACCAATAAAAAATTTAAAAAAAGTTATGTTTCACTTTCATATCTCTCATCAAAAAAGAATAATTAACATCCATCACAAGTTACCAGAGCCCAAAGTGGGGTATTAAATTTGCTTACTCAACAGTTAAAACCCCAAACTATCCAAGTAGTTCTCATAAGAAAAAAAAAAAATTTGCTATTTAATTGGTATTTAAGAGTCAACATTATACAATTTTAAAATGCATACATCGGTCTCATCTTCCTTACCTCCTTGGAGTCCTCAGAGTTTTCAAAGTAGACAAAGGCAAAGCCTCTTGAGCGACGCGACTGCTGGTCATAAACGATGTTGACGTCACTCAAAGGGCCGTATTTAGAGAAAACCTCCCTGAGATCCCTCTCAGTGGTGTACAGACTAAGTCCAAACACACCCAGGCAGCTGTTGGGGTCTGGGTTGGCCTGGGAGAGTAGAGAGAAGTGAAAAAACATTGTGAGCAAATGACCTGCCACGTCACTGCAATAAATCCTGCTAAGTGAAGGAATGTGATGACTTTACAGTGATTTTATTATTTATGACTCATTTTACCAAGTTTTTGTTTAAGAAATGACATTTCGGAAGACTACAAACCATTTAGGGCTTTTAATCATGATCTTATGCAATCATGAAGACAATACGAAATTGTTAAATGTGTCTGTAAAGTTTCTTTAGATTAAGTATTTTTTACATTCACAAAACTTCAAAGTCTGTGGAAACCCCAACCTCCAAGAAGCACTAAATATGTACCCTGTTGCCAATGTGTCTGCGACGATTTGACATGGGGGAACGGCTGTGGCTTCTTCGTCTGCGGTACTCCCAGCTACGAGATCGGCTCCTGGAGCGGCGTTTGTGGGAGCGGGAACGAGAGCGGGAGTAGTGTCTGCGTGAACTCCGGTGGGAACGGGACCTGGGGATAGACATACACTTAACTCGGATAACATGATTTACTTGTGTCATGCACACACACCAGGCTCAAAAATCTAGTTTTCAAATCCACGTCACTACCTAACTTCATATGCACATTCTTACCTGGATTTTGATCTGGATCGAGAGTGAGATCTAGACCTGGAACGGCGGGAACCATCTTTGGAGCGTGCTGGTGAGCGGCTGGTGGATTTCCCAGAGCCCCGAGGGGATGCACTCCTCGAGCCGGGCCGTGAGTCCTGAACAGACCAGACACCGGGGTAAGAAACACTCTAAAGCCAAACAACAAGTATTAAGGGCCAGCAGGCGACTGTGCTTGCCCTTTACGTGCCACTTTCAGAAAGGCTTCACCACAATTTGGAGTTTAACAGGTTTGACACTAAATATTTAAGAATTTGATTATACAAGATCACACTGCAAAAAAAATAATATTTCAAGTAGAAAAAGTAGTAATTTAGCTGAAATATAGATATAGTATGGAGAGATTGACCAGTTATGTTTCTGATAAAGAGAGGGGAAAAATCGTGCATGCTTAATAGAAAGAAACAGGATGAAATAGAGTAATAACATAGCAGACTGTTAGGAAATTACTCATAACGTTACCCCGGTATACTTCTGATCTTAACTTCATAACTTCTTTAACTTCATTACTTCAAAACAACCCTTCATTTCTTCTTTCTTCTGTTTGACATTATGACTTCTTTTTTCCTCCTCTTCCCCCATTTACCATCTGCCATTACAACACTAGTAGTGGGGACAGATCTTGATCGCTTCTTTTCAGCATCCCATATATTAGCATGCATCAACACCATCAGCTTCAAATACTAATAACTTCACATCTGAAACGTCTTCCGCCTTTTTCTTTCTTCCAACCTCAACCTTAACAAAGAACAAACAAGGGTGATAAGGCAAGTTGGTTTCGGCAAGAACCAAAAAAAAAAAAAAAAAAAAAAAAAAGGTACAAAGAAAAGCAGCAAAACCAGAAAAACAACACAAAATAGCTGAATACACGTTTAGCTTATAAGTTAGCTTGATATTGTTTGATTGGTCCTACTATGCTACTATGCAATACACCGATACAAACCTGAAAAATCAAGTGGGTAAAGTAAATATTAACGCTAAGTTGTAAATTAGCGGCAAAATTAAGGTAGCATGGTCAGGCGGCGGCCTCGCTCTGTGTAGGCCGCATGTAGCTAACGTTAGCTAGAGTTACAGGTATTGTTATGTAGCTACATTTACCTAACTTACGATAACCGTACACTCCTTCCGATAACTCACAGAAACGTTTATAAACCTTTATAAACAACCGACCTTTCTAAAGCTTGCCAGGCCACGTTGCCATTACCCGACCTGCATTAAACAGCGAAGTTAGCTTAGCGCCTTTCCAACGTTGTTTTTCTGAACTCACCTGCTCCCTGAACTCTTTCTCGTTGTCACTCATATTATTGTAACTAGACAGTCGATGTGTAAAATTTAAAAAGAAAGGTTCGCGGTTCACTGCATCTATTGATTTAACCTAGTTGCATGCTGAATTTACCGCAAAGCAAACCGGTTTGAACTGAACTAACGTTAACGCAGGCTAACGTTCATCACGTTCCGCTACAAGCGGTCGTTAACCTGATCCGGTTTGATTTTCACAATAAAAGCGTAATCTCCAAGAGACTTGTAATTTGCGTCCCACTGCATTTCAAGTAAGAAATAACAAGTTTTAATAATAACATGAACTACATTTGGTCTTTCATTGCTACTGCACTTTCTAAAATCCTGTTTAACAAAAATTATAAACGACCCTGTAAGGCAGATATATAGTTATTCCTCAAAGTAGTGGCATATTAGTAATAACTTGGACATTAAATTGTTGCTTTGTGTGTAGATACCTACAGTATTTCCGTCAATAATACCAATACACACTGGGGTATTGTATGCAATATAAAGAAGCACCTTTTTTGTAGGCCCCATGTTTGAATGATTCTCAGTAATTATTTCTTCTTCATTAAATCACTGTCTAAATATACAATATCAATGTTGTAGTAGTAAAAAAGTGAAGTGTGTGTATTTTAAGTGGCTGCTGCTTGTATACAGTAAATGCATCCACTAATTGCAAAATAACATTATAGACTTTTCAGTGATAATGACCTCTATTAATCTGTTTAAATGACCAAATCCAGGCCAGAAGTTGTACTTTCTGGTTGCATTACAATCCCTGATGTAGCAGACCACTAAGAAAAAATGATGTAATATATTGTGATGTAATATTGAGGTAAATGTGACAACATTTAGTAATTTAGATTTCAGGTCATACCAAATGAACACTGTCATTTACAGAAATATATCAAACTCCAACTTAAAAAATGAAATACTTTATTACAGGAGGGCGAAAAAAAAAAAAAATCACATCTTTAAAGCATGAACTCAAACATGCATGTGTGTACAGTAGTTTGCTATGAAGTATAGTACACTGTAAGTCAATGTAATAGCCCTAGTAGCCTCTTGCAGTATGCTCATAGAAAAGATTCACAGACCTACAGCGCCTTATGTTACACAAAGAAATCACTGCTCCACTTGTGGAGAAAAAACAAACTATACACACTCCAAAAACATCCAGTCAAGTCATAAATAATAGCAACACAAACATACTACAAGCACTCAACCATGCATTTTTGTTCTGATGTGGTTTTGATTATCACTTTCTATATTTTCTAGAGCAACTGAGTGTCATAACAAATAGCATTGGAGTTAGTTGCTGTACACTCATTTCATTTTAATTGGGCAGGAACAGCCAAATTAGACCTAAATATCACTGACCAGTGACAATCTAATTCAATGAAGAAATTACTTTGAATTGTATGTGACCAAGTAATTTCCCAAAATATACAAAAGCATGCTCCAAGTTGAGCTCAGTGTCAGAGGGCTGAAGGCACTTTAGGCAGAACTTCAAACAGCAGGTCAATTACAAAAAGCCATTCAGTCAGTAGTGCCAAAGCTTGTTTAAGACATACACTTCTTACATCCTAATAATGTCTCCAATTACAACTCAGAGATTATAAATTGTTAACATGTCCCCAACAGGGAAAGAGACATAATCAACTCTTAAGACTAGTGTTTGATTTCTCCTGACCAGAACAGCTAGACTGGGTTAGATTTCAGTCAGTAAAGTTCACTTCTTTGGCCCATTCATTTATTTTTATTCACCACGTAGTTACTGGACACAAGTGCTTCTCCCATTGAGAAAGTCTATGTTGTTAGGCCATTCATTGAGATTGTTGCAATCCTCTACAGCAGCTTCTGATTGAGGATTTCCCAAATCATTAACTTCCTGAAGAGCGGCATATGGCACTGTAGAGAAAGAGGCAAATGTTACTTTTAGTTTTTATGGAAAGAAAATAATGTAAAAAAAAAAATTAATTAAACAAAGAAGTATTACTAGATCAGGTGAATATGTATATACCTGTTTAAAGGTGAGAGGCCTTCCTTTTGCGATATAGTCAGCGTATTTACAGGCAAAAACACCACAATCACTGCCATTTTTCTGCTGGGGAATCTCCTATAGAGGCATGAACAGAGTGCAAAACATTCATTACACCGTAACAATAAAAACAGTCAAGTTAGTTGTACGTCATTCATCTTTATTTGACTTACAGTGGCCCTCAAACTTCCAACAGTCCATTTGGCGCTGTCAAGATCTCTGCCTTTCTTTGCTTTGTGCTCCTCTTTAAGGTAGAGTCTGGAAAACGAGCACAATGAAGCCATTAACTATGCAAGAATACTAGATTTCTAGAATCAATAGCTTGAGTTTAAGAGCACAACGAGGACTCACAGTAAAAGACTGCAGATGTCATCGTGTCTCTGGCCCATCGAGTCATATGACTTCACTGTCTTTGACTTAAAATCAATCACCTGGAATGAGAGTGATGAGTGTGAAAGGGAGGGAAAACTGTTCAAATGTGAGTATTTAGTAATGAGTATAATGTGTTTCTTTAAACTAACACTGACAAAGTAATAAATGAATACACTAGACTAAAAAGGAGGAATATAACATGGCAACAAATAATACATCTACAGTCATTGTGGGTCTGACTCACAGCCATTGCCCAGTGGACGCCCAGGTGCAGAGGGACCAGGATGAGGTCATAGAGGAAAAGGTCAAAAGCCTTGGTCCAGCGCTTCACCGCAGTGTGTCCTCCCACCTGCCCGCCTCCACCACCCCGCAGCTTCGGAAAGAAGAAGGTGCTGAAGGAGTAGACTTTTAATCCTGCTGCTTCACCAGAACACCGCTCCATGACCAGGGAAAGGTAGAAGTTTATCACCTTCGTTGGAGGAAATAGAGGAGAAAATTTAATTAATTAAAAAAATAAACATCTCACATAAACACACCCTAAATGTTCTGTTGTGTTTTGACAAAATAATATACAAGTTCTTCTCTTTCTTCTCTCAACAAACTTTGTTTCCATGGTGACTAGGTACAGTAGTTGCTACTACCACCAAACTGAATTTGTCTGGTATGTGAAGCACTGACAAAAACAAAATTAATTACACTGTTAATGAAGAGGTAGGTAGTATTATTTAATTGTACCACTATCATTGGAAGCAATGGAGGGTTCAGCATCACAAATGTGATTAAACACTTGCATGAAGAAGAACGTTTGTGTGAACTTCCACCATGGAAGGTTTTAAATAATAATTTACAGGCAACAATTAACAAAACTAACAGTAAGTTGCCAGTGACACCTGTGTAAATGTGTACAGTCACCATTATCCATTCACCCTAAAACCGTGTTAATCTTTTAAATCCATCTAGCCGATTGTATTACATAGAAATGAATGACTAAAATAAAAAGACTAAACATACTCACAATAAACTTAACTTAAACTGTCACACTCTGAGTACATACCTCATCGTTCAGCCAGCCGCCTTCCTGCAGTGTGGCCAGGTCTCTCTGCGTGATGCGCAGTTTGAAAGCTGCACTCAGAACAAGGTTGGGATCACTCTGAGCCAGAGAGTGACTCACCTCCGCTGCCATTTCCTAAACACAAAGACAATAAATATATATGAAATAAAATAAACTACATCCATGTTTTCTTCAAAACGGTGACTACACGTCTGTCCTGACCATCTCACCTTGGTCAGCCAAGGTATGTCCTCATCGCTGTGTCTTGCGTGTGCAGTGTGTGCAGAATGTGTGTCGGGGAAACTGACAGCAGGAGTATCTCTGTCCACAAGATTGAGGCGAGTAGCTACTTCTGTAGAAAGGTCCAACTCTGCTGCCTGTTTCTGCTGCAACGGAGGTTGACAGCAGAAATAATACATTTGCATTTCCACCCATAATTATACAGTAATGAGTGCTTTGACATGTCACGAGAGAGCAAGAGAAATGACTACCTTTGCACATCTAGCAGGCTGTGTGTCCGTAAAGGCTCCACTGAATGTCTTACTAAAGGTTAAGCTACTCCGCCTGGAGATAAATCAAATAGAGGTTAGTAAAATAATCAGAGTTCATCACTATATAAATACGTTACACACACAGACACACAGACAGATTTACTACACCAACCTGTCCTTGGTTGCAGATGCATTTCTCCATGTAAACACATTTGGGGCAGCTGTGCAAAGAAGATAAGTGTCAGTTGAGCAGAACATATTTCAATCTAGTTTGAATCAACTGACGGTGTTATGTGAAAAGGTACCTGCTTAATTAATACATTGTTTAAATCTATTAAAAGCAATGCCCCAAACAAGTAGGAAGTAATTACAACTGGGACCTGCAACTAAAATATGGTATATACATGGGCATCTTACCTGTGTATCCCGTCTTCCTGGGCAATGATTCAAAGGCTTTTCCTGAAGCAGCAGTTTTGGGATCAGTCTGAGACAGCGATTCACTGAGAGCAAAAGGAGTTAAGAAGTTGTTAAATGGATCTTGATGTAATTTCTAAAAACAAAAAGCACGTGATTAATATGGTTATACTCACTCTTGCGGTTTTGTTTGGTTGAAAGGAAGTGGTTGGCTTTTGCTGTATTTTTCTGTCACCATCTCCAGCAAGCGCCGGTAGTGCTCCTTATTATTCTGTTTTATGGCCTAAAGGGAGAACCCAAATACATGATAACTGAGCCAAGTGGTAGTAGGAGTCTTGAAGCATGACTCCTCTGAATGCAGAAAGTGGTAAATGGGGCTAACTGGTTGAAGGTTGAAATTTAATTAGACAGAAATCATGTGGGTAAACTTTACTCCTTTTACTTGTACTCAAAATGGGTGAATCTATGAGAGCTAGGACTAATTTAACTAGAGTTAGTCCAATACATTGGCCAATTTTGGCTTGTTGCTGATATAAGAAAGGCCAAACTAGGTCTGAAGTGTCACCAGTACAATCATTGTAAGATTTTTTTTAAAACTCCTACATACTGATTCCAGAGTCATTCTAAATCAAGCCTATATTTTACAATAAATAAATTAAATGCAGCCTATTGTGGCAATAAGAAATTAAAATTCATAAAAATTGTATGCACAAGGTAAGATCATAAATTATCCTTATGTAAATCCAAGCCAAACACTTGATTATTTTACCTCTTCCACAGTAAGACTGGGTTTGTAGCAGCGATTGTATCCAAAGCCATTGCAGGTTGGATCAGGGTTTGCAGTTCCCACCCTCAGAGAAGGTCTGGAGGGCAGCAGCTGGAGGGAGCCTCTCCTCTCCCGCTCCTTCCCCCTGTCGGCGAGCCCTGCAGACAGCCCTGCCCCACTGGATTCAGAAAGGTTGTGTACATTAGCAAGGAAACATTGTCAAAAGGAGATACTGATGGTATGCAGCCCTATAGGTATATTTACAGCAAATTGGGCGAGTGAAGGGAACTGGACTGTGACAGTGGACCACTTGCCTGTATTTCCTCATTAAAGGAGGTGAGGAGCTCTGAAAGGGATTCTTCCCACCCCTCTCATTCACTCCACCCACTGGTTTACCTGTGGAGAAAGAATAAAATGAACCAAATCACGATGGGGCTAAGGATGAGAGGACTCTATGGTAAAGACTGTGGATGAGAAGTGACCTAAACACAGTCAACAGATCATTGACAGCTATAGCTGTCTTCACTTACTCATTCTCCAGTCAGTACTGTTCAACCATGAGGTGTGGAGCTCATCTATCCCCATCAGAGTAACAGGCTGGATCAACAAAGAAAATGCAATTTAATTAAAAATGAAGAATACAAATCAAATTTAACACCAGAGCATCAAACGATCAAAGTTGTCCTTACTTCCTCAGCTACTTAATAATAACAGTTTTAAGTGTCCAATGTAGTCTAACTGTCACATTGACTCACATATAATATCGTGTCCAGATACACACATATTTTGTGTTGACCCACTAGACGTGATTTGCAGTTCAGAATTTGTCTCACGATGCAATTTAAATACCCACTTGTGATCATTTTTCATTTACATTTGATATTAGATTGAGGAATCTAAGTACAGCCTTCAGAACCTCTGTAAATCAAAATCAACTGTATTTACATGTGTTTGTATGTTTATTTTAGTATATGCAAACTACAAGGTGAGGAGGTGGATCTTTTAAAAAGTCAGACAGTTAAGTTCATGCTACACTACATACAAATTATAGTAACATTCCCAAATGTGTCCTTGGTGGATTTTGAATGTAACACATCTCTATTTAGAACTCACTTAGTTCACTTGTGGTCAGATTACCCACGAAACATTAAAGCACCGAGTCTGAGCAGGACCGTCGATCCACACAGCTAAAATGTTCACTACACCTCTTCTCCTGTACCAAATTTCAAATGCATGTCTGATGGTGGGAGATGGAGCACAAACCTGTGTGTCTTCATAATGTCTTGGCTTGTCACACCTGGTCGTCAGCGGGTTCCGCAGCCTGAGCAGACCTGCTACCCCGGCCACAGTCTTCTTCACAAAGCTAATAACTACATCTGACACACAGGACACAACATGTCAACAACCATCTTCATTTCTGTTGGAATTAATATCAAGACTTTTTGTTGTTGTTGTTGTTTTTTTTTTTTTTAAAAAACAAACCTCGTCTGCGTCTTTTCACCTCTACCTGGTCATTCTGGCAAACGCCGTCTGCAACATCAACACTGTAACAGGAAAAACGGTTTAAGAGGGATGATAGCAACAATATTAAGTAACACAATAGTCTTCAATAACAACACTATCAGCAATGTGATGACACATTTGGATAAGCTTCAGTTTGAGCTTTGAGTTTGTTTAATTCTAATACAACAGTTCAGCAGTACATTCATAAAAGGTTATAATGTTCACTTTTCAGTTGTAACTGTTTTAGAGAGGTGTTGAATCAACTTTATGGTCGTTGTGGAGGCTGCAGTTTGTGCTTCTGTTGAACTGTATCACTTATACAGAGAGGTGTTTTGACTATTTAGTAGGGTAGACAAAACATTTAGGCAACTAACAATTCTTATTATTGATTTATCTTACAAGTCTGTCTACTTAGGATGTCTGTAAAATGTAAGCAAACTGAAAAATACCAATCATAGTTCAGTCCAAGGGGATGGCTTGTTTAGTCTGACTAGTCCAAAACCCACAGATATTCAGTTAACATATAAAACTGAGACAAGAAGCAAATCCTCACACTGAAGAGGCTGACAACTGAGAATACTGGTGATTTTAATAATTCCTCGAATATCATAATAGTTGCTAAATGACTTCAATCAACTAGTCGATGAACTGACTAAGCATTTCAGCTCCACAAAATATCTCAAATACAGTTAAACCCTTACAAAAATAAATGGGGGGGACATAAGATTTGAACCACCTCTATCAATACAATACAATTTAACTGTACCATGAACTACAGCCTCCAAAAGGACCATAAAGTTGAACTGAGACTTGAAAACTGGACTTTATAATCTTAAGTAGGATTCATTGCAGGACTGTGCATGATAACACATGTCATTTGAGTTTGTCCATACATTTCTTCTTGGTAACTGTGGCTTCAAAAATCCTACACACAAACTCATATAGCGTTAACATATGTCTTTGAATTTACGTTTTAGGATATTGCTAAGAAGGAGAGTTTATCAATGAACTGAGATGCAGCCTGTGTGAAAAGAAAGGAAATGTTTAAAGCTAGCAGAATCTCTCTCTACTGTCAGAGATAGAAAGCAGACAGATCTTAACCAAGTACAGACTCCGTCACCACAAACAGGACATTAAAAAGGGAAGACACAAAAAAAATCATGGCAACCAAAACAATATGTGATCAGTTTGACAGGTGAGGTTGAGACAGAGATGCACTTCCTCCTGCAATGCAAAACTATCAATATTATAAGGAACATTTATTTTAACAAACTCTTATTGCAGATTTCAAAGATCTTAAAAATTTATTTAAAAAGAATATAATAATAGAAGAAAATAATCATAAGAGAAGGAGACAGGGCTGCCCAATATGTATTAACATGCCACAACCTGAGGTACAGTGACTGACAGACACACTCACATTTACATACTCTTCATTGTTTCTACTTTATTTTAAATTATTGTTATCATTTCCTTACTAATCTACACATACATATATTCTGACACTTGCCAACCAATGTCTGCGTCTGATTCCCCTGCCAATAAAGCCCTCTTTTGAATTGAACTGAGAGAAAACACCAGCACCACCAGAAGACACCTACACTAATGTCACACCATCATCAGCACAGGTCAGCTAACTAGCGCCACTTACCCGATAACTCCCTCAACCTCCTGGGTTAAATTATCGACTGATTTCTTCAGCTAAGATAGACAACCAAACCATTACACAACAAGGGGACCATAACAGTGTACCGACAATTCAACTACGACCAGTAAACACCTACATAGAGTATTAAAAAAGGCGTTTTAACTTCCATAACAACCGACCTCTGGTAGTTCCGTTTAGCCGGTCTACAGTGGGTCTCGTGCCGCTGCGCTCCCGCTTTCACGCCAGGTCGCGTGGGTACCTCCTCGCTAGCGTTACCTCTCCCGGGCCACTCGGTGGGGTTTTGCCCCGTAACGGGCTCAAACAGCGACGATATTCCGTCAACTATCCATCCATACATCCCAGACAGATACGAGAAAATTGTACCGGGGGCTTCTACGCGGGCCAGGACTATTTTCACCGCGGATAAGGTGTCATACAACGACCTACGACACGCAGCCTGCCGCTAGCTGACCGTTAGCAGCACTGTGGTTGGAACGCGAAGGATGTGCGTCATTCAGTGTTGATGTTTCACCGAGTGCGAACGTTCTCGTTGTCTGGGAAACACGAGCGGGCGGAGTTCTAAAGTGGAGCTGGAGTGGAAACAGGACATGGAGAGAATGGCCACAGGCGGCGTCTGCCGACATTATAAACGAACGAACCCCCCTGATAAGAAGGTATAAAAGCGTCAGTGGGAGATCAGATGATCATTGGCTGCTGCCGAGCTGCTCAGGTGTCAATTCTTGGTTACATAATGATTACTGTCACAGTTACTATATCTGAAAGAGAAACAAATAGTAGGGAAAGAGCTGTATTGTTTAGGAGTTGATTGGCTGCTTAGCAAGAAGCAAAGTGTAATCAATTAAAGCTCTTAATAAAAATTCCCGCGCAGCTCATTGCAGGAAAAGGGTAAGAATATGAAGTTATGCATTATTGGAATAAAAATGTGCGTTGCAAGTGAAAATTATCATTCACATTTTCTAGATTATAATTATCACATTTTAGACTTAATTCCTTGTAATTTTGATTTACCACGAGTATGTATATTTACATTTATCATGCATTTCTTGTCTTTTCTTGGTGTAAACTAGGATACATAATCACAAGTCTCACTAAAAGGGAAATAAGGCAAGGTCTGACTAATAAGGAGTCACTTAGACAACTTGACAAAGAAAGGCAAAAATGCAGAGAAATATAAAATGTTTAAATCTGGACCTATTCTGCTCTACAGTAACTCTGTTCCTCTTTTTTATGACTGTAAACAGGATATAGTATATTGATATTAAAAGAAAATGTTCAACAAGTCTATCCCATATTAAGGTTGAATAAATAAATAAATAGCCAACCCAGTTTGGTTTGTAAGCACAGATTTAAAATATTTTTCAACTTTATGGTACAAACATAGATAATACAAAAAAACACAAAAAGGTTCACCTTTATGCAATAAAACACTCACTAGCTAAGTTGATCATGGATTTCAAGTATAAAAACCAGTGCAAATTTGGACACATGTGCAATGAACATCAGTCCTATTTACATACAGTAGCACAAAAGGGTATAAAACATTAGTAGAAAAATAACAAGCAGACCCATTTAAAATAATGAAAAACATTTGTTCTTGCAATTCAAGAGTGACCTTCAAAATACTGAAGTACAGAGAATAGAAAACATTTAAAAATAATTTATGTACTCATTAAAAAAAAAAAAAAAAATTCTACATGGGTGTAAGGCATGGACAGTTTAGTGACGATATGCAGACAGGGGAGATGCTTTCAGTGGTCGAACAACTTCGGGTCAGGGTGGAGAACAGACGAACCTGATAGGACACACAAACGCACAAAATATTAGTTGGATAGCATCCCTTTTTTGCAGAGCTCAAGAACATAAAATCCAAACTATCATGAAGTTAAAACCCACTGCTGATAGTCCGACCTGTATGTCTTTAAGTAAACAGTACAGTTCAGAATAGTCGATAAGACAACGCTGCATTTTCAACACTAACACATGTCAGCAGAACCTCATATCATCATCAGATGAAATATTCAGTTCTGTAAAATAATACATGAATAAATGGTCCTACGATGAAGAAAAACACAAGTCACACTCAGGTCTTTGAGGTTAAATGTCTTGCAGGTGTTTGTTAGTGTGACAGATAAGTCACATTATAGGATTACAGGATTATACTGGTGTGTTTGTATGTCAGTCCATTTACTACAGTACTGCAAACCATTTTTTCAGAGCATACTACAGTTCTTTTTTTCTGAATGCCCTTTTTTTTAACCATGAAAACAACCACTGTTACAGTTAATGTCTGCATTTATGGAGCAAGTTTTATAAGCAAGAGACTTTTCCTGACCTGCAGATACCTTGCTAATGCCTGTATAATACAGTCAGTAATTTACTCTAAAATGAGCTGTAAATCAAGATTTCAGACACTTATGAATCGTCATGATTTTGCATTATCACTGACAGTCACACAACAGTAATTTCCTATAAAACGTGAGACATTGCATTGTGGGATTGTTGGCAGAAAGCAGTGTAGATGCCAGATTTTGCTCCATTCTGGGAATTTTTTAGGGCATTATACAGCGGACACATTTCACACTCACAATGTGGACACTCACTGCACTGCATTATGAATGCAGAGAGATTTTGGACAAATTTGGGTTTTTGTGTTTGCCGCGTTGAAAAGATGAAACCAGAGTTACGATTATCCTTTGTGTGATGTCCATGACTGCTTTGTTAGTCTCAGGCTTACATTTCTGATAACCCAGTTTCTGAATACAATGGAGCTCAAAGACTACTCAAATCTCAGTAGTCTGACTTTCCCCAACCACCTCGTAAAAGCACCAATATGTTTTCAGGTGGTTTCCCAGCTTAAAATAATTTCATGATAAACAAACTTATTCTTCACTGTAGAGTACTTCTTTTTTTTTTTTAAATATCAAGCTAAATTTAAATCCATGTTGCTTAATGTTTGTATCACTGGCATGCACTGAAACACATGTCTGGATGGACGGCATTCAATGAATAAAAAAAGAGGATCAGAAAACCTGCAGGGTACGTTCCACACTTATATTTTTCCACATTTACATTTAGTGCACTCGGTGTCAAGTCAGGACCCATCCTGAGAGGTGCATTGTGGTGCTTTATTGTTTGGTGGAGTGAGTACGCTACACTCACACTCACCTGGACCATTCAGGTAAAGGGGCGACAAGCAGCTCAGGTACAGCCATGTCCTATTCTCCTGCAGCCAGCGCTGCCGATAACCAATCATATCAGGAGAACAGGCTGACTGTATCCTCCTTTCCTCTTTAGGGGGCAGGGCTAAATGAGTCTGGCTTACTAGGTTGGGAGATGATAGAGCACACAGGTTTTGTGGGATTTAGTAACATGCTGTTTTGCAGGAAGTGTTACTGCCCCATCACAAACCAGAATTTTCTAGAATTACTTGTTTTGTAACTCTGTAATCAGCAGCAGCTGAAATGTGTACATTTCCAGGGAAAAACACTTCCTGGAAAACAAGGGACCAAATAAGGAGACATACATCTAATGCTGGGATCAGACTACACAATATTCTTGTCTTTTTATATCATCGTCTGATTAATCGATCATAGAAACATGGCAGACTACACACTTGGCAGTGAAGGTGGGCTCTGTCTTTTTCCTTTCCGGTGAGACTGACTGTGTAAAAGACATAATTTTCTTGCCTTGTTTACAGTCCACAGAAAGGTGGTCTGTTCTCCTATGGGGCAATCTTAGTGAGCATGATGTAGAAGCTGTCAGACTAGGAAAAATCTAAAATGCTAGTCTAGGACAATGAGAGGCGCCCCAGATGCTGCTATGGCTTGGTAATCTTCCCCTATGATGCTAAAAAGAGGTAAAACTAGACGGCACTCTTTCATTTGGGCAACTAACACGCCAATATTGTGTGGTCTGATCTCAGCATAAGAGCTATAAAACATAAACCCAGTGCCATGTAACATCTCCCAATGTGATATTACTTGCTACTTTTCCAATGAGGCGCTCAAAACCCAAGAAGTTGACAGAGTGGGATGCTACCATCACCAGTTTTATGTTCTAACCTAACTGCACACTCCTCAGGGTACTGCCTTGTGCAACCAATCACTGATAAAATATTATAAACACAAGTTTAACAGTTTGTAAAAGAAAAGAGTGCAATGAATGAAAGGTTGGAAGCGACAGTGCCCCAACTGATGGACACAGTGTTGACCTTATACCCTGCGCTTCCAGCATGCAACAAATTTGTGACTTTTTAAAGAATTCCCATGGTGCCTTCTATTCCATCTTTTGTATTTAAATTCACCCGTTTCACCTTAGTTATACTTAAGGTCCAGTGTGTAACATTTAGGAAGATCTATTGGCAGAAATAGAAAATATTATTCATTCTAAGCCTTAGAATGAGCTGTTTTTAACCTACAAAGGAGCGGCCACCATGTTGAACCACCATGTTTCTACAGTAGCCTTGAACAAACCAAACACTGGCACTTGAGCCTTTCGCGTTTTTCACAGCCACCATGGTTTCTCCTACATCCATGAAATGGGAGGGTGAGACAAGGAGGTTGTGCTCTGCAACTACACCGCTAGATGCCACTAAATCCTACACACTGGTCCTTTAATGCTGCTCACCTTGCCGGGCTCCCACCAACCGCTGTTGGACTTTCTCTAGATGGTGGATATATTCTGTCAGGGATCGTTCTGGATCCTGAGATGTTCCTCCTGTATGCCCCGAGGCCGGACTGGTGCTGGAGTACGACCTGAGGAGGAAGAATGCTCATAGATGAAAAATTACTTAAAACATTTGTGAAGTCCATTTCACAATCTAAAGTTGATTAGTCTTTGCTGAAGAGGACCACAAACCTGTTGTGCAACCTGAAAGGTGATTTGGTGGGTGGAACGAGGGCGGACACTGTGTCTCTGTGAACAGCACTGCTGTCTCTGTTTGGTGGCGAGTCAGTATTTAATCTCGGCTGTTGTTGCCTTAAAACTTCAGCTTTAGGTCCTGTAAGAGACATTAAGATTAAAATCCTCATACGCATGGTCAAGTGATGCACATTATCATAAAATGTGTTCACTGAGCTGACCTGCAGCATGTCCATTAACAGTCCCAGATACAGATAGTCGTCTGATTGCTCTTTGCCATTTCCTGGTCAGGAACCTCATTCTGAAAAATAAAATAAAAACTGTTATCAGTTTTATCCACACACGAGGCTGAGGCAACTCTTATGTATTTACATCCTGTTATTCTTCCTACCTTGAGACAGCAATGACAACTCGTACAGCAGCTCTAAATCGTCCGAGGGGTCTGCGCTGGGAGGAGAGTGGGGGAGACGGACGTACACCCATATGGGCGATGAGACATAGTGTGGCCTGCTCGCACTCCTGGAAACCTCCCAACAGTAGCAGCAGATAACGTTTCTGGTACACTAGAGCTTTCCTGAAGCTCTCAGCTCGCAGGTAGCGCTCATACAAACGCTGTACCTGCAAACCAACAAACAGGTTGTAATTGTTCTGTTGCTGTATTACAGCATAACCGTAGATGTTTGAGATTGTCTAGTGACATCCTACATCAAAGTATGCACAAGATATTAAAAAAGGGACTGCAAGAAAAGTGTTACACAACCAGAATGAAATAATAAAGCCACTTGGACAAATCATTATACCCACTGTAAGGTCAGGTTTGAACATATAGCGCCATGTTTCCCACAGTTTGATCATTTGTTTTAGGTGGTCTAAGCTCTGAATTCAACACTTGTAAATGCAATGCTTTTGCAGCAGACTCACAAGGTAATTCCTGTTTAGGGGAGTTACTTTTACAACCATTTACAAATTAATCCACCATGCAAGCTGGCATTTAATCGACATTTCAACATGTATTAGTAAGAAAAGCACAGCTGTAATTAACATTAATTATGGTTGGATTCCATTTAGGTTCTCCACTTCTAGAACACTGCTATTATGCATGTTTTGGCATGGCCTACTGGGACACTTAAACAGAATAGAGCCATCATTCACGTTATTAATTACAAATGTGCTTCTCCTGCTGCGACAAGTCAAGAGGAGAAAAGTCTAGTCTAGAAATAGTCTAGTCTTTTAACTGCATACACATGCATCATTTTGAAAAATGAATAAAAGACAGCAGGATGGAGTCTATGATGGAGTGCCAAAATCAAGACAGAAAAGTACAAAAACACTATCGCAATTCATCTTGTAAAAACAGTTCCCATTGTTTAGATCATAACTAACCTTGCTGTTGCTGATCACGTCATTGATGGGTCTGTTTTCAGTTTCTGTGGTGACCTTCGCAAGCTCATTCTCTGTGCGCCGCAGCTGGCGCTCCAGGCCCGTGAGTCTATGTTTAAGTGTGGCTCTCTCCTGACTCAGTGATGTCACACGCTCCGTCAGCTCTGAGTTGTCCTTCAACAACCTTTCCAGCAGATTGGGTGATGACGGCATGGACAGCATCTACAGTGAGAACAGTACATTCATTTTACATTCCTATATTCCCATCTTTACATGGGTCCAAAAGTAAAGACTTTCTTTAAAAAGTTCCATTAGTATTGCAATCAGTATAGAAACCACTTGTGTACCTGCTGGCTTTGCTGTGTGCTGCCTGTCTGGAAGTTGCTTTGGAGATGCTGCGAGGATTCAGCCTTGTGTTGCTGCCCTGTAGTTCGTCCAGACAGCCTCTGAGCAGCCATCTCTCTCTCCTCTCTTTCCAGCTCTGCCAGAGTACGCTGCAGCTCTTGCATGCGCTGCTGGTCCTGTTGCCTCAACAACTCCAACTCACACTAAAGTCAGAAATGATTATAAGGTTATAAGATTGTAAGGTGTGTTTGTATGCATCCAAAATTATCTTAACTACATTTGCTACTTTCACAAATTAAATGCTCTTAATTTTACATATATTTAAGTGTGAGAACTAGGTTGATATTTTACCAGTTTGCTATTGGTCCTCTCCTGTCGTCTCTCCCTCTCCATCTGCTCTTGCCTCCCCTTCCTCCTCTCCCTCTCCCATTGCTCCTCCCTCTCCCTCTCTTTGTCCTTCAGCTGTCGTAGTTTCTCCTTCAGCTCAGCCAGCTCCACCCCATGGCGTCTGGACCGCTCTCGCTCCACCTCTAAAGCACGGGTTGCTTCCTGTTTCTGCTCCTTCAAAGTCTCCATAGCTACACGATGTCGGGTGGCGGCCTCCTGCGTCCTCTGCAGCTCCTCCCTCCTTGTTTTGTCCTCCTCTTCCCATTTCCTTTTGCTTTGCAGTAGCTCAGCCCTAAGTTTGTCCATCACAGATGCCAGCTCTTCCCCCTGCCTTCTCTCCTGCTCCAGCTGGGCGCGCATGTCGGAGATGAACTTCCTTTCTCTGTCTGCATCCGCCTCGTGTCTACGGCTGAGTTCATCCACCTGCCTGGAGCAACGGTCCCTCTCTTCATCCAGCTTCCTATGAGCGTCTGCAAGCTTAGAGTGAATTTCTGCTGTGCGAGATTCTGCTTCAGTCAGGAGGCGCTCAAGACGAGTATTTTCTTCCAAGCTGACCGCTCGTTGGTGAGCGGAAAGTTGGCGTTCATCTTCTAGCTCCTTCTGGGTGTCGTCAAGACGTTTCTCCAGCAGCACACTGCGGGACTGTTCAATCTGAACCTCCTGTCTGAGGTTGCTGCAGGCCACCCTCTCCTGCTCCACCTGACCCTTCAGAGTCATGACCTCTGACCTCTGCTGCTCAGAAGATACTTGCACAGCCTGGAGACAGAAGAGGAAGATAATCTTTCAGTTTAAAAAAGGGATAGCAAGTACACTCTGGTTACATGCTCTGGATTCTTCACATTGTTTGTTCTCTAAAACTCAGTAACAACACTGTAGAAGCATCAGGTACATTTGGCCCCCAGCTATTATTTGACCATTTGAATACTGTCTTTTACACAAGAAATTGTGTTATATTAAGTATGCATATTTTTATTATTCGTCTTACCCCTCTCCTTTCCTCCTCCTCTCGGTCCTTACGGAGACTCAGAGCTCTCTCCTGCTCCAGTTGTTGTTGAAGCTCCTGGACTCTGGTCTGCTCCCTCCTCAAAGCTTCCTCGCATTCTTCTAAAGCCAACCTGAAGAAAAGCACAGTTCTAACCTTACTTTTCAGCACTTTTTGGTTGTATCACATGAAATCATGTTTGTATTTGTCAAGTTCATACTAGGGCCACCAATACATAAAACCATGCAAATAACCGATGATTATTTTACATCTTTCCAAGCACTCACTCACTGGCTGACCGAACTAGTATAAATATATAAAATAATACTTTTAAAAAGATATTTGAAATGCAGATCAAAAGAAAATCAATTAAATGCACAATTTTAGTATACAAAATAAATAACAACTTACTGATTTTACTCAATATATTTGATAATATAGAGTATAATATGTCAACTTATGGAGAAGGTGTGCTCAAATGCCAGTATTCGGTGTGTGTAATATACCTGAGTGACTGTATTTTGTTCTTTTGCTCTTGCTGAGTGTCGAAAGCACATTTCAGTTGTTTCTGGCTCTCATCCAGCTCTGCCCTCAGTTGGAACTCAAACTGTCCACAGAGTTGATCTCTGTGCCAGTCGTCATCACCTCTGTAGTCAGTCTGAAGAAGAAAGTTATCAGCACAAATAATCAACAGAACCAAAAGACAAATATATTAAATAAGTTCAATCTCTCTCACCTTACACCTAAATTAAAAACTGAAGTGAAGGAACTAAAATGTATGTATACAAACACTGGCCATATCATAGTGTGAAGCCACTAACTTGATCAAAAAGTTTCTTTAAAACCACAGAAACTCACTTGAGTATGTCTCTGTGCCATTCGACAGAGCAGCTCTCGGAGAGCAATCACAGTCTCCTGCAGTGCCCTCTTCTCCTGCTCCCAGCTCATGGGGGGGTTGGAGGATGATTTGTCCCGATGGTTCAGTAGGGTGGAGCTATCTTCAGAATGGTGCTGTGTGTGACTCAATGAGAACGCTTTTAAGTCTGAGACATGAGGATGGGTTGAGGAACTGCCACGACGCTGAGACAAAGTGAGAATTCTGCAGCTTTCTTGATACACTTTCTTCAACAGAGCCTGCGGGAAAATGGAGGAAGAAACTGCAGTAAATATATTAATTTGACAGCAAGCCTAAATTTATAGTATAATTAAGTATACGTGAAGCCTACCTGAAGCTCAGGTGACAACAGGTCATCACTGTAGCTCATACTGCCTGCAGCACTATCTGTGTTAACTGTAGGGTTAATTCCTCTGCAGCGGAGATACTCAACAAACTGAGCATCCAGCCTTTCAGTCTGTTCCAGCTCCACTCTCAACCTCGCACCCAATTCTGAACTCACATCTGAAGCACAAGAAGAGAACAGAAGAGTTAAGCAGACAAGTCTTGTGATATTCCATAACAAACTCCATAAAAAAAACCACCACCCAAGTATTGTCTGTGTAGCCAAAGTCAGCTATGACTTAGAGTTTTGTGCCATAAAGCTCAATTTTGTCCAAAAACTATTAAAAAAAACAACATACCAATGACATGTTCTGGGTGAATATGGACACTATAGTGTATTCTGAAGCGATCTTACATACAGTCTTGCTGATGTAAATATTAACACAATCAGTCACCAACAAAATGATAAATTTACTCCGATTTAAGTTTGCTAATATTTTTTTTACTTCTTTAAAATCTAAATATATATATATATATATATATATATATATATATATATATATATATATATATATATATATATATATATATATATATATATATATGAACAGTTTTTACATGTCTTTATACCATCACCTGGTTGAGTGAAAATCTTCACAAGAAACAGTCATACAACCCTCAGGTTCAGTGTGTAAAATACTCACTGCTGCCATATCCATCACTGGCCCATTCTGGTGCAGACAAGGAGGAGGTGGAGCCAAGAGGAGAAGGAGGCGCTGTTAGGTCAAGTTCTTCCAACTCACGTACCTAAGAAAAAAATAATTTTGACAGATATTTAACCACATGTGAAACAAAACACAAATGCCCCAAAAGGTAGCATGTATGGACATATTAGACCACATACTTTGTCAGTGTCCAGTGAGTCAAGCATAGAGAAGTTGTCAGACATGGAGCCTGGGGAGTGGGTACTGTGTGTGGCTGGATCTGGTGTGATGGTCCTGGAGTGTGGAGGCTCCATCACCACCCTGGGAGAGGTCTTGACCTGGAGGAGATCCAGGCCCGTGCTGTTCAAAGCACTGATCTCAGACAGCCGAGAGCCGAGAACAGAGGCGTGGAAACGTTCTGGGATTCTGTCTTCGGAGCATTCGAGTCTCCTTAAAACCTCTGGGGAGCTGAGAGAGGCTTCGTCCCGAGAGACACTCACAATGTCCTCAAAAGCTCTGTGAGAAATATCTGACAGATAAAATAAATATTGTTATTAGGAGAACATATTCCTGTTGTGATGCCATTGTTACACATTTTTAAAAAGGTTCCCTGTGGAGTTTTAGACCCCAGTAGTGCTATGGAGTAGCTGTTCTATGAGTGGGTCCCTGCTTTGTTTATCAATTCAATTCAATTCAATTCAATTAGCACCAATTCATAACAGAAGTTATCTCAGGACACTTTTCAAATGGAGCAGGTCTAGACCGAACTCCTTATAACATTTACAGAGACCCAACAGTACCACCATGAGCAAGCACTTGGCGATGGGGGCAAGGGAAAACTGCCTGTTAGGAGGCAGAAACCTAGGACAGACCCTTCGGCTCTACGTGGGTGGTCGTCTGCCTCGACCATCTACTGCACAAGACTGGCCAATTACTTGGGTATTTTTCAATATGTGGACATTTTAAAGACCATTAAAAATTACAATATGACGTATGCAAACACCTTGGTTTATGCAAATAAAGTCTAAAGATATTTAATTTACAACAATAAAGAAACAAAAGCAGCATATTCTTACATTTGAGAAGCTTGAAAGAGCACATTTGGCATTTTTGCTTGATAAGTGACTATTGGTTAAAAGACTTAAAATAGTTTGGGATTAAATTTCTACTTTCTCTCTGAAACCGATTACTTGAACGCAACACAGTTGTACTTCTATTACACATTACATTGATTTTAGTCCTGAAATTCACTACAAGACCAATATCACTACATTCTTGGTGCAATAAAAAGGCATGGAGACAGGTCAAATAAACGTAATTACATCTTTGTCATTGGCGTGAATGTGCCATTGGACTGAACCGAATTTAAAACATAACAGCAGAGTGTATGTTTGAAGCATTATTAAAGTACTCACCCTTGTTGGTGTATCCTTGTTGGTGAGGAAGGGTGTCCTGCTGGTGACAGTGTTGTCTGAGCTGCTGCAGTTCTCTTTGCCGATAGGCCAGTTCCTCTTCCTGTACAGCCAAATCTTCTTGTAAACCTTGAAGCTGCTCTTTCAGCCTCTGGTTATCAGTCTCCAGGTCTACGAGGGCAAGGTCTTTGGTCTGACAAGACAGAAATAAGGGCCATTTAAAATACAGCTGTCAATCTTCTACTCCAGTACTGCCACAGTTTTCAAATTTCACAACAGACAGTTGATCCACACAGAAAAATGTATCAACAGATTAATTCTTAACTTATATCTGATATTCTGTACTCCGTAATTGGTCATGTTTTCCCACCTGTCCTTCCTCATGAAGTTTCTCAGCTCTTTCTGTACTGGTACTCAAACCCTGTTTCACCGCAGTCAGCTCTGCCCTCAGAGCCTGATGCTCGGTACTCAGTCTGGCGAGCTCAGCCTCCTTCTGTCTCAAGGCAGCGTCTGCTTTAGCCAGGGTCACCTCAGCATGAGTCTGAGAAAAAGAAAAACATTCTTAGCAGCTAGAATCGACATATTGCCTTTCTTAAGTCTAGACTTTAGCCTTATTTTGTTTGTAGTTTTCCCATTTTTCCTGGGGAAAAGAGGAGAACTGTTTACACAAGACAAATCAACAACAGATAACTTGGTTTGCAATGCAGTGATTTAACGAGTACCACATGTACATGCTGTGTTTTCTAAATCACTCTTTTATGTCGACTGCAAGATACCTCTTTAGGAAAGTACAACAACAATGGCTACAATTCTTCAAAACTATGAACTCGTCAAAAACCGATCAGACTGCAGAGACATGCAGCAGCCCAACAAATGCACTACAGCCTCTTTGCTTTCTTTGTACCAACCACAACTTCTCTTTACCACATCCTGCCAAGATAAGACGTAAAGAAATGAAAAATAAAGCGCATCAGAGCTTTAAAAAACAAAATTTAACAAAGTTTTTCCTCCTGCTTCCTCGTTTTAATGTCACTTCCTCTGTGTTAGTAAGATTCTGCCGTTTCATGAGCGACGCTGTGATCACGTGTTATGGCAGTTAACTACAACCAGATGTGGTCTTGCCTGCAGTTGCTACCACAGCTGTAAGCTAGAAAAAAAGAGGCAGCAAGGTATTTCCTGTCTGGACATGGGGCCTGTTGAAGCAGGTTTATCTAAGTTAGCTGAATTATTTTTTTGAGTTAAAAACCCAGACTACCATCAAACCTGCTGCATAGGCTGCTTGTTCCAGTTCTGACCAGATTAAAGATCAGTACTTTTTTGACCATATAAACTCTAAATATATACACACACAGAGACATAATAACAGTTTAAAAGACAGTCGCTGAAAATACCATTTACTAGTGTATTTACAATTAAATGATATAATCAAACATTTTAACACAATCAAAATCTTAGTTGAATAATTCATACCCTAGATTTGATTATTTTCTAGCTATTTATTCCCTTCTTTAAAATGCATCCTTCAATTGGGAGGTTGCAATCCTGTGATTAAAATTTTGGTTTAAATTTGCATCTTGGTTTATGCTTTAACAACGACAACAGTTTATCTTGTAGCGGTAACTCACCAGCACTTCCTTTTGAGCCTCTTCTTGGCTGGTTTCCTTCTCATTAAGCTGAGCTGTCAGGTCCTGGATACAAGCTCTCATTGAAGTCACTTCCTGTCTGAGCCTTTTAATATCCTCCTGGAGTTTCGCCTCCCTTCTCCTAAGCGCCTCACGTTCAGCAGAAAGTTCTCCCTTTACAGTCTCAAGGTTTTTTATCTTTGTTCTTTCCTCAGCAACCAGTTCCTCCATTTCTACCACCTTGGCTCGCACCTCCTGGATTTGTCTCTCAAGAGTGAGACTGGTTTCTCTGAGGACTTCCATTTCTGTTTTCATCTCCTGCTCCTTTGTTTTTAGAGTCTGGATCTCGCTCACACACTCCTGTTCTTTCTTTTGGAGTTCCATGATCAGAGAGCTGAGTTGGCCGTTCTTCTCGTGTAGGGCGCTCATCTCTTCGGATTGAATTTTGCAGCTGTCCCTCTCCTCTTCAGATAGCTTCCTCTTCTCCCTCTCCACTTCTATCTGGGCTTTGATTTCCTCCAGCTCAGCTTCTTTGATGGTGAGGAGACCTTGGAGTTCATCTGCCCTCTCCCTCTCAGCCTTCAGCCTCTTTCCAAACTCCTCACCATGTCCTCTGTACTCTTCCTCCTGGGTGAGCAGTAACCGCTCCAGTCCTTCTTTCTCTGCCACCGCAGTCTCCAGCTGACTCTGAAGCGCCTTCAGACGAGATCGAAGGGAACGAGATGAGGCAGAATGAGTCAAACTGAGCTCTTGCTTCAGGCTGTTCGGGCCTCCCTTACTCTCTTGTTCCTCGATGGTATAGTGGCGAGGTTCGGGGCTGGGGGCCGGTGAGGGATTGATGCTGTCCCCATCCTGAGAGTCACTAACTTCATGCAGGTTGGGGCCTAATGTAGCGAGTTCCGCCTGCAGTGTGCTGATGACCTCATGAAGGCGCTCCTCCTCTTCCTGTTTGTCCTCACGCACTCTCATAATCTCAGACTGAAGGTGTTCCACCTGTGAGCGCAGGTCCTCAAGCTCAGCCTCCAAAACCTTTTTGTCAAAAAGATCAAAATAATTAATTAGATATTTCATCACAGCCATATCAATTTTGGGAACTTCCACGTGGTCTGCATGTATTCTGTGTGTACTTATTCTGACCTTATTGTCCCTGCTGTTCTCCAGCTCTTGTTCCAGTGTTTGGATCTCATTGTTGAGGTGGTCGATCTCCTGATTTTTCTCCTGGAGTAATGCTGCGGGGAGGGTCTCCTCTGTGTCCTCCAACTCGCTTTGTTCCTCTTCCTCCTCCTTGAGTATGGTAAGAGCAGAGACATTCTCCTGCAAGCAGAGTTGTACATACCAGTTCTATTAGGTTTCTTTTTTCCCCACATTATTGATTTTTAAGGAGGGAATGACAATAACAATCAAAATCAAATGAGGAATCATATCATATGAAGTGGAAGAACCTTTAAAGATGAAGGCAGTAGAAAATTAAATATCTAATTCTCTCCTTCACATAAATAATGTTTGTAAGTGTGTTTGTAATTTGTCATTACTAGGTCTTCTTCAGCCATTTCTTATAGATATCTTTCCAATAGTATACTCGGTAAGTATGTCTCCTTCCATTCAAGTTCTGCCCAGTTACTTAAATAGATATGGCCAAAACTGAAGGAAAAAAAAAAATGTTTGCACTCACGAGGTCTCCAAATGGTCTGATTTGAAAAAAACAAACATCTTTTGGGCAAATAGAACAAACAGCATAATTCTCTCCAAGAAGGAGAGCTTGTTGTTTTTCATTGATGTACAAATATATATTTCATTTACAAAGCAGCTAAATAAAACAGATGATAACCTGGTATGAAGATGAAGTAGCACTTACCTTTAGGGCAGCAATCTGTTCTTGGAGCTCGTTAACATTAGCTGTATTCTGATTGGTCAGTAGCTCCAGCTGTAGGGTGAGGTGTTTTAGTTCAACCTCTTTGATGTTCAAGTCCCTCTGCACATTGTCTAGTTGGCCAAGCAGGACCTCAACCTGAAAGACATCGTTTTACTTATTAAACAAAGGCAAAAAATATCTTCTATAATTGCATACATAGTTTTCTTTAGTGGATTAAAAATATTGAGCTTTCAGAGATTTATAATCCTGATGGCAGCTTTTAAAAAGATTGATCAAGTCTGTATACCCGTACACATTTCTACCAAAAGGTGGCGATGCAGGCAAATGAATCAATCGACAACCACAGCTTGTCAGCCCAAATCATCTTAGCAACCATACATCAGCTTTGCATAAAATCCTACAGACCTCTTGCTCTTTGCTGTGTATGCCCTGCTGAGCGGTGTCCAGGGCATCCCTAAGCTCCTGAGTGGGGTCACGCGCGTTGTCATGGTAACAGTGTCTTGTCTCATCCAGTTTGGACTGCAAGGCAGAGATCTGAAGCCTGTTAGCGAGCTGCTGCTGCTCCAGTGCCTGCTTATCCTGACAAAAGTGAGTACATTTATGAGATTAACAATGTTCAGCGTGCACAAAGGTATGAGAGTGATTTCAAGTTTATATACACAGGACAGTGTTAATTGTGTATTTTCTTACTTGTGTGAGCTCCTGTTCTCTCAACTTTGCTCTGTGGAGCTCTTGTTCCAGTTGACTCATAGATCTATTACTCTCAGTGCTGTTAAGCAGCGCTTGCTCTAGCTCTCTGATTCGCCCGGCTAGCTTGTCTATCTCCTCATTGCGTTCTGCAAGGTCGCGCTGGGCTTGCTGATTGGCTGTGAACAAGGAGGCATGATCCTCTGTTTTGTCTTTGATCATAGCTTGTAGACTCTCCACCTGCACAAACACAGAGGGGACAACATTTTGTGATAAAGTTTTAAGTTTAGTTTAATTTTTAAGAAGCAGAAAGGGATTTGCAAATTTGCTACATGATTCGTAGTGAAATTAGCCATTCCGGGTCTGCAGCCACTGGTACCAAACATTTAATAAGTTAAGCCATTCCAGAGAGCAGCGACATGTAGATGAAAGACAAATGAAGTGTGAAACAGAAGCAAATGAATATTAGCCGACAAGACGATGAAATGGGAAAAAATATAGAACTTATGAGAAACACATTTAAGCACTAAGAATTAATCTACGGATGGTTGCATGGAAATAATGATGTAAATCAAAATACACACCATGCAGAAGAGTCAGAGGGGCTAAGAGAAGTATGCTACAGTTAGAATTCATACCTGAAGAACCAAGTCCTCAAACTACAGCAATCCGTTCGGCACAGGGATAAACACATGGCAAAAGTCAGGCTCATAGGCAAACAAGCAAACAATGCATTCATCACTTCAACCTCTGTGAGTACTAATACATACACTTCAGTTAACTGGTTCATAATCCCATCAACAATGCATTAAACACTCATCACAAAAAAAAAAAAACACATCAAAAGCACACAAACTGGAAATCCAATGTACTTTACCACCTTTATCTAGAAATAGGAGCCTGTTGAGAAGTACTGTCTCATTAGATGTTACTGCTTGCGATCAAATGAATAGGTCTCACCCTGTGTCCTTTGTTATCCACACTGGCTGTCTGTCTGAGTTGGGCCTCCAGCCTTCGGATCTCCTGCTGGAACTCGTCTCTCTCGTGTTCACGCTCCACAGCCTGCTCCTATTTGCGTCGGGAAAAAATTACGTGAAAGATTGTGTCCTCTACATTAAGCTACAGAAATTGTCTGACACTCTCAAATAACGCCAGAACTAAAGTAAAGTGAGAATACAAAATCATTAATGCAGTGTTTACACAACTGCAGATTATCTTAATTTGTAAAAACAAACCTCTATAAACTGCCGGTCATGTTTCAGCTGTTTCTCAAGTGCTTGGACATGCTGGTTGAGGTCTTCGGTGTGGGTCTTGTGGTGCTGCTCTGTCTCCAGGCCCTTTGTTTCCTGCTCGTCCAGCTCTCTCTCCAGGGCCCTGAGGCGCAGGGATAGAGAGCTGCGGTCTTTCTCAGCCTGCCGCTGCAAGTCCAGCCTATCCTGGGTCAAACGCTCCGTCTCCGCCAGTAGAGCTTGAAAAATATAGGAGAAATGGCAGGGCAATTATTCCGATACGAATACATACAGAAGAAAAAAAAAAAAACAAGAGAAGAGATATACATTTAGATATATAGTTATTATACACACTGCATTTCCTCCTGAAAAAGACACTGAAACACAGCACGCAAGGGCCTTTGCTACAATATACTGGCAATAGTAGTGTTACGAACAGCAACCTCACACAGCACTGCAAATATACTGCATATTCATCCCCAGCCCCTCATCACACACTCATACTCCACTCTGACCCACAAACCTGTATCAGGATCTAAACTGAGCCAATGGCCTACGGAGAAAAGACACATCTGAGCACAGACATTATGTAAGTGTGTGTCCAAGCTCACTAAAGAGGTCATGTAACATTTTATGCAAAGAAAAGTACGATTTCATGATTTTGTGCTTGCTTACCTTTCTCCCTCTCCCCCAGTCCAGCGGAGAGATGCTCCTTCTGGCGCAGGAGAAGTGTGTGCTCCTCACTGAGCTCCTGGTGCTTTAGTCTGAGGCTGTCCAGCTCTGCTGTGAGGCCCTGCATCTGGTGCAGCTTCACCTTCAGGTCCTCCAGTTCCTCCACTAGTCTCTCTTCTTGTGTCTCTTTCTGCTGCAAAGATTCCTCTAGGACTGCTTTCTCAGCCACATAGCCATCCAGAAGCCCTGAGCACAAAACATGTTTGAGATTCTCATGCTCAGCATTAAAAATAACTGTTATGTTGTTATGTATGAACTTCAGTGCAAGCGGTGAAGTTGGACCATAGACAGAGGAGCAAGGAGTGCTACCAGTCAGTGGATTAACCACTGTAACTTGGCAGCATGAGTCAAGTGAAGCAGAGCCAACAAGGATACAGTGCTCACCCTCTGCCTTGTGGAGCTCCAGCTGGAGTTGACTCTTCAGCCTCGCCTCCTGATCGAGCTGCTCCAATAGGAGCTTGTGCTGCTCAAGGAGATGGGCGGAGTCTTCTCTGCCCTGGGAGAACTTTTCCTCCAGAGAAAAGTGGAAATCATGAGTCTGCTCCAGCTGGAGAAAAAGAAACCCACAATTTTTAGACAGCTAACAATACTATAAAAACAGAAAAAAGCCATTTAAAAGAATGTTTTATATGGTATATCAGTAGGTCTGTAGATCCTACCTGTGTGTTGGCCTGGTTCAGCAGCTCTAGCAGCGTGTCAACAGTGAGACGCAGTCTGCTGCAGGCATTCAGAGCTGCTTCTTCTCCCCCAGGATTGATCTGAGTATCTGAAACCAGCAGGCTTTCACAAAGCAGGTGGGTCAGCTCCATGTCATCCGCAGACAAGTCTGCAACCGAAATACCTACAAAAAGAACAAATCAAAATGAATTGTTGCATTAATGCAAATTGTACATTGAAGAAATCTGAATAACTGAATCCAACAATTATTTGCTTTGTATATCTGCCATGCAACTTCAGAATCAAGACGGTAACAGACCTGATTCCTGTGCATCTTTGTTCCCTGTTGTGCTCCTCTGGTGGGTCGACTGTTCAGATGTTTTGGCTCTGGCACTGATCTTTTGTCCAATCAGCTCTTCAGTTGCGATGGTGCTGCGAATCATCTCAATCAGCACCTTCCTCAACTTTTCATTGGCCTGGTGCAGTTTACACCTGGGAACACAAAAGTGACACGTGAGACATGCACACGACTAGCAAAGTACATGAAATTGTTGGGAGACTAATTATTTGCTATTTGCACACTGATGTTCCACTCCCCCCCCAGTCAAGTCAAAACAGAAGTTCAGAAACAATGCACACAACACAGAACACAAACAGAACATCACTTACCTTTCCTCTTTAGCAGTCTGTAAGTCGTCAGTGAGCATCTTTAAAAGGTTGCCTCCTTCCTGACTCTCTCGTTCCCTTCGTTGGAGGAGAGTGTCCAAAGTCTCCATCTCAGCACTCTTTCCCTTCAACTCTCCCTGCAGACAACCAACCTCTGCTCGTAGCTGGAAAAATTGAAAAGAGAAACATGAAAAGAATGGCTCACTGCCAGCTCATTCTGGTTGTTCAAAAAGATCAGATATTTCTCTTCTTACAGAAACCTAAAATAAATCAAATGACTACCAACATCCTATCAGTGCCAAGAGCATGACAAAAGCAGACGGCATGTTCTGAATTCAAACTAAAATCAAAACCACAAGTTGCTTGTCGGAGAAATCCAGTACCAATACACTCAATACCTCAGCTCTAAGACAAAAACACATTCACCCTCTTCAAAAAACAGCCTAAACAATACATATACACACAGATACTAACTAATCATCAGGCATCCTTGGCAGAGGGACTTCAGTTAAGTGTGGACGTCAGGATTCAATGCTGCACTTTCTCTCAGAAGAGTCTTAATCAGGTTCTTTCAGGTCTGCAGTGATTTTTTTCTTACCTTCCGTTCTTCGACCCCTTCATTCTCTCCCTCGCCTTCAACATGTTCCCTCTCTTTTTCCCTCTCCCTCCCGCTCCCTCCCATCAAACACGTCTGATGCAGCCACCTGCCTCAACAAAACAATGCTGTTGTCCTGGCAACAGCACCCTCCCACCCTCTCTAAAGCTTCTCTTTGCTAACCTCATGGGTGTGTGTGTGTGTGTGTGTGTGTGTGTGTGTGTGTGTGTGTGTGTGTGTGTGTGTGTGTGTGTGTGTGTGTGTGTGTGTGTGTGTGTGTGTGTTAATATCTCACTAGCTACTGCTAAGCTGGGCAGGTGCCATGGAAACAAATGTATACATATGTTAGGCACATTTATGCTGATTGTGCCAACATTACAGAATTAGTAGCAGCAGAAGAAGCTGAAATCACATGTATTTATGAAGCGAGTCCAATGCTAACAGTTTTTTGGAAATAGAAATGTAGGCTTTAGGAGGTATAGTGACTACCTTTAAGTAACCATGGGGCTAGTACACAATTAACATAAAAAGTTTCAGTACACTTCACATCTCCACAACAACCAAACAACAACATGTAACTGATTCTCTTCTGCCTGTGCTGTTAGAAATCATTGGATAAAATGAAAAGAAAGACAGACAAGTGTATGAATGCATGCTGCTGTGTATTAAAGTTTACAGATTATTCTGCCATCTGTATATTCACATAATGATTAATCTGCCAATTATTGTCTCCAATTAATCTTTCTGTCTACAAAAATGTCAGTTAATATTTAAAAATGCCTGAAGCCCAAAGGTCTTATTTTGTCCAAACCCATAAGATGTTCAGTTTTATATATCACATAACACAAAGAGCAGAAAATCTCCACAACTGAGAAACTGGAATGAGGGAAAAAACAGATTAGTGAGACGATTCATTGATATTATAATCTCTTTAACAAGATGTAATCCTATGTGAGGAAAATCTAGTTTATGGATGCTATGCCATGGGAATATTTTCCCCTCTTAATTTCCAGACCTCCTATTTTCTACTGCAAGTCACCCTAATACAACACATTTGTCTCAGGCATGTCTCATCTTGCATGTACCAAAGTGAAACCAGGCAAGTTATGCCTTTTTCCATTTTCATTTTGTTCAAGAACATAATGTAAAACATGTAAAAACACTAGGTAGGGATTGCGCGCGTGCACGTGCGTGCGTGCGTGTGTGTGTCTCTAGTACCTGGGCCACTACAGAGTCTAGCTGCTGCAGCTGGGCAGTGAGCTGGCTCATTTTGCCTGTGTAGCTCCGCTCTTTCTCCTCCTGTTCAGATGTGAAGCTCCGCCTCAGGTCCTCAAGCTCCGCCTGCTTCTGCTCTTCAAACTCCGTCTTCAAAGAAAGCGGCAGTGTCGGTACATCAGTTAAAAAGATGCAAATTGCCACTTTAAAAAGCTGCACTATAGTGTACGTTTATGCATTTCTGAGCTAAACAGACAACTCTGACCATGTCTCACTGGCTTATGGCTGACTACTGGGCTTGCACATTTCAGATGGTCAAATGCCAAATGTCTGGGGGGGGAAAAGTACCTTCAGCCTTAAAACCTTCTGCATCAGAGGATAAAAAGCTTAGATCCATCCATTTAGCCACTGTTTAGATGGCAGCAACACAAACACATTCAAGCAGATTCAGAGACAGACGGAGAGAACACTTCTCCTTATATGATGGTGGGATTATGTGGAAACTGGGTTTGAATAAAGCTCCAGTGGGACAGAGTCCAACAGAAAGAGCTATCCCTAAGAATGAACTGGTGCAGCTGGAGCTTAGAGAAGGCAATGCTGCCACACACGCACACACTACAGCTCTCAATAATCCAGGGCTATTACATAATGATGTTTTAAACTGGCACTGAGTCAAAAACATAAAAGGCATCCTTTTCAAATAAAATAAAATAAAATGATCACAATCATATTTTCCACATAAAATCAATGATTATATGCAATAAAGCGGACACAAAAGTTGTATGAATATTAAAGATCTTTAGCAAAAGGATGCCTCAAAGCTTTTTCCACCATCATCAGTAGTTTCTTTTCTTTTTTTTACCATCAGTTGATTAATCCTGTCCTGTAGTTTCTCCTCTGATTGGACTTTGAGGAGATCCACCTCCTCTAGGAAGTGCTGACGTTGCCTGGATGACTCCTCGTCAAGCTCTCTGCGACATGCCTCCAATTCCCGCGCAGAGGCACCCCTCAACTCCTACAGCAGACACATGTCATGTATTTGTTTAGTTCTGCCAAAACTAAAACAGTTGGTCAAATGTTCGCATTTATAGAGCTTCTCCAAAAAGAATGGAATAAATACTCTGTGCCTCCACACACAGATACGCCATTATAAAGGATGAACAATAACTCAGTGTAATCCTTTCTCTAATGGGCTGTAAGAGCCATAGAGTCAAGAACTGTAGTGAAAACCATTAAAAACAACTTGCTAGGCTGAGCACTAGACATTAATTCACCCTGAAAAAGACAGATTCACTCACGACACACACCTGTAGTTGGAGTTGATGCTGTTCAATGAGTTGTTCTTTCTCTGCAGAGTAGGTTTGCGCGAGCTCCTGGAGAGCAGTGCTGTGTTGTTGCTCTAGTTCTAAAACCTGAGAAAGCACACAGGATGAAAACATAAATTCAATTTTACAAATCAACAATACAATTTTTTAAATCAAGATAAATCAGAGTGCTGGTTAAAGAGAGAGAGACAGAGCTAAACCCCTATCACAGAAGAGCTGTAATGTAATGTCATTTTATATTGCATTAACAATATCCATAGTGATATATTTTTAGAAAATCAATGGAACATATAGATACAATGACTAAAATCCAGTGAATTAAATACGAATTTAAGGGAACTTTATCACACAGATGCAAAAATGATTAAATACTGCGATAAACTAGAGCTGCTCAAGAGATTTGCACCATTGCAGGATGTTGTCTTATATTACCAAACTATACACCAGCAATTTATGATAGGGTCTAGGCAGTGTAATCTAGCTGCTTACTCTCTCCGTTATAAATATTCCGAAACTACTTCAAACTATTACTACTACTATAACATTGCATACATAATCAGTCTCTTTATGAGTAGACACTTATAATTTTTGCTTTTTAGGTGGATAATAAAACCACCATAATGTAATGTAGGGATAAGTAAGTACCTGCTTCTTAAGTGTCTCCAGGGCTCTGCAGTGTTCAGTATCTAAGGCATCTTTTTGAGCAGCCAGCTCAGTCTATAAGAACAAATTGTGAAAAAAAGAAACCATTCATTTGATAAGTCTTGTATTTTTGCTTATTGATTGAATTGAAGTATACCAGATGTCCACAAGCCATCTTTATATCTCACCTTGTGAACATGGCTGAGCTCTGCTGCCATGGCACTAAACTTCTCTATGTGCACCTGAGCCAACTCTTTCCTCAGTTGCTCCCTCATGGATAGCTGCTCTGCAGAATGGCGCTCCATTGTCTGCTTATGTTCTGACTTCTGGCGATTCATGTCTTGACGATGCCTCTCTTCAAGTTGCACCATTTCATCACGCAGAGTCTGAGATTAAAAAGACAATATCAATCAAAAGTACTTACAAACTGAGAACCCCAGCAATAGTGTGTACTTCTAGAGAATTTCAAACATTGCTAACATAAGGCTCAGGATCACGTTCTACTTTAAGGAGTTTGTGTGTCCTTACTTGTACTTCTTTCAGGTATGTGGCTTCCAAAGTGTCCATATTACCCAGCATCCTCTTTTCCAGCTCATCCCCCTCTTCCTGGTGTTTGCGAGCTAACTCGGCTTCTAAAGCCTCCAGCTGAGCCTGGTTGGTCTCCTGAAAGATGGCCTCCAGACTTTCAACGTCTGCCTTTCGTTTGGAAGTGACGGCTACTTCCAAGGCAACAAGCTCAGCGTTGTGTTTGGATTCAAGCTCAACGGCCATAGCTGCAAGCTGATCTGTGTGACTGGCACTGAGTGAATCTAGTTGTGCTTTGTGTTTGGCACAGAGTGTGTCCATCTCTTGGGAGTGTTTGTTCAGTAGTGTTGCTCTTTCATATTCCAGCTCAGTTTGATGTTTTTTCTTTAGCTCCGCCAGAGAGAGTTCATATTTTTGGGCCAAACTCTGCTCCAGCACTGCTTTTTCCTCTTGGAACCTGAACACACAGACAAAAAAAAAAAAAAAAACACGAAATAGTCAGAAACAAAGCATTTACAAGAGTCTTGTGAAACTGGAAGCGTTGCACAATTTTTTGACAATTTCTTGCTGAAATTTTGGCATGTACACTAAATTTCACAAGAACTTTTAACTAAAGTCTAACTAAAACTAAAACTAACTTAACAACTAAAACTAGGTGTGTATTTTAGTGATATATATAGTATAGTATATAGTATATATAATATAAAAGAAAAACAGAAACAATATTGTCTACTTTCAAAACTAACAAATAAAAATATACAGGAAATGTCTTACATGGACCATTTACATGGTCTTTGTCAATCTGGTCAAATCGGTCAACACAAAAAGCATGAGGAGGCATTGGTGCACATTTTTATTGAGACTGGTATGTTTGCATTACTGTGAGTTAATGTGTTTGTGTTCTGAACTTCCTAAAAACATATATATTTTTTTAAACAATAAAACCTAAACTGAAATGAGCGAACTCTTTCTGGAAACTAAATAAAACTAAGCCCAAATCACCTATCTGCACCTCTTTGGGCGTATGTTTCTAAGTAAAATCCACAAACACACTTTGTGATAACCATCTATAAAAACAAAAAACAAAACAAAACATGCTTAATGTAACAATACAAACATGACTAACGTTTCAGGGTCTATTTAACTCCTGACAATCATTGACCTCCAGCTTTAATCAAGACTGAAGGATATTGAGCCTCTCACCTCTCTTGGGTTTGGTGTAGCCGCTCCTCACCCTGCTCCTGAAGGAGAGCAGTGAGCTCCTTGATATCTGCTGCCATGCAGCTCTTTGCCCTTTGCAGCTCACTGTCATACTGGGCCTCCAGTCTCTGCCTCACTATTAGGACCTGCGGGCCTAAAAGACAAACATGTTACAAACAGATGGAGAACCACTACTTTAGTGTATTCCATTTCCAAAAACTTCTAATCTGACTGGAAGCTATAATATAATGAACAAATATTTTACTGACAACCCATGTGAATCTTTCAAAAATGATCTTACTCTCATCATTGTCCAGTGCAGCCTGCAGAGACTTTAACTTCTCTTTCTCCTCGTGAAGGGCTTTTTCAAGGCATGTCCTCTCCCTTTCAGTCTCTCTGTCAAGGTCTGATCTGAGGGCAGAGAGCTCAGCTTCATGCTTCTCTTGGAGCTCTTCTCTCAGCCTCTTCATCTCCTCCTGCACATGCTCTCGCTCTTGTTTCAGAGATTCCTCCAGAAGAATGAGCTCCCCAGCAAATTCCTGTTTCAACTTTAGGAGTTGGCAGGAGCATGTACATAGGTTAAATGATACTATATGGGAATTTCACACTATGTTACTTATGTTTCTGTATAACTATCAGTATATATTTTTACCTTTCTAACATGCATGCTTCTATGAGTGTGTACCTTTTGTGTGTTCCTTTGCATTTCTGCATCATGTTGTTTATTCAAGGCAGCCATTCTGCCCTCCAGGTTGTGGATGATGGTCATCCTTGTCTGCAGCTCCTCAGTGTGACACCACATCCTCTGTTCCACTTCCACCTAATTAAAATGACCATAATCTCATTATTTTACACTCCATTAATTTGTGTGTTAATCTGTTGTATAGATCCTTTCTCACCTCAACCTGTTTTGCTGCCTCCAAACGAACTCTGGTAAGCTCTGCAGTAGACATTTGAGGTAACATTTATTTAACTTAAGCTACTCCACAATACAACATGGTACAAGTTTGTATTTTAGAATAAGTAATTGTGAAGTACCTTGTAAGTGACGCTCAGAAAGTTTGGCTCTGAGTTGCTCCAGCTCTAGTGCGTGACGAGTCTTCATTTCCTGCAGCTCTTCATAGTAGTGGTCAGTGAGGTCTGAGCGCATCTAATGTACAAGTAATTATGTAAAATTAATAATATGTAAATGGAACATTCAGGGACCAGTATACTCCATCAGAACTGTTTGTCGAGCTGTCACAAATAGCTTTGGAAACCCTCTCCATCCACATATTTCAGATGATCAATTGGGGGGGGGGCTATCCCCGTTCATTTCTGCAACTTTCTAAAACTGACAATCTATCATTCACACTATCTTCACGCTGTGATTGGCCAGCTGTTTGATAGCGAGAAAGGAGCCATTGTCTGAATTCCCTCCAGCACTCTTATTTCATTTTCTGAAAAAAGTAGTTATGAGCGAACGTAATGGTAACGTGACCAAAAGGGGATTATGTAGGCAATCTGAAAGAGGGGCTAAAATACAATTAAAAAAATTCAGGACAACATAGATTATTTCCAGGATAGTGATCATTTTAATCAATTTACTGGAAAACTTGTCTCTGAATTTCCAGATTTTCCAGGACGAATGGGAACCCTGGTACTGTGTGCCAAGAACCTCCCTTGTATTAGCTTATTCTATTTTGTATAAACAGAGACATTAAATATTAAAGGGTTGAGTTTTGTGTCTGACCTGTCGCACCTCTTCCTTAAAGGAAAGAGCCATAGAAGATCTTAGATCAGAAAGCTCCATTGTGTGTTTCTCCTCCAGCTGAAGGTGCAAACTTTCAAGCGCTTCCTGGATGGGACACAACATGATGTTTAAGATACCTTGTGACCAAAATCACAAAACTAATGCAGTGAAATGCTCAGAAAAATTAACTCTACTGTTTTGTGAAACCAGAGACATCAAAATTCAATTAAGAAACTTTTACAGCGGCTAATTTCAAAGCACATACCACACATTTATCTAACAACAGCTACAGTTTCTTATACATTTGCTGTATGTGCACACCTTGTGTTTCTCCAGTTTGAAGCTAGTATCAGAAAGCACATGATCTTCTTCCTCTTCAGCTTGGCCTTGAGATATGAAACTGAAACAGAGAGGCATTGATATTAAAATAAATTCATCCAAGTTTGTACTACATGTATCTGCTCTTAAATACAGGCCTACTGGCATACCTGTCATCTGTGGTTTTCAACACAGATTCCTCCAAGGCTCTTTCCACCAGCCTCAGTTGGAGTAGAGCAATTTCCTCTCTGTAGCTCTCCTCTGTTACCCGCAATCGTTGCTCAAAGTACCTAAAGGAGGATGAAGGTAAATGATGTATAATTTGCACGAGGTCAGCGAAATGGTAGAAAGAGATAAATCAACAGATAACTGACAATATTGTAGACCGTGGGCAATACAAGGCTGTACGACCATAGTTACAGCTATGGTTACAATATCAGTTTATATTCTTAACATCACATTTCAAACATGGATAGAGAAGAGGACCTTTGTGAAAATAAATGAATCCAGACAGTGTGTTGTCTGTGCCTGGGTGACTGGTTGTGCTCTCATACCTCCTCAGGCTCTCCAGCTCAGCCTCATTCTGCTCTTTGATTTCCTGTTTTTGATCATTAAACTCTGTCTTAAGGCGCTCAATGTCGTCAACGCGAGATGAGCGAGCGAGCAGCTGCTCCTTTAGCTCTGTGAGAAAATAGGTTGGACAACAAAGACAGAAAATGGTAAGAAGACCATAACTGGAAATACACGCATGCAGTGGATGTCTGAGAGTACAGTTTTAAAGTTGTTTAAATAATAAATAAATTACCAGCCAATGTTAATAAAGCAACATGTTTTCTTTGTTGTCTTTTTAATTTCTTAACTGAGTATCTAAATAAATGCAGTAGTTGAATGTGTATCAATCTCACCTCCCAACTCTTGACGACTTGTCCTCATGCTCTCCAACTGGGTCCACAGCTGACCAACTTCCTGTTCTGAGTTCTGTTTCAACAGGGTCTTCTCCTCTTGTAGGCGTAGAACCTGATTCATGGAAAAGGAGAACATTTTGTTTTGTAAGTTTCCTATTGTTTTAGACTGGTGCTAGCTAAATGAATGAACTATCTGTAAAATGAAAAATATATGTATATTAAGTTATGTTAAACAATGTGGGGGCCTGTGTACTGAAATCAGAAATAAATGGTAAAAAACTTAACTAAATGTTGACATGTTTGAGTGAACTCACCTCTTGCTGCAGTTGCTGTTCCTTCTCCTTTAGGTGGAGTGCTTGTTGCTCTTTCTCCTGCAGCACTGCCTTATGACTCAAAACCAACTCCTCCAGAGCACCTAAGCAGCATTTACAGAGTGAGCAAACCAATACAGTGAACAATAGTGTAACTCAGTGATTATAAGAAATTAACATAATTAATGCTGGTAAAACCTTAATATCGGCAAAAAGTAGGTGGTCTTCAAAATCATCATGCCAGTCAGCACGATTGTCTCTTACATATATTTTTATATTTTGAAGCAGAAGATACACATTAAAATGACACAGTTTTCATTATTAAAATAATGATTTTAAAAGATTGTGCAGTCTTATTGGAAGCATGCAGGGGAGGGGAAGCTGGAAGCATTGTAGAAGGATGCAACTCACGGGCAGCAGCGTCTCTGTCAGCCCAGGCTTGTTTCAACTCCTCCTCTTGTTTCTGGTTTTGCTCCTTACTGGAGGTCTGGAGTTCTTCCAGCCTGGCCCGTGACTCCTGCAGCTCTGATTGGGTCTGAGATAGAGCTGCCTGGGCTTCAGTTAGAGCTTTTTTGGTCTCTGTGAGAGAGGCCTGGATGCTGGCAAGTTCGGTCTGGGAGGCGGAAAGGCTGTTCTGGGTCTCTGATAGAGATGTTTGTAGGTTTGACTGGTTGCTCTCAGTGTCTTTATCCCACTGTAACCTTAGAGCCTGAGGAAAAAATGCAAAAAGACCAAGATGAATTGAAATATATAATCAAAATGAATCAAATATGCTATAACTTCCAAAATACGCAATGAAATAGCAGTGCAGATGTTTAAATAGTTCATAATTCAATTACGCTTTCAACATTTCTTATAAAGTGTGACCTGTATCTCTTTGGCCTGCTTTTCTTCCATGGCCGCTCTCTCCTGAGCAACAGAAGTCTCCCACTGCTGCTTCAGCTCATCTGAACATTCATAAAAAGCAAATGAAAAGATTCACCCACGTCAGAGAATTTGAAGGTTACATCCGTCATTGTGCTCTACTTTGTCCTGAATGAGCTTCTAAAGAATGAAGGTGACTCACCCACACACATGCTGTGTACACCCAAGGGCAAACATGAAAAAGAACACTGACTGAACAACTTGTAAAAACACTCACTTGTGTCTTGTTGGTGTAGCTCACGCAGTTTCTCCTGCTGCTCCTGGTTCTGCTTTCTAAGCTGGTCCAGTTCTAACTGATGCCGGGCTTGCAGGAGTGCACTTTCCTGGGAAAATGTTTCCCTCAGGGAGGTCTGGACTTTGGTGAGAGTAGACTCCTGCTCAAAGTTTACCTGGGAGTGCTCCAGCTTGGACATGTGGACGTTGGTCAGGCTCAGATGCAAGGTTTCAAGCTCACTGGTCTTTTGGACCTAAATGAAATGAAAGTAGAAGGTATGGCTTGTTTGAAAGCGTTTCCTCAGGCTAGTAGTGAGTGTAGGTTGTGGGAAAAAAGGGCTGTGAGTTACTTTTTAGACATTTAGCTGTTACCCTCCATACTAATTTATAACTGGTGCAAAGTAGAAAAAGATGAAAGTTCCAAAGTAGCATAATACTGGTATTAAGTACTACTAAGGAGTACAAGTCATTATAACTAACAAACTTTAAACTATGAAGGAAAATAGAAGAGACAGAAGTGATATTTTGCAGCTTGCTGTGGCTGGAGATGTCTGTAAATACAAAGAGCCTACCTGTAACTGCTGCAGTTCAGCCTGGTGGGCAGCCTCCATGCTTTCCCTCAATTGAATAAGTTCTTCATTGTGTTTGGCAGAGAGCTCTGAAACCATCCTCTCGTGTTCACGTTCAGTCACCTGAGGGGGAAGACAGAGAATGTGAAATAATACAAACAAACATGGCAAAATACAAAAACGTGACATTACTTATGGGAGATTAATTCTGATACCTGTTTGATTAGGCTGATCTGTCTTTTCTGTTCTTCCTCCATAACGGCCTGCTGCTTCAGCAGTTTTGACTCTAGGTCAGTGTTTGACTCAGAAATCTAGGAATGTGTGCAGATAAACATATCAAGAAAATTACAAGACTAGAAGGCACTCACACAAAGTTTGGCACCACAAAGGCTACACAATCCTTTTTTAAATTAGTGAGTTTAAAATTAAAACTGTCAACATTCCACATTTTAAAAATTAATGCATCATAAATCTATAATTAGCAGCCTTTGAAGTTTGTGTAGTTTTTAAATCAAACCTCTTGCTGATGTTTCTCCATCAAGTCTTTTATCTCCTGTTGGTGAGATGTCTTGAGCCCTTCTGTAGCCGCCTCAACAGCCAAAACCTGCTTCTCCAGGAGAGCCTTCACCTCCTCCTCCATCTTCCTCCTCTGCTCCTCCAGGTGATGCTTCACATCAAGGAGCTCTTTATCCTTCTCCTGCCTCTCTTCCTCCCATTTCTCCCTCCCTTCAGTCAACTGTAAAAATGAATCCATACAAAATGTAAATCACTTGATTGCCAGTGGCAATTCAAACAGCTCTGCAAAAGTTAATCAACTTATTATTACATTATATATCTCACCTCAACATCTTTGGCTTTTAGCAGGTTCTCAAACTGCTCCAGTTCCTCCTCTAAGACTTGTTCCATTTGTTTTATCCGTTCATCCATCTCCACTTCTTTTCTCCTGTGCTCCTCCCTCTCCTGCACTGCCTGGGCTTGGGCCTCCTCCAGGTTGGCCAGGTTTTGTCTCAAACAGACAATCTCCGATTCCAGTTCATTCTTTTCTTTTTGAGCATTGTCCAGGCTGCCCTGGCTCTTCTCCAGCTCTTCACGCAACCTTTCCACCTCTGTTTGAACATTTAGAATCTGTGCACGAGTAGTTTCGAGCGCCTTTAATGTTTCATTCAATTCCATAGTCCTTTGACCTAGTAGCGATGCTGTGGTTTTATTTGTTGTTTTTGTTTCTTCTAGCTCCGACAGGAGAAGTTCACAGTGAGCCTTGAAAAGGAAGAAAGGGAAATTCTTTTAGCTTTTGGTACGTTACACAATATATTTTTCTTATGACTCAATTGCCTCCTCCCATTGAAATGTTTAACACAAATATGTTTCTGCTGTTGTGTAGTATTATTTTCATCATTTAAAAAATAAATAAAATAGCAGAGACTGGCTCTTTCACATTCCTATTAAGCTGCCAACAAAAACCTACTTATTACGCTGGTATACCTGCAGTGTTTGCAGCTGGGTGTCATCTCTGAGCCCTGGGCTGTGTTTGGCAGATTCTGAAGCCTGCTTTATCTCCTGCAGAGACAATAGTAGCAGCTCCTGCTGTTTTTGATGAGACGGGAGTGCAGCCTCCTTCTTCTGCTCATTTTTAAGCTCCCCTACCAGTTTATCTCCCTCTTCTGATGGAGAGGTAGCCGGGACCAGCAGAGAGGTTTCAGCAGCCTTCTTTCCCATCGACATTACTGCATTCTCCTTTTCTTTTTCTTCCATTAAGGCATTGAGTTTGTTCTTCAGGTTGTCTTGTTCATGGTCTTTCAATGTCACCTCCTCCTCTACATGTCTTCTCTTCTCCTTCTCCTCTTCAAGTTCCCAGAGAGCCTGCCTGAGCTCTTCTGTTACTTGGGCCCACCTAAACATAGAAAGATATTAAAAGGGTATTAATTTGATTCAAATGAAAGAATAGCTTCGAGCATCCAAACCATAGGATTTACTTTACTTTTTTAACACTAGTAGATGAGTTTAACCAAAGAATATTCACTTTTTTCCAAAAGCTTTAACATAAATCTGTTCACAAAAACATTTAAGGGGAGTTTGTGAAAAGCAGTTTACTGCCATTTTAAGAAAATTGTTTTTTTTCTTGGAGGAAAAAAGAAAAACATTTCCCTTTAAATTCAAAGTTGGCACCAAAAGATTATTTAATTAAAATAAAGTAAAAAAAGATTTAAAAAATAAATTAAAAAAAATAGAGCAAATAAATGTATCTGGAAAAAACAATTAATCACATGCCCTGGTTAACTTCATTAATGTACCTGTCTCTGGCCTCCTCCAGCTCTTCAGCAGTCTTGATGATTTCCTCTCTCAACACAATCAAGTCCCTGTCCTTAAGAGCCAGCTCCTCACGGAGCTCTCCACACTGCTGATTCAGCAGCTCTTTTTCCAGGTCGGTGTCCTCAAACTGCTGCTCAGACAGTTTACTCATCTCTAGTTCGCCGGAAGTGGAGTTGTGAAGCCACAGAGGTGGAGACTGAGGGTTGGAATTATCAGCCACAGGGAGGCCAGGGGAGCAGAGTGGGCTAAAACTGTTGTGGGGGTTATCGTTTTCTTCAGGGAAACGGTTCGAAATTGACAACAGAGGCTCATCTCCCAACACTTCACTGTTCAGCTCAAAACTGTGAAAAGTGGCAGACACAAATGAGGAAATTTAACTAACCTACAAAACAGAAACATGTACAAATGAAAAATAGCATTTCTCTAACCTGTAGTCCGCAGAGATGTCCAGCTGACTGCAGTGTTCAAAGCTTTCATTTACCATGGAAGATTGTGAGTGTGCAAGAGGAGCTGAAGACAAGTAGCGCTCCATCATAATATCCCCAGGTATTGATACATTCGTGCCGTCGTGTTCAGGTCCACTTTCCAGATAAGCCTCATCTACACTAAACCTTTCATCACAACTAAAACCAGCTTTCGCCTGGTTCTGCCGATTCTTAGAAGCTTTGAGTCCGATGACCTCTTCCTCTCTAAACTTCAGTTCTTTCTCCCTCTCCTCCAACACCTGCCTGACTCTCTCCACCTCCTCTCTGTGCTCCTCTTTGAGCCTCTGTATCTCCTCCTCCTGTCTCTGTCTTTCCTCCTCAAGGCTCTGGAGACGAAGGGCAGAATCTTCTTCCTCCTGAAGCCTTTTCCTCAGCTCCAGGACTTCTCTGTTCAGCTTCTCCTTCTCCATCTTGTACTGCTGCATCTCAAGGCACTGAGTTTGGACTGAGCTAAGCTGGACCTGGAGGTCTTGCAACTGTGCCTCCCTCTCTTTTTGCTCCTCTTCTCTGCCCTTCTTCTCCTTCTCCAGTAAAGAAAGTACATGTTGGTGTTTATCCATCTCCTTCGCTAGTTCAGCACATATGCGTTGGCTGTTCTCCCTCTCTTCTTCCAGCTCAGCCCTCAGTTTATGCAGAACAGCGTCTGTATCACTTGCAATGTCAGTGCTGAAGCCTTCAACACTTGACTGGGAGCCAGGTCCTGCACTCCCTGATTCTCCTGATGGTGCATCTTGAGAGCAATGGCCATGCTGATGCTGTTGTCTATGAGTGTTGAGGACTTCAGGCCCTGACTGACTTTTGATGCGAAGGAACTCTACACTGGTCTGTGTGAAAGAGAATTCAGAACATATGTTCAGTGGCTGTGCAGGTGAATAGTTATGTGCATATTATAGGCAACAATAATCCTGAGGTGCTGCCAAAGATTTAACTTTAAGTCGCACTTACCTGCTGGAGCTGTCTCTGTAACGCCTGAATCTGCCCAGCAAGTGACTGTGCCTCTAGTTGTACCTTATCTCTACTGGCCAGGGCCTCCTGCAGGTTGGAGCTGAGCTTGGCAATTATCTCATTACGTTTCTCCACAGCCTGTTGTAACTGCTGCAAGTGTCATAAAAGTATGGGTAATTTTATTAGCATAGGCATAAACACATCCATACTTTCCACAGATTAAATACATAATGCAAAACAAACTAATTAAAACTAATTTTCTTCTGCTGCCTGCCAGGTAGCAGGTTAAACCACAGACTACTTGTAAACCACTTCTAAAATGTAACCAGTAAAATGCTGTGCAACGCTATAGTCAAGCCAATTTGAGGAATTAATGGAACATAATTTTAGACACGTTACAACATTTACACTACACATAGACATACATAAAGCAGATGAACTACGCTTTTCTGCATGGCTGCACTGATCTGAAAATACAGCAGCTAGTGTTACATTGCCCATGGGTTGGTGACGACACAGGACACACACAAATTCACACACCATAACAAGACTCCTCCTGTCTAAACAACGCATGAAGACAAATTAATCCATCTGACCAAACAATTCTAAATACACAGCAACATGGCATGTAAACAGGAACACTGATTCATAGCCCAGTTTCCACTATGTGAATATGCTCTCAATGTGTATGTATGCAATATATCATACGCTTAAAAGAGCAAGAATTTGCCATCCTCTGTAAATGCTCAAACATTGACTGTGTACCTTGAGCTGCTCTTTTCCAGTGAGTGCAACTAGATCCTCTTCTCTAAAATCTTCCACAGGGGACGGGCTTTGCTCTGGAATGGGGGGCTGTTCCTTCTGTCGCTGGGTCTGCTGAACCTGCAGTTTCTCTGCCTTCTGGGGTTCCTAAAGGAATAAATGGTTTTAGAATAGTAAAAAAAAAAAAAAATTAAAAATCCACTTTGCCTGATAAAAATATATTTTTTTAAAGTCAGTCACAAATGTGTACATCTGATATTGTGGGTGAATTTATCCTTTAAAAAAAAAAAAAAAAAAAAAGGCAGTAAATAGTGCCACAGTTAATCCTGGCCATGTTGCTATGACAACATGCCCTACAGGCAACGTGATGGTTAGTGACCCATTTCTCTAATGTATGTTTACCGAGCAGGGGGCACAGACCACTTGTTAAAGCATAGTGTGAGCAAACAAAATTAGACAAAAAGTGGAGGTCAGGCAGTGTGAACCGTGAACAGTCCTGAGTGATATCATGCAATAAAGCAATTTGTGTGATGAAAATTAACAGCTGTTTTAATTAATCTAAAAGTCTCACATCATTTATATACATTTACACACAAATCAGATTTCTTTAGTCTCATCTGTAACTATCACTGATACATGACTGGTAATGTCTGTGTGACCCGTGGTGTACCTCATGGTTGGTCTTCTTTCTCAGCTCTGTGTCATTGGCTGAAGGAAGTGCTGGTTCTACGCGACGGTCTTGCGTTGTGCTGTCATTCTGCGAGACAGTCTGGCCCTTCCTCTTCTGCGTCTTTTTCGCCGCCCCCGCACCGTCGCCTTTCGCCCGCTTTTGTCGGAAGCTAGCAAGCTGCGCAGAAAGGACAGTGAGAGGTAGATGGACACATATGTCAGGACCACTGAGCACCACCACACTATCAGCATGGTGAAGCTCAGGGGTCAAGGGTGAGAGAGAACTATAGTCCAGATGTATCTCCTCAGTTGCAAAATGATAAAGTAATCAAAACATCATGCATAAGTGTGCAAGTTGCTGACAGTCCTTGCTGTAGAAAAGAAAATAGATTGGCAGCCCTTATTTTGATGAGTCAGAGTTGTGCAACAAAAAAGGCAGTGCCCAATGAAGCAAGAAGAAATCCCAAACTCACACCGAAAATAGACTACACCATAGCCTGATGAGGTATCCAAGTTCGAAATGAGGTGATGATGCTAAATATTCTCAAATCTCCAGAGGGCTGTATCAAACCCATGAGAAGTGCATATTTTAGTGGCACACAATGGACAATCTCTCAGCAGACCAGAAACAGCACAAGGTTAAAAGGGAAAAAAAGTACACATCCTGAGATGGATGTAGATCATTTAGCATTTTTTGGCATGTAGGAAAGTCAAAGACAGGCAAACTGGTTGAGTGGAAATCTTTGAAACATCACATCAAGTCCTCTATTAAATCATGAAATATAAAAAAAATTAAAAAGAAGCAAAATCAAGAATCTGAACCTGAGAAGTTCATTCACAGTGAAAAAGCATTATCCCCAACTAAGCCACGATATTTAGCTTTAATTCCAGAGGGACAAATCCACCTCAGGCTGTTTCTCTTTGCAACACATCGCTGTCGCTCTCTCTCTCTGTCGCTCTCTTCTTTAAGCAGCTTAAATCAGATAACAGCAGTTCACATTGTGACAGGGACCCTCATGAAGCCCTCCATCAATAACTGACAGTCAATCATCGACTTCCTTTCTTGCTCGTGGTCAGACCTGTCAATTCTTCCTCATCAGAGCAGCTCTATTGCCCAGTAGATGGAGATCTTGCAGTATGTAGGCAACAGCACAATGTGCCAAACCCTTCATCCTGAAACTCCCTACCATAGCCAACGTACAGTGCAGAGAGCTCCACAAACTCTGGATAGAGGATGGCATGTGTCTAGACTAAGGAAGGAGGGTGGAGACTAGGAGATGCATTCACATGGAGAGGAGGAGACAGAGCTCTGTGTGTGGTGAACAGCATCAGAGTGTGCATGTTCAATTCAATTTGAGATTACATGGCCCTGGGAGAGCTACTTGTTGCTTTGTGTGATGAGTCACATACATGTGCATTCAATTGTTCATGACAATACTGTGTGTGCATATGCACCGATGTTTATTCTGAAGATATGTTACAAGCCTGGTCATAAATCCACATTGTAGATTTATTTGTACTCCCATTTAGCACCACACAATGCATCCGCAATCATACAATCAACCTCTTTTGACTCTTAAAAGTCATCTACAATCATTCCCTTAACTCTAGCACACTTACATTTCTTCCTACCCCAATTTTTTTTATCTGCTTCCCTACTCATTATCACTTAAAGCCCCACCCTTTGTGTCCTTCCATCACAGTGTTCACCGCCTCCGCCTGCTACAATACACACACCACATGTGAAAGACACATTAGCCAGATGAGCTGTGTTTTGCCCAAGGCCACTTTCGCACTACTTAGAGTCTGACAAACCGAATGGTTTGAGCTTTCAGTGGCCACATCAGATGTTACTGGACTGCTCAATGCGTCTATTGTGTTCAACAATAACAACAACAAGATGCCTCATGGGATTTCATTCTTTTGTGTGTTTGCATTTATCCATGTGTAATTTGTGTGCCATGCTTTCAGTGTGGCAAATAATCAGAGGTTTTTGATGTGTCAAACACAGTAAAGGAAACTGACAGCACTGCATCACCATAGCAACACCATTCATGTGAGATGTAAGTGCACCATAGTCAACCTTCCCAAATCTCATGGGCTCACTGCACCACCTGATGGCCTGCAACCAGCATGACAGTGTAAGCAAGGTGAGTTAAACATTAGACATTGAAAATATTCATGCGAAACACGTTTACAGTTTTGATAATTTGCATAGACCATCATTATTTTAAGAGCAGTGGACTTAAGTACCAAAAGTTGACAGGCAGCAATCATATCACAGTGCAGACAACCAGAAGAAACCCCCGACTGCCCACCCAGGAGAAACAAAAAAAAAGCAAGAAGACCGAAATCATAAAGAAATAATGTCCACAAACCCACAGACTCATAACAAAGTCAAATGTCTCTGCCAGTCACCAGTTTCTTTACTTACCGACTGGCTTCGTGGCATGTTGGAGGATTTCTGTCATAAGGAATATCAGTGGTTCAGATGAGTTATTATGCATCATACTAATGTACCACGCATTTCTTCTGAATGGGTTCTACCATGAGCTAGAGATGAACTACAACATCTAAGAAATAAAAAAGAAAAACAACTAGTCTGAACAGGTGACCAAGTTTTAAATTTAGTTTTTAGAAGACGTGGCCTGGTTGTCAATACAGGGCAGGGAATTCTTGATTTATGGCCCATTACTAATATGGCTTTTAGCAATTTAGTAGTACAATGGCCCATTGAAGTAAACACAGATGCTTACTTTCTGTTTTGGCAACACCCAGTTTCAATTTTCACGGACCAGTGAACAAATGCCATAGGGAATACTCCATCTCTCTTATGCAGTCATAAGCTCTTCTAAGTTTCACTTTTGATCAAACTTCTACATCTTAAGACAACCGTGGGGAGCTAAAAAGAGCATTATAAGAATGTTCAACAAATAAAGACCTGACATTACGATTCTGAGAAAGTTAATCATCGTTTCCAAGGCTGTGCCACAATCCCTATATTACATTTATAGACCCCTTTTATCAGGCACGATAACAACGTTAGCTGTGAAATAGTTTCTCTATCTCGGTGAAAGTTGCAATGGCTGCTGAAAAAAAAGTGCTTGTTTATTTGGTTGCAAAAAGCCTATTTTCTACAAAATGCAACAGCAGGCAATAACTTCATGGAAGTTAATATAACTAACCATCGGCTAAAAGAAACTAAACGAAATCATCGGATGCACCTGCACAGCTCAGCTCAAGTGCATCACCTTGAAATACATTTTATAAACATCATCCCCTCGCCTTTGTAAATAACGTGAAGTGCATTGTTCTGCCTCTGTTGGACTTCAAGTGTACACGAACTTACTTCATACATGTTATTATCTTTAGCTTTGCGCAACCTCAGCTAATGATTAACCCGCGACACATGCGCGGCAAACGAGTAAAAAGTTACGAGGGCTTGCATTTAACTCGCAGCTGGAGTCTAGCAACGACAAACAAAACTGTAACATCATTTTGGAAGTGGGTGTAGTTAGCAGTGGACACACGCAAAGCTATGACAAAAGAGTTGGCTAGCGTTAACTGCTAGCATTCAGTATTAGCGTGTGTTAGCAACAAACCTTAGCTCTCCCAGCCTCTAGTTTCCTCTGCCGTTCATCTTCATCCATCTCTCGGTTTAAATTAAACTGTTAGAGGGTTAGGACATACGTCCCAATTCAGTTGCGAGGCACAACAGACCTTCTCTTCAAGCATAAGTTGGCTTAAAACAAAATCTTTGAGCTTTCTTCAGGAACAACTGTCAACAGATAATATTCAATATGGCCGCCAAGACATTTCAACTCCGCCCTTATCGAGTTACCCTGAATGAACGGACCAATCAAATCATCACGTTCCACATCGTCAGCCAATAGAATTTGCGTTGCTTAAATATTATATTCCCGCACACTCAATAAACCGCCTCCTACTTTGAACGTCACTCAAAACTAGAATCCAATTGACCAATGAAACGGCTGTGTTCAGTAGGCAATATTTGATTGACGGCTCATGTAGCCAATCAGAGCAGGCTAACATACCCCCCCCCGCTCACTTGTTTTGAAAATGAATGTACAGAATCCTCCACTGGCTGAGGAGTTTCCATGGCGATTGAACAACCCAACTCAAGACGGCTGAGGCATGTCTTACAAAATTGGTCCAAAATGTTTAATAAGTATTTAATAAATACACTTATCTATCTTTCTAGATTAAATTAGCCCAGAATATATCCAAGCAGGACATTTGCATTTATTTTAGGTGTGAGTGAATGAACCAGTCAAGTTCAATTATTTGTTTTAAAGAAAATATGCAAATCAGAAGAAAATGTGGTCTGAACTAATTTGTTAATGTTATGTGATGCTGAAAGTCTCGCTCCCTCTTGTCTTTCTCAGCATGGAAACCAAGTAGTTAAGGAGTCAGTGGTAAGCAGGCGTGTCCCTTGGCAACCACTGTCTAGCTTCAGTCTTGACTCAAACACACAGATGTACACAAAGTCTGTGTGACTCCAAATGCCAAGATTTCAGGTAGGCTAAATGAGATATTAAATGCATATATTTACTTGTATGTTTGTGTCTAGTATTTAAACCAATTATGGTAATTTTTTGGTACACAGAAAAGGTTTTACTTACACTCCTTTATCAATTACAATCTTTTAGCATGACAGTTCTACGGTTGATCAGATGACAAGACTCAAACTCAAACTTCTGGAGAAGGTAGGTAAGAGGCTAGTCTACTGTTCAGATGGAAATATATTGTTTGAACTTTATTTATTTTGGTCATTTAACATTCTCAAGTAAAAAAAATCCAGCGTTTTTGAGAACTTTCCATCAACATATGTAAGAAATATCCTTTAATTACATTTCTAGAGACTGGAAAACAAAAAGCACAATATGGATGACAGAGCAGAATCTGCCCAGTCTGCAAGTAAGATGACAGAAACATTCACATTCTCCTTTACAGACATTTGGCTGATACTAAGAATGACTTCCCAAGATGGTACATGATGGATAAAATAATATACTTTAAATACATTCAGTGGTAATATTAACCTTGTAGTAAATGGATATATGGGAGTTGCTGAAAAAGGCAGGAAGGAATTTTATTTACTTTAAAACAAGATGTTAGAGCAAGTAAAGCGTGGAGACACGGGGAAAGATCAAAGGTAAGGGAGTGGTTTCTGAGAACATGATTTTGTCTCCTCAGGGAGTTATGATGGGCAGTTTGATCGACTTCAACGTGCACTGAGGCGAAAGCAGGACCTATTGCAAAGACTCAGGGTTTGCACAAAATCTTCATATTCCAAGAATACACATTTTCAATATTACCTTAAGACATTAAGATATATTTATATATGTTTAAGAATATAAAACTATATTGCCAATAAGTTATCTAACTTAGCTCTTCGTCAATGTCTTAAGCATTTTACTGTTTTGCCATTATGAGAAGTGTATAATTGTTTGTATTTGGCTTCGGTGTAGGAGCAGCACATGCTGGAGGACCTCAACAGACCTCACACCTGGGGAGGGTCACAAAGACAATACAAGGCACATTTCTTCCCAGCCCCTCAGCCGCCTCCCCCACTCCCACTCTACCATCCGGCTCCTGCTCTGCTCTCCCTGCCCCCTCCACCACCCGCCCCGCCTCAGCCTCCACGCATCATCCAACAGACTGTGAGACACTCAGCATTTGATCTCAAAACAACCCAAATCCCCCAGATTTGTTACTCTGTTTCTATGTGGTCTGTTAAGTGTATTTAATCTTCTTATCCTCACCCTGCCCCCTGTATTCTCTTCTATTTTTGCGTCAGTTTCCTTTCACATTAGGTATTAGTAAACTAACACTACTATTCACACTGACTTGCAGTGAGTTTAAGTATAACAACGCAAATTAAGTGTGAAAAATTATTCCCCCCTGTATTTATTTCTCTCCGCAGCTACCCCAGCAGCCTGCCACCATCATACAACAGCTGCCACCACAGCAGCCTCTGATCACTCAGATTCCCCCACCTCAGCCCTACCCTGCACCACGCTCAGGCAGCATTAAAGAAGGTATGTAACAGCAAAAAGAGATCCATCTTAAGCGAGTCTTCCTATATTCATATGTTTGTATATGTATGTGTATTTTGTGTGGTAGACATGGTGGAACTGATGCTGATGCAAAATGCCCAGATGCACCAGATTATAATGCACAATATGATGCTTAAAGCCATGCCTCCTATGGCTTTATCGCCACCTGGAGGGCCCAGTCACTGTGCCCATCCAACTACATATCTTGGGCAGGTACATGTAAAGACACACACACTCTGACACATACACACAGAGCAAGAAGTCTCAACTCTGACCCTTTTACAAAATTGCCATCTCTGTCTCTCAACAAAGTCCCAAATCTGTATTTTCAGGACAGTTACCATGGCAACCCCATGATCGTAAGGCCAGATGTCAAACCAAGGGGAAGCGCTGTCCATCATCATCATCACTATAGTCCCAACCCTGTAGCACCACAGCTGCCTCCCATCAGCCACCCTATGTGGCTACCAGGAGTGTCAACTGTCCCAGCAGGACAAGCAGGGGGACATCTACCCTCCGTACACCATGTAACAGCCCCTTTTACACTCCCACCACTCAATGTTTAAGGTTTAGAAACAGCATGTGTACTTTATGTGATAATATACACACATAGAGAATTATTTTATACATTTTTACAATCAGACACATTTGTGTGTGCATTTAGGACGAGGGTTTCGGGGCTTAAAGTTCCCTGTTGTGGCTGCATGGCACTCACAACACTGGAAGTGGAGGTGAAGTCAAAACAGCTAAAAACTAAAAACTTTACATAGAAGCATTTATTTCAAATGCACTAATGGAATTGCATCTAATGGAGAAGTTGCTCATCCTTGAAAGTTTCTAAAGTATATTATATGTGAATGGCAGAGAAGCAAAAACAAAGTTCAGTGCTGCACATAAAACTAACTTATTTGAGCAGACTTTGAAATAGCTGTTAGGCTAACTAGAGTTAATGTTAGTTACTAGTAGCTATGCCGTAAATAATTTTTGCAATATATGAACATATATAGTCACATTTATGCGCTAGTTAAGAGATATTTTAGGGATGTTTAACTTGAATAATTGCCAAACGCCCACAGCCAAGACATGCAACAAAATAACCTGACAAAAAGCATTTAATTAAGATAACTTCAGGTTAACATGAACGCTAACGTTAGTCCAACTGTCTTAGCTATTGTTAACTGCTAATATCAATTACTGTTAATTAGGTCACATGTAACGTTATGACGGAAAACGTGGTTGTTCAAGTGCAGTTGAAGGACGATATGAAAACAAAAATAGTCTCCGGACGCTCGGATGAAATGTGACCATTCCTCCATTAGAGGAGTTTGAGATTGGACCATAAACTATCGACGTACTGGGCGAAGGGGAAAAAAAAAATCGACGCCCGAACAGGGACTTGAACCCTGGACCCTCAGATTAAAAGTCTGATGCTCTACCGACTGAGCTATCCGGGCCCTTGCAGGTGCGTCATACAGGCAGAATAAAAACAAAATATAGTTGAAAACACTGTAATAAAAGCTGATCTATTTCTGTAACGTAGCTGCGCTCTGTGTGCAGATAATGTTAAGTTATCTACCCAAAGTAGGAAGCTAGCTATAAGCTAACTTCTGCTAATGATAGCTAACCGCTGGGACTGAACGCACGTTTTTAACCGGAAGCTTAAAGCGACTAATGTTAACACAACAGGCATATTCAGTCAGTACCTGTACCATTGACTGTATATAGGTCTGTACCTGTACCTCTCATTTTGTCGTGCAAGGTGCCTTTTCAGTCTACGCCACAAAAATCATTGCCTTAATTGTCTTTAATGGATGAATTTACAGCTGTACAAAATGGTATTTTACAGGATCTATAAAACAAACAACGACCGTCCCGTCCCCCATCCCAACACAATCACTTTTAGTCTAACGTTACCGCACTGAATCACTGCATCCTTGAGCATGATAATAATAATCAGCATAGGTTAGCAGTGCGACAGTGATTCTTTATCCCGACCCACGTTTACAAACACAACCTTGATTCACAGCTGTCAATCATCATGGCACGTCCCTTTTGATAAATAAAATAATTACAAAATATATATATATGAAAACATACACATACAAACAAGTGATACCCTCTGCGTTAACTAATTATTAAAGTGCATTATTCTTTTAAAGAACTGAGGCTTAATGACAGGGAACAGGAAAAGGTCATGCTGTGATTAAGCAGAAGTGGAGGATGGTAATGTACAATATTCTTATTGTGGGATGAGTTACAACTCTTTAGAAGAATGTGTGGATGATGGTCATGCACTTGTGCTTGAGGGCTTTTTGTATGGCACAGGAGTCAATACTACATGCTTAAAACATCCTTGTTTGTTTGTTGCACCCTTTTGCAAGTCTGTTGAAAAAAATTATGATAATAAAAACCTGGGTTAAATCTCTGGTTACCACTTCAAACATGTTGGCCTTATAATTGTGTAAATTTGATTAACTTAATGTTTTGAATGATTTCTGTGAAATAATGTGATAAAATTTATTTACACAGTACATGTGTGCGTGCAGAATACCGGGCTATGCTGTACAAATATTTTCTAAACAACTATCTGTGCCATCTGTGCAAACAGATTCCCAGACCCTGTGAAATAACTTTCTAATGCAATAAATGCAAAAATAATTAAAAAACAAAATCCTCAGGAGTAAAATGCTTTTAAAATGTCAAGCTATAATGTTAACGGTGAATTTGAAAATATTTGCCTTCATATTTGTTGCAAAGAGGCAGAATGCCAGCTGAAATACAGAGCGCAGGGTAAGACACACAGCCTCCTACTATCACAAGAACAGATACACACAATGAAAGTCAGTGTGTTACCAGCCTCATTCTGAGCACATTTAGGTGAATGCTATTATTGTTTGAGGGACAAAACACATTCTTCAAATTGAACTTCTCATGCTCATCTGATTTGTAGAAGGGGAAACAATACAGATAGCATTACTTCAATTATTGTGATCACAGTTTGAGCAAATATATGTGTATGTCTCTGCTGCGGCAATGTGCCAAGGATGCCTCCAGTAGTGGTGAATTTTGGTTTACATCACACATGCACTTTCATTATGTAATCTTTTGAAATTATCAAAGACTGTAGTGTATTCTGATAGTATCAATTGCTATTAGAAATAACTTGATCTTCTAGGTCCTCTTCTGATACACAAATTCAGATATATAACCTGTCTGCCTGTTTAGGCATGTATAGTAAGTCATGTAGCATCTTCAAAGGTTGATGGTGGCATCAGTCAGATGTCCAGATGATTTCCCTATTTAAGTGTTTTTAGGGATCATGGTACAGCAGTCTTGCACATGTCCGTCTTCATATGTTGTTTCGTTGAGGAACGAGGATGGGTGTTTGCTTGTCTATGGAGGGTGGGACGCTGACATTTATTCACATGGCCTGGTTATGTGATCTAAAGTGGATGAGAGAGAAAGAGAACAAAACAGTCCATTTACTTGCAGTGCAAACAGGCAACATCGACATATCCCATTACACACACGCACACAGCATTCACCTTGTGGACGTGAGGAGGCATTTCATCCTCTGAGCTCTCCTCTGGGAGTGGCTCATGGCGTCGTGGTGCTGCCTGGCCGTCCTCTGCCCACCCGCCCATGGGCACACGGGCTGACCTCACTACCTTCCCCCCTGCACCAAAAGAGTCTGGAAGACAGAAAGACACAGACAGTGTGGTTAAAGTCAGCAATTAACACGGATCTGTATAGCACCTGTACAGCTACTGTGCTGTACATTGTCCTAAGTTGATTTAACCAAATAATTAAATACTCTAAAAGCCCTACAGTCCTTCTACTAAGCCAGTGCTTTTTTACTGCTTTGTAAACACTGCATGACCTTACAATATAGTATTTCCTGACCTAAGCTGATCCAATGTCTCTCTCTTAAACGTACTAATTTCTAATGTTATATTTGTTCTATCAAGTTTTCATTTCTAAAAATGTTAGAGCTGCAAGGAGTGCGAAACTACAATGAAAAGTAAGGACTTGTAATCTTAATATATAATAATCTTAAAAAGAACAGCAGTGGAAATTCTTATTATTATGCTGTTCAAAGTCTGACTGGATCATTAAATAAGATTCTATTTAAATGCATGTGGTGTGAAACATAGAGATATAAAAATATATGTACCTGTGGCAGGTCCACTATAGCGCTGTTGGGTGCTGCTTTGTGATGATGCCCCCCCCTGGCCCAGCATGGTACTGCTGGTGGCTGAAGCTGAAGTAGGAATGGCACTGGGACTGGGAACTGTGGTGGGGAAAGTGTGTGAGCGAGGGAAATTTCTGGAGTGAGGGTTGGGTTCGCTTCTCACTTCATCGGGGACGCTGTCGCTGCTCTCATCACTCTCCTGCCGGTGCCATGTGTGGCGGGAATGCTCGCCACGAGACTGCTGCTTGTGTAGCTACAAGGACAAAAATAGATAGGAGGAAGAATAGATGAAGGGCTGTGAGATATTCAGGTTAAGAAGACGAATGTGGGAACACGCTGCACTTCATTCAGTTTGTGACTCCTCCAGATGTCCTCTACTCTCTCCCCACACATACTCACACACAAGTACCTCATGCATGTAGAGAGCATGGATGCTCATCTCAGTAGAGGCATACTCTGACAGGACCAGACTGGTGAGTTGACCCTCCCATGCACTGCTGCCTGAGCTCACAGTCCGGGCATCAGTCCTACAGAAAGAGAATCAAAAAATGTGGAAAAAATTAGGACATGAAGAGGACGTGATACGGATAAGAAGATGAGAAAAAGAAAGGAGAATACTGAATAAAAATTGGGGTTCAAGCTAGGTTATCCATGACAAAGCTCTTGCAAATGTGGTATCCTACATTTTGCACTTTGAGCTGTGAGTTTTTATCCAACAGCTCAGTAAATATTCATTATCTAGCCTAAAAAAGGAACTGTGCTGAGGCCAAAGGAGAATTTTCCTACCCAGAGCTTGCCATTGCTTTGCTCATGGCTGAAGTGTGGCCAGCCCTGTGAGCTGCACTCAAACTGCCTTTCAGGTGAAGACTGCTGCTGATTGGGGAAAGGGAGCGTAAGGCAGATGCCCCATCGCTTAGACCAGCTGCTGCATGATTGGTCAAAGAGCTGTCCCTCCCGAAATGAACGGAGTTCAGGGTAGATGGACCTCCCAAGAGGTTTGCAATGAGGCTCCTTGGCTACGAGAGAGAGAAGGGACAAGAGACAAGAGTGTAAATTTGTTTTTACCTCTGAAGATGTAATGAAATTTAACTTAGGACCACTGTAATATTTGAGTATGCTAGATTATCATTGTACCTCAGACTCAGACAGTGAGAGTGGGTGTGTGTCTGAAGCCCCTGTTGCCTCTCTGTGAACTCGTTCTTTCAGCTGGCTGATGAAGTGTGTGGTCTCCTGAGGAGGGTGCCACTGAGGGTTGGTGATGGCAAAGTGCATCAGAGATAACTCTGTCTTCCCATCCTCTGCCTGTTGGTAGATAGACGCCTCTGTCTTCCCTTCTGACATCCACTACAGAGAGAGGAAAAAGGCTCAACCCACAGATGTACACACAGATTTCACTTTTACTTTCACATTTGAATTAATTAATCTAATGCCTGTCACACAGTAGTTATTATATTTTTTAAGGCTGTCTTCATCTGTGTATCCCTATGTGGCTGCACTTAATGTGGCCGTTGCTCACCGCAGGGTGTCCATGCTGTCTGATGTCCATCTGGGCAAAGGAGCAAGTGTCTCCAACCCCGACCACCTCTACAGTGAAGTTCCTGAAGAAATCAATGATCTCTAGAGACTTTCTCCTCAGACAGAAGATGAGGATGATGGGAGTCACCACTGGACTTATCAGCTCTTCTAGAATAAACACCTGGAAGAAAACAATGGGGAAAGTTTAATACTGTACACTCGTATTACTGGTCTCTCCGAGATATGAATGCAAATGACTGAATGAGCATTAGACAAAAGAAGCTGTGTATACTCAGATAAAATTCTCTAGAATAAAAACAGTGAGATAGAAATAGATATTCACAGTAGGTTTGACAAAATAACTATAGGTCTTTTTCACAGCTGGCATTTTGAGTTGTCTTAGTAGAAGCAGCACAGGTGTAATTAATAACATTAATGATGGCTTGGATGCATTTAGAACTGTCCCAGAAGGCGATGTTCATGAGTCAGCTTGCACACTAGCAGCCCCCTGAAACTGGCATATATAAATGGAATACACCCATCATTCATGTTAAGTAATTACACACTATTCTTGTGCTCTGACATATTAAAATATCTACCATGGAAAAGCCCTATAACGCAGTTTTGAGTCCCGATATTTATTCCCAGTTCAGTATTCATACTCACTGCTTTGTACTGGAAGAGCTGGGAGAACTGGTCTCGGGTCTCATATCTATGTGCATTGCCCTGCCAGTGGTCAGGCATGTAATGGATATGAGCCAGGATAACCCGTAACAGCTGCTCAGGACAAAACACCATGTGCTTATCAGGAATAAATGATCTGAAGAGAGAAGTGGTGGAAAAGAACTTAAGTCTTACATTTCCACAAAGTAGTTCAATCTTTTCATTTCATTTAGTTCATCTTAATCTTATAATCTTATTTATTTTAAAGTTAAGAATCTACCTTTCTTATGGATTCTTGAGTGTCTTGGGATGGTTGAAGGTACAAGAGTAAATTATATAGATAGAACTGGATTTTCCCATATGTAATTCTTTCAATTTAGAGCTATTAGTAGACTTCAAATAGTCGAAAGCTACTCAAGGAAAGAAACCTTCTTATACTCATCAGTTATACAGCAGAATAAGCTGCGGAAGAGCATTAAAGGGATTACAATTCTGGGTAACTTTAAAAAGGCAATGAAGAAATTGGCTCACAGTTAACAACCCTAACATTACCCAATGTTGAAGATTTGTGTATAATATTCATGTTTTAAATTTGTACCAGATGTTCGTCATTTCAAATACTTTTCATAATGACAACGGTAATAATTTTCAAGCAATTTATAGTGATCTAGTGATGTCTTTTAGCTGTTTATACAATTTATTCACAATGTAAATAAGCCTTTTGGGATTTGTCGTGTTATCCAAACTAATTACATCTATTTTATCTTTAGTTAAAGCCATTAAATAAACTATGCACATGTGTATTAAGATACATTAGGATAACAGACAGATTAACTTTGTGACACCAATGCCTACCTGCAGACTGTGATACACACTCCAAGCAGTGTGATGGATGAGAGAACATGTTCAACAGCAAGAACATCTTCATCATAGATAGTCAGGGCGATGAGGACAGCCAGAAGGGACCCGGCAAAAAACGCTACATTTTTGGCAACCACCGTCAGCAGTGGTGAGAGGAAACAGTTCATATACTTGGATGCGGCCTGAGCGAAACAGGAACAAAGGAAGAGAATGAGAAAAAGAAGGATACAGAATTAATTATTAACTGCACAGGCAATTGATGAGAAACATCAGTATAAGCATATTACTACAAAACCGTGTTAAGTGAACTTGTACAGACATGTTCTTTGTATTTATTTAAAGTAAAATAACATGTCAGTGTTGTGAAATTTTGCAGTTTTAAAATGTCAGAATTTCAGAGGAGAAGCATCTTAAGAGCATCAGTTGTTGGTACGAGATAAGCTTGTACACTGACCTTGTACCCTTTGCTGAGGCGTGACATGAGCTCATGGTCCAACTCATTGAAGTGACGCAGGTAACATCGACCATAGAGAGACCAGCATCTCGCTCCCAGAGAACCAGGCTCTCGCTTGATCACCTAAGCACACAAATCCAAACTATTGTCTAGAGCACAAATCAAGTAAGAAAATGTACTTAAGTTTGTATCTGCATGTGAACCACTTACTTCTGTGTAACTAAAGAAGGCGTAGAGAATCTGCCACACCAGAATGACTGGACACAGCAGCAGATTGGCAATCCCAATCCACAGAATGCGGGAGGCCAGCCTGTCTGCCAGCTCAAGCCTGTTACCTCCTCTCTTGTATTCTTGTTTCAGGCTCCACTCATTCTCAAACAGAGAGCCTACAGACCGATCATGAAAAATAAATAAGGGAGGATAAAAGAGGACTTTGTAATTCTAAACCTTGACAAATAGGCAAATACGCCTATCAGTGCATCGAGTTCATTTCCCCACTGAAATACAGACACATTCTGTACATCTATAATGAATCACATAAAACATGGACACACCTGGCCCCCAAAAGAAGATGAGCTCAAAATTGTATTTGAGACCCCGCGTGTAGAACACACACTCCCCGAGTACAGGAGGTCGAAACCGCACAGGAAGGAGTGATTTGTTCACCATGGCAACCTAGAGAATTACAGGAAGAAAGCTTTGTTACAACGTTTCATTATGTTTGCAAGTAGCTGTGTCAGACATAAATAGTTCAGCAACCAAACACTGTACCATGTAGTTTTTAAAGCGGAGGATGCGGTGGTAAATGTCAAGCTCTGTCAGTTCTTTTTTATGGATGCAGATCTGGTGTTCCTTCTGGATCTCCACTATCCTGGCCTGGACCTCCTGCCATGTTGCATAGGGGAGTTCTGACTGAAAGGGAAAAAGCACAGTAAAGGTTAGTGCAAATATAATAGCAAATCTGCCAAACCAATCTTCAATACCCCACTAACAAATGATTTCCTGACATAATATTGTCCGTCTCACCATGGTCATCTTGAGTGCGTTGATGTAGAAGGATCGGATCTCCCAGTAGCAGCAGACGTTGTAGATGAATTTGACCAGGCGATGTAGCCAAAACACACCAGAGATTATCAGCACGAAGATCACAAATGAATTGTCTCGGATACTGCAGGAGAAAATGTTTACACTTTTAGCTCAATCAATGACAACAAAGACTTAATTTCACTGCTGTTAGTATGGAAGAAAATACGGCATGTAAATAAAGCATAATGAATGCTTAAGTGTTGATCATTCTGTAGCTCACAAAGACAATTATGAACAATCATCACACGCAGCATCATTAACTGAAGTAAATAAACACAGTGTCACACTCACCGGGCACTACAGACATCCACTGGGAGGAAGGCATCAGGCAAGGTGACTTTAGATGAATCGGTGTGATTTACAAACTTGTTGGCAAAGAGTATGTCATAGTCCACACAGTTAGCTAGGAACACTGTGAAGCCAACCACAAACAGCAACTGACTGCATGGAGACAGAAGGAATGAGGAGGAGGGAGTAAGAAAACATACTTATAAGGTACAACATAAACAAATCTCTTACAGAGAGACACAAGATTCCTTCAAAAAACAGAATTTCTGACAGTATACATACACAAGCTCAAAGATCTCTCCCAGCAGCATACAGGTGAATCCATTCTTCTGGTGCAGATTATAGACGTAATGGATGTTAAGGAATACTGTATTTATATCTGAGCTTAGCAATCCTGTTTGTATTAAAACTTTAAAAGAATTCAATTGTTAGGGACACAAAACCCTTTAGGAACACATGCCTGAACCATGTAAAAGGATATTCTCTGGAAAAACAGGTCCAGGTTTTCTATGTGGTGCCATTGGGCTGAAAAAAGATTGATGACAAAATCAGTAATGTTGTTGTTACGGCAAGCACTATCAGCGTGAAAGAGGAGGGTGTGTGTTTCCGTTTGTGTGATAAGGTCATGATTTGTTTGTGATTTGTGTATGCATGTCGTACATTTGGCTCCTTCAGGCACATGCATCAGCAGGTTCTCCTCCCCAGGGGGAGAGTCGCTGTAGGACGCCTCCAGGCGCTGGTACTCTGTGTCGAAGTGCGCCATAGTGACATCAGCTTCTCTCTCACCAAATAGCCGAGCCCGCTGCTACAGACTGGAGCACAGAGAAGGGCAGAGTTGAACGTATACAAATGAGTGATAAACATGATGAGGAGAAAGGAACAGACGAGTTGTATTAGAAGAAAATGAGGTTTACACATCAAATGCTGGTTAATAATCAACTCTTTATGACATTTACACACCTTAGGCTACAGCTTCCACTGAGGCCTTACCACATTGTCCTGGAAGGCAACACAAGTAATAATAAATGTGTAACTCATTAGTGATGTATTTATTATTGAATATTCACCCTTGTTGGAAAACTCTATTTTGCCTTATCCTTCTGAGAGGAGGTCAGAGGTCAGTGACAGAGCAGCAACTGGAGCAGGATCCTTGCTGACAAAGGGCTTCAAAACTAGATTCCCCTGGTTAAAGGGCAGCCTCTTTATAAAAAAATTAAACTCTGCTGAGCTACTGAACTCTCTTCATGTGAGAAAATTTAGAAAGGAGACAGAAAAAGTACCCCAGAAGCATGAGAAATCTCTGTTTCTAACTGATGGTCTTGGAAAAATCCAGTGACAACGCTCACTGACGTCACATTTCCTGTGCAAAAGAAGTTTGGTTTGTACATAAAACTTGCGGTACAGCCCCTTTAGGTTAGATCCGTTGCTGTCAGTTAAACTGAAACTAACCAAATAAGAAACTGTCAAAGATTTCCACCTCAAGATTAGTCTATTTAGTTATAGTTAGTCTAACAGGCCTCCTTGTAGATAACATTAAACCCACCAGGAGTTTGGCACCCAGCAAGAACTTAGTACAATGAAAATTACTTAAAAAGAGGCCAAGTATTTATTAAGAAGGCATCTTATTTACTGTGCACGCAAGTTTTACCTAATCAAACTGTAATAATACAATATTGCCTGTCCTTACTCCCCACTTATTACACCACAAGCCATGGATCCTCCTTTGGCTTGTAGTTTATACTGTAGGTGGTAAAAAACACTTGAGATACTTAGAAATTAAACTAATGATCTACCTACTAGGAGCACATATTAACCACACACACTGTATCAAAAGCAAAACTATGCTGTGGCTTATATTAGCTGCAGAAATAAGCTTACCTCCATTGCAGTACAGTACGTCCTATCCAGCTCTGTTTACTCAACATTCCCAGCTGAAAAAAAAAAGGAAGAGACATTTCCCTTAAATCTGACCGTCAATCTGATATATAGGACTACAACAGACTGTAGGAGAGGGCTTTAACCCTAATATCTCTGTTCGGAGGCAACATACAGCGCAGTACAGGTGTCTAACAGCACACAAAACATCAGGAATAGCAGGTTGTTGATGAGTAGCTAGCTGTATGAACGTGGTAATCAACGACTGATTCAGGTGTTGTTGTTGTCGTGCTTTGACAGCACAGGCCTGCCTCCCTCGCAAAAAATAAATAAAAATATGTCACCCCTCAAAATCCGCATGGAGTCCTTACCCCTTGTGTTGTTCTGCCTCCGCTGTACCGGGTTAAAAGAGTGAATGCGCCGCGGTTTTTATCTGACAACCGTGTTGTTTTCGTTTTCTTTAGAGCCACTCGACCCCAGTTTCATTTTCGAAACAGCTAGCAGTGTGGCGTCTGTCACGGCTGAGTGACAGGGACGTGATCCAATCAGGAGACGAGTTGGCCAACGGTAGGAGCAGCAGCCAATCAGGTGCGGCCAGAGGGCGGGCTTTAAGAATGTGCTGTGTACATCTGGGGAGTGAGCGACACGCCCTGCTTGAGCCTGGTGAGCCTCCATGATGGGCTCCTGGTTTACTCGGGTTTGTCTAATTAAATGGGTGTTTACCACCACCGCCTGGTCGTTTTTAGTAGCACTACAGTACTGTCAGAGGTGCTGTCATACTGCAAGTGCACTCTTGGTGATGCTGTTATGTGTAGATTAGCATATACATTAAAACTAATAATAATAATGCGGTAATTCCTCTTATAACACACCTTTAAATTACTTTTTTTTTGCTTTTCTAGTATAAAATGAAACATTATAATACTACTTTTGATTAACTGTGCTACACCATGATACAAATTTGATACATAACCATTTATTTATAGCCTGTATTGCCTTTAAATTACAGTGCTGTATATATTTTTTTGTCTTGTGCAATCATATTTATTTCTACAGATGCCACTACCTCCTGCTATGACCTGTGCAATGTTCCATATCAATCACATCACATTGGTATAGAATAAGCTGTCTATAGTGTACAGATTATATTATATACTTATTCTATTCCTATTATAGCTATCTTTTCTATTCTATTCTCATTTAATGTGTATTTTCTAATCTATTGTGTCGTGTTGTATCTGGAGGTGCTGTAGCAAGTGAATTTCCCCAGTGTGGGATCAATATTGTCTATCTTATCTTATATGAATTACATACATCATCCCCAATATGTTCTGTGCCCTTAAGCTTGTTTAAAGCTTGTGTGGGCAAAGAGTAACAATATCAATCAATACATGCTGACACACAAATACAGAGAAAAGAAACACATAGAAATCAAAATGTAGGTAACACTTTATTTTGTTTTCTACAAATAATTTACTTAAAAGGTTAAAAGGACAATTTATTTTTGGCACTAATTGTGGCGGGAAAAGAAGCAATTGCTACACTTAAAAGTAATTCATCTAAATTAATTTTAGTATTTAGAGTTTTTAGAGTGTTTTAGCTGGGGCACATAGGTTAGCTTAACATGCAAATCCACCTATATGGACAATAAAATGTTCACTAATAATAATAATAATAATAATAATAATAATAATAATGAAAGTAACCACTCCTGCTCACATAATGTGTGATGGTTTTTTAAAATGTTTAATTTTACACTTTTAAAAAGAAGGTATTGTTTTTACAGACAATGGTGGGATTCTTACTTTAAGGCTAGTAATACTAGATAATACTAAATCAATCTCTAAATCAAGTTTGTTTTGTATGTGCGTCATGTTTTGATGAAGAAGAGGTTGAGGAGCTGACTCCACAGTACCAAGATGATGCTTTGCAAAGCCAAGCTCGCCCTCTGTCGCTTTCTGCTGTGATGAATATTCATATATGATTGTTAAGCCTCTGGAGTGACAGCTGGGCTTTTGTTCCCTGTGTCACTGCATTAGTTACACTGTTAACACCAATCACAATGTGTGTGTGTGTGTGTGTGTGTGTGTGTGTGTGTGTGTGTGTGTGTGTGTGTGTGTGTGTGTGTGTGTGTGTGTGTGTGTGTGCGTGTGTCTACGTGTGTACCTTTTCGTTTGAACTTTTGAAAAATTTCATTAACAAGTCTCCCCAGACACTGAATAAATAAACACACACACACAGTTATTACTTTTTGCAAACTGACAGGTCAGGTAACTTTTCAACCTCTCTCTTTCTTATACCGCCACAATAAAGCTGTCTGTCTCTTACGCCTCTCGTCTAATTTTTCCCCCCATGATGCAACCATCTTTGACAGTGCGTCTGTTTTAGTATGTGGATAGAGATTTTAGAAAAGGGGCAGGGGTGTCTTGAGTCAGGGGGGAGTCTGTGTAATCCTGTTATTATAGTGATCTGGGTAATTTAATCTGTTCTGTTTAGGATTAGGCTTCATTCAGTTTAATCCAGTAGAAAAAGTCTGTCACAACGAAGCTCGCAAGCTAATAAACACCAAACGGTAACAGAGATATAAAAGTAAAATTATATGTAATTCAAAGTTGCTCACCGTAAACAAATGTGTCTGAGAAACCCTGACGAATCTAGACTTCATTTGTTGACATTTGTATGGGGAAATGTATGGGGAAAACTGCAGATCATTTTAAAACTAAATTAAGCAAAAGTTTGGTTGAAGCTCATCTGCTCTTTTCTACAACTCCTGTTATTGTGCGATATAATCGTTCCAGACTATTGTATGTGCATGTGTGTTTGTGTGTAAGCATGTCTGCTCTGCTGCAGGCTATAGCTGGCTGATTAAATTACCCCACTGTCTGATGGGAATTAGGGGGTTGCACTGACAGCTAATTTGGTCCAAAGACGTGCTGTCATGCTGCCATGCAAACCATGGGTGGTGCTGGGATATCAGGGGTGGGGGGGCAGGGTGTGGCCGGTCGTTGGGGGTGCTGGGAAGGGGGCAGGGAAAAGGGAATCAGGATGAAGTCATCTCTCTAGAGCAACTTAATTAGATCAAGCTCCTTCCTGTTCATGCACCCATGTATACCAAACACAGCAGGTATGAAATCTACACACACACACACACACACACATACGCACATATGGGTGCACCATTAGACTCCTTAACCCATGCTTTAAAATGTAAATCATTGCTTATCTTCCTCTCCCTGCTGGTACCCCTGGGGCCGTTTTCCAATCACCCCACTTTCTTTACAGCTTGGCAAATATACAATAGATTACTGCTTTTAAATATTGTAAAACATGATTCAGTTTTTGTCTCAAATATGCTGTCCCACCCCAGTTTTTTTATTATTAAAAATTCTTCCAATGTTATTTGTTCTGTCAGCTGTTATATTTTATGTAAATTATATATCCCAGCATTGAAAGTGTTTAAAAGCCTTCTCTAAATTGCCAAGAAAGGAATTCTGGGTATTAAAACTTAATACATTCTGAGTACAAACTGAAATGTGTGTGCAGCGCTGTTGAGTATCAAACATGTAGCATTTTGAAAGGTTGATGAATGCTTAGTCAGATTTAAAGTACGAAAAAGATAAGATATTTACTGATTTTAATCAGAAAAACTTTAAGCTATGTTTTTTTGGCAATGCTATTTAGTTTGATGTATTTCATATTATGTATAGTAATGATGTCTACCAGCCTGTAAAATTGTCCAACCTTTGTGGTCCCTTATTTCCCCTGATAAGTGTTTTAAACATCTGTGGTCAGAAAATGACATGAGATGTATGACTGATGTGTTTGTGTGATTGTTTTTTGTGTGTGTATGTGGGTGAGTGCGTGATCTCTGCTAACATTTTGGCATGAACAGGATGAGCAGTTGATCTCAAGCACTGTGTGGTTTATCTGGTATACGACACCAAGAAAGACAGAAAATAGTAAAAATCACACCAAAACTAAAATAAAATAAAATAAAAATTCAAAGGATATATATTAATAGATTAAACCTGTGGAGGAGAGGAGGTCAAACTTTCATTCATAATTCGCTGATGTGGCACTGTTGGCCTAATAACTTCTTTAAAATAGTCCACAGCTGCCTCCGGATAAGAGCAATAATACCCTCCACGGTCTGCTGATAGTAATTACAAGTCGAACATAGACATTTTATTCCACATTTAAAAAGCCTTGTCAGTAAGTTTCTTCCAAAATGACCTTCTTTTGTCCTCCTTTATTCTAAGAAATGTGATTTCATTTTGAATCCAGAGCAAACAAACTGTGTGTGTCGAATGAGTCATACAGATCGGGTGACATCATATATGTTGCTCATTGACATTGTGTCTGTTTGTGTGTGTGTGGAGGTGTGCATCAGGCATGAGTGCATAAATCCTTCAGTATACTTGTCCCCAGGGAGTGAACTCTGACACTAGACTGCATGGATTGTCTCTCAGAAGCACCACAGTGGCTCAGCATCTTTGTATTCATTTTTTAAACTTAGCCCTTTTTCCACCTTTGTAAAATGTAGAGCCATCTTTACCTGTAATAGTAAAAAATAAACCTAAATCTTTGTTTATTATCTATTGATATTATTTAACATTTTAACCGAAACATAAGCAAATCCGATTACGTCTTTGTGCAGCAGTTGTCTCTTTGTCCTTTACTTTCTCCATACATATTGTAAATGAATTCATGTTCATCCAGACATGCAAATGTCCTTCAGACTAGCTCGCTAGACAGAAAGATTAATGGTCAGCATCAGCAGTGTAGTTAATAATCAATACAGAAGTAAAGATATATGGAAAGACTGTGGCATGTGAAGGCAGATAGAAACCGCCTGGAGGTACAGGGAGTGGATGAAATAATAGAAACACCGGACAATACATAGAGTGGTTGCCTTTAAACAAATTCTTGCTGAGTTAGATGAGAAGATTGATACCACTTTGATTGTAGGTAGTATCAATCTTCTCATTGAACTCTCACAAAGAATTTTTGTTACTGATTCTACGGATGTTATTGCTCCATCAACTATAACATAACTCCAGTTTTCTAATTTCCAATTCAGGTATTCAATCGATACGATAGTATATCAGTGGTTGGACTATGAAGAACCTCTCATAAAGGTGATGAGAAAGCAAAGGGAATTGATTTTTTGATCATTTCATCTGGGATTATATCTCAAAAGGAGTTCCATATTTAGTTTTAATTTTGTGTGTCTTGATGTGTTGATGAGTATCTGAGTGACTGATGTGGAGTGTTACTGGTGTGGACAGGAGTGTTTGCCCTCCGCTGGCAGAAGTTTAATATTGAGTAATTCAAAGTAAATTAAATTAGAGAGACTAAGTAACCTCATCTGCTCAATATTGCATTTCCGAGAGAGAGTGTGTGTGCGTTTATGTGGCATTGCAAACCACATAAACCATAATTTAGATTGATGAAAACAAGGTCTTAATAAAGCTGCTGCAGTTATTGTAATAACATCTGTGTCCTGTACAGCCAGAAGAGTGACTTTGTTGATGTATTATAAAATTCACTCCATCAACTGCTTTAGATTAGACCAAACAATGCACCTCTGTATCACTGGGGCCATTTAAAAGGCCAAAAGAGAGCTTGTTGAGGACCAAATTTAGCCTCCAGGCCTTGTTTTGGATTGTCCCATTTTACCAGTTAACCAGTACAAAGTAAGGTTGATAATCAATCGGGGCATTGTACACTGAGTTTCTCTGCATCTCTTTGACTCAGCATGTCCCCTCCATAAACAGATGTGTCTGCAATGAGAGGTCACAAAGAGGGGCGACTGAAAGAGAAAGAGGTTAATAAATGAAGAGAGATTTATGGATGCTCCGGTCGTAAAACTGATTGGCTGTGACATTGAGAGTGATGCCTACTAGCACATGCAACATATGACACACACATACACACACCCACACACACACACACACACACACACCAGTTACTAGATACATGTGTTAAATGATATGCTTGGGGTTATGTGTGTTTCCATAAATGTGTACATACAGATGAAGACTCAGCAGCATGGATGAGTGGGCCTAGTTGTGAGCTCTTCAGTTATCAGTCTGCTTTTTCCACTTAGAGAACCAGAGGACCTATTGATGATCTGTGCACAACACACACTTCTCTCTGATTTAGACACACACACACACACACACACACACACACACATATACACACATATTCAATGTGTAACAGTAAGAGGAGAAGGAGACATCAAGGAGAAAGAGAAAGACTGAGAGCTGTGGTCAGATGAGTAAGCAGAGTTCTGCTCCAGACTCGCAGGGAACAAAATCTATCCCACAATCCACTGCTTAGGGTCACTCAGTCCTGGCGTTGTCATGGTAATGAGAATTTAATAGCCCAGACTTTCTAATGTCTGTGTATTTCAATGTGTGTGTGTGTGTGTGTGTGTGTTCCTGTACACACGTGCATGTTAGATGAGTTGTCTGTTGGGTCGATTGGCTTTTAGCCATCTAATCACGGACAGCCGAACCCCCACTCTGCTCTTCCACCCTGGGGATTTTTCTGTGCAAATTTGTGTCTGTTGCATTTGGTCTATTGACTTTAATGCATATCAAAAATATGTTCAGAGCCTTTGTTTTATTCGCCCTGGACTACCAGTGAGGAGGGATTTAGTGCAGACAATATGAAGTGACATTTTAGCCAACAGTTTATTTTGTAAACTCAATAAAGCATGTCTTATTGATGGTGTTACTTGACATTAGGGCTGCATTATCAATTAATCTATTGGTTGTTGTTTTTTAATTAACCGATTTATCCTTCAGTATACAAAACATAAAAAAAATAGTAAAAATATCTATTACAGTTTCTTAGACCTCAAGGGAGAGTTTTCAGATGTATTTTTTTGTCCAAACTGTTAAAACAACCCAAATATCCTGTATTACATTTACTATGATATAAAAAGCAGAAAATCTTTCAAATTACATAATTGATTAAACCATTTTCTGCTTATCAACTTATTGATAAATCAACAAATCTGCTTTACTTAACACTATGCGAATAGTGAACTTAAAAATCAAGCTTGTATTAAGATATATGTATATACTAATAGTATGCTTGGACAATAATGTGTGTCTATGTTTTTTCCAACAAAATTTTCATATTAAAATCCTTAAAACAGTGTCTACTCCTTCATCATTAAGAACCTGAATGAATGTGCAAATATTTCTAATTTCTAAAGTTTTCCTGTGGACACAAGATGTCTCCTACTTCACTGTAAAGTCCATTCTCAGTGTCACTGTGCACTGGAGGCTCCAGGTTTCTACATCACACTTGTATAAGTTGCAAATGGGACCAGGGTTGACTGACATAACGTATTTGTGATAGGGACAGAAAAACGTTCCACTTTCAGCAGATGAATGTGAAAACATCTTTCTAGTGTCAAACTCTGCACATACATCATTCTGCTGTTCAAACATTCAACTGATAGGAACAGGAAGAGAAACATATTTTTGAGTGGAGAGGGAATCTTTTTCTACTTTAATTTCATTTTCAGACACTGTTAACTTACACATACGTCCAGATTTTGGTGCATTTGCAATGATGTGTGTTGTATATCATAAATGGGTTATACAGTAAATACACTGTGTCTATTCAAAATGTTCAAGTACAAGCAAAATATGAGTCTCCACTTTTCTTACAAATTGGCAAATAATGTCAGTGTCCTTCAGAGCAGCACTTCATTAAATTTTAAAAGAAACTCTTCTGAGACAACAATAGAGATAATTTGAGAGTCCATTATGATTTTGTAAGCACTGCTGCAGGCCACCTAATCAACCTGACAGTAACCTCTGTTAGTCATTGTCAACAAACAGCTTCTGGTACCTGGATGCATCACTATAATATAACATTATGCAGCTGTTTTTAGTTTATGTAACTGAATTGGATTATTTTATAGTATAATATTTATAGTGACTTGTAGCCATCCTACAAACCTGGAATAATTGGTTTATGGTCATTAAGCAATAATAAAAAATGATCATCACCATCATTGGTATCATCTTCATAATGATTAACTTACAGTAATCAGCAGCAGGCAGCACCTTATCATACAAAATGGTGGAATTATCATTATTATCATCTGTTTATGGAGCATTGTGCTGGTTAATATTTACAGTCCCGCTGTATAAGTTCAGACAATCTTTTTTTTACTGTTCAGAGTGTGTGTGTGATAAAGTGTGCATGGTCTGTGCTGCTGGAGTCTCAAGTTCACCACACAGGTTATATTTTCCCTTCAGGCCACTTCATATTAGAGATGATAAAGATCAGGTCTCATTTCCTACGTGTTTGTGTGTGTGTGTGTGTGTGTGTGTGTGTGTGTGTGTGTGTGTGTGTGGGGGTACACACGCATATACACACTTCTAACAAAAAGGGGGGGCCGGTTGTTGGGGCTATAGCTTTTGATCTGTCTTCCTGATGAAGATGGAGGGCACAGCTTAATAATACTTCCATGCATACAGGAGGCCCCCTCTATACCTCCAGGGCTCCAGAGGCAGCAGGCTGAGCTTTACAATACTTTACCCCAGAGAGGCCTCACCCTGCTGGGCTCCTGATGGCTGCACCTGGCCCCCGCAGCTTGGTCTTCTGAAAGAGAGAATAAAACCATGCATGGTCCACATTGCGTAAACCAGCTGTCTACCTCATTCATACAAACTGGTGTCTTTGGGGACATTGCGTGTTATCCTCCGTGATTTTGGGGTGTTTTTCCCCCGCTGTTCTGGTCTGGTGTGCATGTGTGTGTGTGTGTGTGTGTGTGTGTGTGTGTGTTGTGAGATATCATTTTTCACCCTACAGGGGCTCTGATTAACCCTGTAACCAAGCCTCCTCCTCGTATGCAACAAGGGGTTGCTTTTTTTTAAGGAAAGATCATACAGAAATATTAACTCACCCCCCTCACTCTTTCTCTCTTTGTGTGATTTTTGATGCACATTACAGTGAATACTGCTGACAGCTCTTGCCTCATGGCTAATTTAGACATAATTTCATCCAGTAATAGGGGGATTTCTTCCTTAGTGTTGCTCAAGCCAACTTGTCAAAATTCATTATTTCTTCCGTCAACAATAGTTTCTACTGTTTAATATAAATACAAAAGTAGGCACATAGGGAAAGTCACACTTTATAAAAGGTTTATATGTTGCAACAAATGACTTAATTGTCAATGAATGGTTCACAAATGTTTTATAGATCAGTTACAAGCAATACAAATTTGAGGCATTAAGGGTAATAAATAATCAAATCTGAAGTTTTAATAAAGGGTAATTAAGCTCAAGTCTATGGGCATAAATATAAGTTATAGTTATGTAAGGTTATATAAGGAGTCTTATGGTAATGCAAGTCTGCAGCTGTAAATGTTAATAATTTGTTAAACTCACAAATAAACCAATAACTTATTATTATAAATGCATTAGTTACAACTTTTTAAGTTACATTACATTGGCACTGAGCTTTTGATTTTGGATCAGACATATGAGGCCAGAGGACTGGCTGAAGTGCCTCCCTTTTTGAAATCCAACATGCTGGTGCTGCTGTTGGACAATCTGGTTCATTTTGGGATCAACACCTGTAATTGGGCCAAGTGGGACGGAGGCTCTTTCATCTGTTCTGGTAGTCACCAGCAAAAGCAACTTCTTCCCCCCCTATGGTGGCCTAGACAACACAAAAACTGGCTCCCTTTTTCTGATTGGAGAGGAGAAAATCCAGATGTTGGTCCAGTGTTGACCACAGCAACAAAACTTCAAACCTACAGCACCCTACATCTGCCCTGTGTGTGTGTGTGTGTGTGTGTGTGTGTGTGTGTGTGTGTGTGTGTGTGTGTGTGTGTGAGAGCTGAATGTGTGTGTGTGTGTTTCGTATTGGAGGAGGCTGTGTCTGCACCGCCCCGTCGGTGTGTACGGTGGGCAGCGTCAAGCTCATTCTGCCCCCGGACTCACAGCCTCACACACATACACGCACACATCCAAACACACATATACACACATACACACATACACTGTAACACTATAACGAGGCAGGCCTGTTACACCTGGGCTCTTCAATTAGCGCTCCTCCGACGGATCCCTTGCGTGGACATTGTTAATGTTCCATCAGCCTCCTTGGATTTTTCTCATGTGGCTTTTTTTGCGCATAAAGCCCGGACGCTGCTGAGGTGTGTGTGTCTGTATGTGTGTGTGTGTGTGTGTGTGAGAGAGAGAGAGAGAGAGAGAGAGAGAGAGAGAGAGAGAGAGAGCAATTGAGCCATTTCGGGGATGAAGATAAGCGCTCGGTGAATGGGAAACACCAGCACGGAGGCACCGCTACCTTTCCCCGATCTTGACAAACACGCTCATCCTTCCGTTGGCGAGATTTGCGCACCCGAGACCGGAGCCGGTGTCTGCGCTCTGCGGGGCCGGGCGCGCGTCGTCTGGGAGGAGTAGGGAGGATGGAGGCGTTTTTCACAGAGGTAAGCCATGGAGAATGTGTGTCACTCTGTATCGAGCTAAACATTAATGACAGATTAAGCGTTCCCGGTGTGACAGAGCCTGCATTTGCACCGATGCACGACCGGTGTGCTGCAAGATGCTTTTACGGATTTGTCTTGTGATTCGCGTCGGGTTTGGTTACGGCAGGTGTTGCTTTTGCTTCTATCGACTGGAACCATTCTTCACCGTTCCCAACGAACCCCGCCAGGAATAGGCCTGTGCCTTAACTGCATGTCTATAGCCTATCGATTTAAAATAAACACCCCGTTTATTTTATTATCACTGCAGAGCATCAGGGCCTGGCTGCCGGCTTTGCGAATTAATTCACAGCAGAGCCGCAGATAAATTGGCCAAACGAGAGCTGACACGGGCTTTTGCATCCTCCATAAGGCTGGCTCTCGGATTAAAGCCAATCTGTTAACGGAGGGTAGACCGTATTGGCCTACAGCAACTGCCCTCCCACACCATGCTGCTGTTTTATGGTTTTTTTAGTGCGCTGTAAATGTGATGGAGAAGAGATCCATGGGTGGGTATGGGTCGGCTGCGGGTACCTGAGGAGGGGGTGAAGGAGGTATAGGAGGAGAAGGAGGAGGAGGAGGATGGCTATCTGGCAAGTGGAAGAGAGGAAGAGGAGAAGGATGAGGGGTGTGTGTGTGTGTGTGTGTGTGTGTGTGTGTGTGTGTGGATGCAGTAGGTAAGACAGGAGGGAGACAAATGGTTAACAACTGGCATCTAATTGAATATTAGGTAAATCAGTGGTTATTAATTCAACCTACTGCTCATACTCCCACTGCCTGCTGGGTAAGAACTCATCACATGCTTTCACCTCCAGCATCCTGGGATTTATTTCACAAACCATTCTCTTGCTTGTTAAACCAAGCCTGATGTTTTTTCCACTCAGATCCACAGTGGTGTCCGAGCTTTCCCTTCAGTCTACCTCTCATATGTTTCCATTCTTCCATCCATTTAGGGTCTTCCTTGTGGACTGTCACACCCCCCCTCAGAAGATGCAAGCCTCTTACCTCTTTCCCCTCCCTTAATTTCATTTGTGTTTTGGTCCACACACATGCTCTCATGAAATGCCGTCTTGTAGCGGACTTTGATGCCAATATCCGTCCTCTCCAAGCTACTTATCCTCCCCCCTCTTAAGTTAATCTGATATGGGTTTAAATGCCTCTCACATTGGCAATGATGTCATGCCATTTATTAGTGTGTGTGAGTGGTTTGTGTGGGTATATGTGTGGGTACCAGGGCCGTGGTGAGCACTGGTGTCCAAGGGAACACGGAAGTGTGATCCATTGAATCCTGGCAATAATATATGGAATGAACAATAAAAAGGGTAAATGACTGCATGCAACTGTTTGGATGATCCTACAGCAACAGCTAAGTGTAACAACCCTTTCCCATCAGTCTGTCTGTAGTATATTGATCATAGAATTGATTAACAGACCACCACATCACCCAGCCTGCAGCCGCACACAGTACAAACTCTGAAAGCCTATATGAGACCTGAAAATGGAGTGACTTATTGAGTTATGATGTTCAGGCCTGCAGTCCTGCATAAGCTGCATATCTGATACCCAGAAACATGACTTCATGCAATGGGGCCTGCTGAATAATCAGTGCTCTCGGGAGGTGTCTGTCCAACATCCACTTAGTTTCATTCCTCTGCTATCTTCATCGCTCCATCACTCAATCTTATAGCCATGCGTTCCTCCACTTACAGTATATTTATCCCTTAAACCAGAAAGAGTGAACAGCTGACCTCTCTCTCTGGCTGTCTCTCAACCCAGGCAGAAAACATGATAGCTGGCCGACCAGCCAAGCATGAAATGTCAGGTGGCAGTAGACTGCTGTATAATCCCCTCATATTCAAACTGGATTGGTTAGTAGTGGAATATGGTAGTTGTAGTGACATCGTGTGCTCTAAATACAAGCAAAAATCTATCTCCTTCTGGTTAGGATGGCTGAAAAACAACATACATTTGAGAAGTTAGAGGCTATTATTGTCCTATGAGAAACATAAAGGACATTAAAATATTTTGGAAAAGTTGTGTTAAAATGTGATCTTGGCATAGATTTCCTGAACAATCCAGAATAAGTAAGTCTTCCTGTACTACATTGTAAGTAAGCACATTGCAATACTGAGTTTGGGGGATCTCTTGTTGCTGATCAAAGGTAACTATTTAAAGCTGCTGTAGGTAACTTCACTTTTTGTCATATTTACTTTCTTTACTTTCACTATATCCCGACAGTAGTAAGATAATCTGTGAAAAAAATCCTACACCCTAAAACTTGCACCTTTAATGTCTTAATTAAAGACTCTATCAATGTGTAAGTCAGTTATGTAAACAGGAAGTGTGCAGTCACTTATCTCAAGCTAGCATCATTTCCAAAAAGTTTTTTGGGGTGGCAAATGATATATTAAATTTGATGATAGATTCTTTGTAAATATAATATATGATGGATGATGTTTCATGCAGTTTAGCACAAGACATATTTAATTATGCTAACCTAGCTGATGTCATTGCTCATATTTTTAAAATATAATTGGCAGAAAGATCATTTCAGGTATGTCGACCGTGCTAACGTTAGCTTTGTCAATCGGGTCAGTTGGCTTAACGAAAGTACTGGAATATTTAACTAATGTCTACATAAAAACTAGTGTGCGTGGTGCAACTGGTTTTAATTTAGTGATGCATAAATCTTCACTCAAACACTTACGTCAACAAAACTCAATTTAAACATCTAATTAAATGACAACTGGGCAAATGGTCAATCTGCTGATGAAGATCAAGTGTAATGATCAAAAGCTCCAGAGCAGCTACTATTTCATGGACCTTGAGGTGAGATATTTTTCTCAACAGAACAGAAGGCATAGAACTTAATTGTTCGCGGAGGTGCAACTTTTGGTGTTTGACTCACCAAGACGTACACGTATAATAGTGCCAAAAAAACAGGCAGTGTAGCCTTACTGTGTGTCTCGTATAGCAGCTGTGCATCAAGACGCCCTCAGCACCTGAATTTCTGTATGGGTCTGAGTAAGATGGATGACATTTGGTCTCAGGGGTGACATTTTGTGTTTGTGTTGGTGTCTGTGTGATAGATCTGGACTGGATTACAGGTGCACAGCCAGCATGAACCGATAACCGGGAGACAGACACGTGTGAATGTGAAAAGACCAGCTTCTGACACATTATCTCAAAACCTGCTGTCACTGTCGCTGTATCATATGTCTGTTTATAGCCTCACTTTCTGTCCTGTCTTTGACCGGTCAACAGTCCTCTCCTCTTTTCTGTCTTTCTCTTCTTTGCTCTGTTGTTTACCTCAGTCTGTATAACTGAACAGGCTGTAAATAATTATTTATTACTCTGCAATATGTTGAGTGGCCACTGCTGAGAATAGTTATAGGGCAATGAAAGCTTTCTCACACCAAGGTTGATTTTTCATGCAAAGAACTTGCGCTGCAGTAAAATATTAATGCGTTCTATATGGTGGCTTGCATATTTCACATAACTGTGAAACATTCATGGAAACAAACTAAGTAATCTCTAAGCAGCTTCCATGCTTGAACTTGATCTATGGCAGGTGTCTCCTAATTGCTGCATTCAGTCTTTTGTGCAATGCATTTCGACCTCAAAAGCTAAATTTAGTGTCCATAGATTGTGGTCCAAATCATGCAGGATTTTGAATGAAGTGCATACTGCAGAAAGCTGGTTCAGTGGAGGAAAGGGAACAGTCACTGGAGATGTGTGACCTATATTCAGCAGCTCCAAACGCATTTGTTCTGCTCAGGAGCTGCATCAGCTTTGCTTCTCTCTCCCTCTCTCTCTTCTCTTTTCCCTTCCCTCTGATGCTCTCTTTGCTCCCTGCGGCCACTCACTTGGTGCTTCTCCATCTCAGTCAACCAACCACTTTCGGTGCTGCTCTGCCAGTCTCTCTCTCCTCCTTCTGGCATTTTTCCAGCTCTGCCTTTCCTCTCCTTCCCCTCTCCTCCTATTATTTCCTGCCTCACTTTCCTGCTTGTTCTGCATGTGTAGGTGTGAGACTACAGCTCCGCTTCAGTCAAACTGCATTAAGGCTATTTTACAGTGTTTGAATAAAACAGCATCTCCAAGAATCCTACTCTTCTCTTAAAGGGCTGTGAAGTAACTGGTCAATAGGACAGAATATATATCTAAAAATTTGTTTGATAACAATAAATCTAATGATGAGTATTTCTTCTTTAGTACATTGCATTTAAAGTAGTATTTTGACCAGACTTTTGCATTAGACTGTGGGTTGTTTGATTGGTTAAACTAATGGTTTTATATATATGAATTCAACTAATAATTATTTTGATTGTTGATTGCGAAATGTCTTGTTTTGTCCAACCAACAGTCCAAAACCCAAACATATTCAGTTTACAACAATATAAAACACAAAAGTGGACCATCATGAAAATGTAAAATCTAGAACCAATACATTTTTGTTAGAATAGGTGCTTAAATGATAAATTGATAATTAATTTTCTTGTTCAATAGATTGATTGTTTCAGCTCTGATTCTCTTATTAATTTCCAGGGTTTCAGACAAGTTATTTATTGAAAATTGTAATATGATTAAACCTGGATTGGTAAGAGATTCATAATATCATAAATCTGCATCCCCATGCTTGAATATTAATGGTGTTTTCCATATTGCTTCACTTTTACAAACTACCTCTAAAAACATCCACCTTAATACAGTGAAACGTATATTTTATGTATAAAGCACAAACAAATCACACATTTCCCCTTTGTAAAAACAATCCCTAATAAATTCATACATACAAATAAAAAAATAAAATAGTTAGTGAATAATACAGCACACCATATCCCACAATCCGCTCCACCTGAACACCATCTCCCAGCATGCACCAATGCTTAGAGGAGAGAGGCTGTTTCCATGGTGCCCTGTTTCCACACTGTTGCTGTGGAGTCTTGTTGCCAGGGTGTCGGTGG